TGGCATTCCCATTTCAATAACTGTAAGAAAGTATAATAACTGAAGTCTGTGTTGAGACTTTAGCTTGATTGGTTTATAATTATGATTTCGTCTTTGAATTATGCATGTTTGACTAGTCTTTCCGTCTACAAATTCTTGAAATCGGACCAAAAACTGTAGAAGGAGTAGGATTTGAAAATTGTTTGCAGACAAACAGATAGACGGACAACGTTAACTTTGCAAGGCATAGGCTCTGCTGGACTTTGACTATAAACAGTCAAACTCTTAGAGGCAATATCATAAGCACTATAAAATTATTCAGTATTTTCTAAAGACTACGATGAATAGATGAATAAATCTTGCTTTATACGTATTCTAAAAGAACTGTTTGTTTGTAATGGGAATTTATTTTTTTAAGTATTAATATCTGTAGAAAATTGATCTATAAATATGCTGACATACGAAAGCTGACGTCAAAAGAAAAAAAACCATTTAATTCTTGAACGCAAGAAACAGAATATGTCCTACTTTTCCAAGATTAATTTTTATAAAAATAATTTTAAAGGGTCCAATGAAATTTATCATACTCTGAAAGTAAAAAGGAGACAGCCTATTACTGCATAAAAATTGTCTATATGTAAGTCAAGTAAAGATATGAAAAAATCAGTTACACTTTCCAAGAATTACTTCACATCAAAGAAAATACAGTCAATCAAAATTGAAAAATTACGAAATATTTATCTACATTAAATAACATTTAGAATATTAATGTTTGATTATTGATTATTAATGTTTGATTTAGGAAAAATTACGCGTTTTATGAACATTTGTTTAATTGAAGTTTATTAATAATTTGTTTAATTGATGTTATGACCGACGTATTCTATATTATTAAGTATGATTGACGTTTTCATAGGTTTTCCCAGTACATCTCGTTATAAATCATAATATTATTAAAACCTGGCTGTGATATAAATAACAATGTCTAAATTAATCTAATGTTGAATGTTAACCATAATCAACATCTAATTTATAGTCAAAAGAAATTAACATTACAATATTAGTAATGAATTCCTTTAGGAAATCCTTAATATAAAATTCAAATACAAGTAGTTTTAATCCTTTAAATGTACAATGGGCTTGAATACTGTTCGTTATCTCCATATTTCGTTACAAGATTCTATGAAAGCTACATCTTTACCTTACAAGTATTTCGGACAATTGTTTTTGGTTTTTATCAAGGGGAATTTAAATTCATATAAAAACTAGATGTTAGCAAAAATCGTTTTCTTTTTTTCCCTTCGTTTTTAAAGTTTAAAAAAACTTATTCTTTTTTCTCCTTTTTTAAAGTTGGGTACAATTGCAAAATGGAAAAGATGAATGTTTTTTTTTTATTGTCAAGTAAATATTACACATTAAAAAGGTTTTTACATGTTGTCAAAATATTCATTGCTGATTGGATCACAGAATTTAATTAATAAGCAATTTTGTGAATTTATTATGCATTTCACTTTTTTTCATATTTTCCCTAAATATTCAAAACAAAATATTCTAACTAATAATATTTAAGTACCGATGGGATGAAAAAAAATTAGGTTTTTGACGCCAATCTCTGTCTATTCTACCAAATCTTTTTGTAAGTCGTCAGAATTATGAATAATAATAATGATATTTACAAATCGCATGAAGTCCTTTTGGTACAGTTAGGAGTTTTGACAAACTTGACGATCCTTATCAGCTTTGTGGTTAAAAAGGCATATTAATTAAACACAAACACTTTTAACATGATATAATGATGCACTTTTTTGTAAGATTTACTCGATCTGTAATTCGACATTATAATAGTACATGCAAATTTATTTGAAAAAAATTCTTGCTTAACTTTAAGTTCATTTATAAAAATTTATTCAATTATTTGTTTTTAATCAAATTCATTTTTCTTGAAGCACTGCGACCCCCCCCCCCCCTTAAAATACGAAGATACAAAGGGAGAACGAATGACTTCTAAAAGTGAGGGAAGTGGCTTATTTTCTTATGGGTTAAGAAAGTAAATAGAATTGTAAAACTTGGCAGAAAAAAAAATTGAAATTGGTTTGTTTCATGTTTAAAGAGCAATTATTTTATTGCAAAACATTCCAATATTTTGGATTGTTTGATTAGTTTTAAGATATAAACACAGACAAAGAAGCTTTACTCTTGTTCAATCCAGAATATTCTATAAAATCAACATACACGTCACTAGATGTGATGTCTATGCCGCACAAACAAGAATACACTGACGACTTTATACCTTTGGCTTGTCCCTGAACACAGAAATGATTGACAAAAAGTTTATCATTAGCAGTTATTATGTGGGTAATTAGTGTTTATGATGTCACAAAAATATGATTTTCTGCGTTTTCAGAAATTGAACATGATTAAATATTAGGCAGTTTTATTTGATACAAACATTGGTAGGAGGGAAAGTGTGAGTATTTGTCGAGGAACAGACATGAAATAAAAGAAGACAGCATTCATTTCCTCAAGGACAGGGAGGTATTATTATATCAATATTAATGAATAATATGCACAGTTAGTTAATTCCAATCACATAAAAATACATACAAATGATATCTGTATTCATACTACATGTACTTAAACTTAATATGATATTTGTAACTACAAACAGATAAATATTGGCACTTAGATTGTATTCCTTTTATGGGAGAGAATTTATGTCCTTAGTCATTTCTGTTAAGTCAGCAGAGGCAAAATCCCTCTCTAGGAATTGTATAAGTACGTATAAATATATATGTATTTGTAATTTAATATCTTTTCAATATTGTTTATTTCTTTTATCAGATTTATATAGATTTTCATCATTGGCGGATCCAGACATTTCAGAACGGGGTGGTACAGTTCAAGGATGGATCAAAACCAAATTTTTGACACCCCCTAACAAAAAATTGTTTGTGAAACACTGGTGCCCCCGTATGGTAGCTTTTAGTCAAGGCTAAAGGTTTAAAGTGTAGGTCAAACTCCAAAGTCAAAAGTTAAATATGTTGGTACCCCAAAAACGTTTTGTCACAAGGAATAATACACATGTGAAATATGGTACAGTAGCTTTATTGTCAACCATTCAGAAAATGGCCGGGATTACAGTTTTCAAAAGTATGTCATACTGCAAAGCTAATGTCATGAGGTAAAAAAAAAAATAATGGTACCAAAGGAAATGGATTGTCACAGGGAATATAAAAGTGAAATACAAAAACCTTAGGACTAAGCTTTCAAAAGTTATAGGCAAGATTAATTTTATTTCAAATGTAGGTCAAACTCAATGGTCAATGTCATGATATAAAAAAATGTTGATACCTAAAGATCTTGTCACAAGGAATGCATATGTGAAGAAAGTCCTCGCACCCAAAGTTCAAAAGGTATGGTCAAGGTTTAAGTTTTTTTCAAAACTAGGTCTGATTCAAAGATCAAGTTCAAAAAGTCGAAAATGTTGGTACCCAAAGAAAGGTCTGGGCAATGGAGTACAATATACAGTGTAAAATATAAAAGCCCTAGCTCCTATCTAATTTAAAAGTTATAACCAAGGTTAATATTTGGTAAATTGTTGCAAATGTAGGTCAGGATCCAAGGCCAAGAGGCAAATATATTGGTACCTAAAGAAAGAATGAATTTCTGTCCCAACAAATAGTGTCTAAATTGAGTGATGAAGTTTATCAAAGCAAGCAGATATTTTCTTGTGCTATAGAATGTATTATGTACATCTAATTTTTGTTGGAGGCATAGCTATAGGCCCTATCTGACGTGAAATATAGAGATAACGAACAGTAATCAAGCTCAAAAGCCAATTGAAACAATACAAATCTGGGGCAGAATAAACATGTACATCTAAAAACATCAGAGGTGAGATCGCTTCATGAATTTAGAGATTGATACTATTAGAGATTAAATTTTTATTCTATTACAAATAATAGACCTCTGTTATGTATTCAGTCTTTGAGACACGTTTTTCTTAGCTAAATCATAAAAAGATAATTCGATACCATATAACATACATGGGTATATCATATGAAATATAGGTCGTCTATAAAACGACACACAAAATCAATTTAATCTAATATAAAGTAATTTATCTAAACAAATGATAATTGGTGATAAATTTAAGTCATACTATGTGCATTTTCTAAAGATTTACATTTGAAATATGGAAAATGTGAATGCAACACAATTTACATCAATATTTTTTAAATTTCAACCTTAATTTGTATGGGTATTTTTCGCATTTCTTATTTTAATATATATATATATATATATATATATATATATATATATATATATATATATATATATATATATATATATATATAGTACCACATTTTAACCCATTGCATCCTGAAAAAAAATATAGAAACATATAAATCACGTGACTAGCCTAATCGATGTTGAAAAATAAGAACCAAAATCATATTACAGGGGAATTCAAATTAAATATTTACATTTGCTTTGTTTTTCTACTAAGCCAACTGTGAAATTGATTTGAAAACCATTTTTGTGTATACTCACGCGTAGAAATATACACGGAGAAACTCGCGCTAAAGTGACGTCACAATGAGGCTACAGAGACATTAATAAAAATATGACGATATAGGGCAGCGAGAAATTCAAACATTAAGTATATTTTTGGTGGATTTAAACATGTAAAATGTAAATATAAGGAATGTTTTAAAGTTTAGTGTGAATTATTGGTGTGTAAATCTTACAGACTTGCACGTAGGCATATTTTTCATGAAGCGCTTGCGCGCTTCATGAAATATGCCTACGTGACAAGTCTGTGTGATTTACACACCAATAACTCACATAAAACTTAAAAACATTCCTTAAATAAAAGCCTGTAGACCTGTTCACAAAAATTCTTACGATTTATTGTAAGATTTTGAGTTACGATTCTCTTAAGATAAATCTTACGTCAGTTTCACAAACGCACTCGTAAGTAAAAAAAAATATTCGTACGACAATTCTTTCGATTTTAGTCTACGTGCGAACTTACGATTTCACTTAGGACAAAAAGCTTCCCTGACAACCTACTTTCCTTTCTTTTGCACATGCGCGGTACATATTTCCGTGTTTACATCGGTGTCGTCTGTACCCCCCCCCCCCCCCAAATGGATAAATTGGCAAAGAGAAAACCGAACTGGACAAATGCAGAGATAGAGGTGCTGGTACAAGCTGTCACAGATAATATTAAGTTGGTAAAAGGAAAATTCACACCATCTATAACCAATGAAGTAAAAAATCGTTGCTGGGCCGAGATAACGTCACAGTGAGTACACAATAATACTAACTTATAAAACGGGTTGAATCACGTTGTTTTATAAAAAAAAAAAATATGATCATATACAAGAAAAAGGGCTAAAAATATCCAGTGCTACCGCCGAAGCGAATGTAAAAATTCCCTCCAATGCATATAAGTCCCGATAACGAGATTGTTTTCATACCATTTGGATACGAGTTAGGCTATATATATTCTCTTTAGAGAAATGAACAGGCTTTCGCCTACATCCACTTCTCTTCGCAAGCCTTCATGTTTTGATTCTAGAAAACGTGTAAATCTCGAACCGGTGACGGTCTACATTTCAACTGACATTTCGTCTAAAATACGTCTGAATGTACGTAATAGACGTGTTATATTAACAATTTTAACATAAATACACACAATTGTCACAAGAAAACTGACCTTTAAGTACTGTTAATCCATTTTCACAAGTTCTCCATCCCATGTTTACAATTTTACTTAATTGTAGATTGTTGGAACAATTTCAAAGTCCTCGCTGGAAGGGGTGCCAGGAGGGGTGGACACCTCAGCTCCATCACAAAGTCTGATTATGGAGAAGGGTAATGCATGAATTGATTACAAAATATCCTGCTTAAAGAAATTTTTCTATAGATATTGTTTATATAATTGCTATATATTTTTCCACAATTTTCGGTTTATAGAGGAAATTAATATAGAAGAAAATAATTTTTTGTTGTCTATGTATTCATAGTGTTACAGGTGGTGAAAATTTCAAATTTTAACCGGGACTCGAACCCAGGGGGCCGTTTTATAAAAAGAACTTACGACTAAGACCAAAAACTTAAGTTGATTGTAAAATTATGCAAAATTAATGGTTTTGTTTAAAATTGCTAGCCTAAAAAATATCTTTCTACATACCGGGTACTTTTTTAAAAGATTAAAACCATTTTCTAGTTAATATAATAATAAGAAAGTTAATAGCAGAATTAAATTTTGGTCTTCGTCGTAAGTTTTTTGTAAAAAAGGGCCCCAGGGTCTCTGGCGTACCAGTGCCAGTGTTCTAATCACTGAGTTATTGAGACCCGATATATTGACTGACTTTCATGCACCTGCTAACCCGGTGATATAGGAATAGTAATTTCCTTTTATATAATGTTTTAACAAACTTTTTGTAGAAACGTCATATGTGTATGAAGCATCCCCTGCCTCCATCACGCAAATGAAACACTCTATTCCAGGTAAACTTTTGCAACTGGGCTAATTTCAACAAAACTTGCCACAAATCATCTTGTGGATGAATGAATTTAAAAAAAATTGATAATGAAAATCAGCATGGACAAAGTGACTTAGGTGAATGTTGTTTTCTATGGATCTCTATTATTTCTATTCAGATCACCTGAGCCGAAGGCTCAAGTGAGCTTTTCTAATCCAAATTTGTCTGTTGTCTGTCGTTGTTGTCATAAACTTGTCACAATTTCATCTTCTTCTCCAGAACTACTGGGCCAATTTCAACCAAACTATGTAAAACTTTGATTGTCCATTGTGGCCCCGACCTACCCTGATTAATTACAGACATTTACATCACAAATATTTAAGTATAACAGATCGAAGCTTCTGTAGGAAAACAACGTCGCATCTTTACAACTCTTTCTCATTCAGTAAATTATCCCTGCATACTAGTAGATATAATTATATAACAGTGTTATTATTTGGATGTACTATGCCGAAATAGTAGTCAGGGTTTGACACATGGTGCACGAGCCGGAGGCGAGTGCACTATGTGTCAAACCCTGACTACTATTTCGGCATAGTACATCCAAATAATAACACTATTATAATTATTATGCTGACTGTTGTTTGTATACGACAATTTAATTAAATTCTCAATCCTAAACCTGTTTGCAGACGTTAAATCTAAATGAAAATTTTCTTGAACATTCTTTGATCAAGCGTTATATCAAAAAGCGTTTTATTGACTCCGAAGAACCAGTTCATGTTACGTTGCAATTTTGGTTACTGAAAAATTGGATTATTTGTTAGAGAATTTTTCTTTAAGATCCTTATCAATAATATCAGTCTTATAGAAATTATATTCATTTATTTCTTGTTTTGTGACAAATGTATAAAAACTACGTTTATATACTTGAAAATACATTCCCTAAAGTAGCGGTGTTTGTGGCGTAATCGTTAACGCGTTGGACTGACGTTCTCGAGATCGTGAGTTCGATCCCCAGCGTGGGTGCTAAATACATTTTCTCTAGAAAAGACAGCCGTGCACTATTTCGGCATAGTATGCTTACGCTATATAAATCCTTAGAACACTATGCGAAAATAGTTGGGTATTGATTATATAGAGACAAACTGACAGGAAGCATAATAATGAACAATAACTGTGACATGTACAACATGTATAATCCTTACTATTTCAGATTAGGGTCATCATACGTGTCATATGAAGAACACTCTATATGCTCCTCATTTCACTCTTAGCTGTACAGTGCACACTGTATAAGAACTCTCTTGATGCTAGCCTCTTATATATATGTACGTGAGGCTATACATCATTTTTCATAAGATACATACAGTCATAACATTTAAAATGTTTAAAAATATTTTATGTTCGTTGGTTTGTCAGTATGCTTTGACAGAAAATACTCGAAATATATTTTATCACAGGCCTCATAGTCAAAAGGAAAGAATATTTTAGAACTATTTTGAGTTAAGTCAAGGAGCAATAAATTCTATTTCATTCTTTTTTTTGAGGGGGCAGGGGGTCTTGCTTTCCAAACAAATTTATCAAAATGATTTTAGCTTTTACTTTCTTTTTTATTCTCTGTTCCTTGAATTCTCACAGTTAACTAAGCCTCACTTGACTATTCTTGATACTTTATCAACGTAACGTACCAACAATTTCAGAAAATTATCATTAAAGATTTAGGAAGCAATACGGTGATGAAAGTTTTTTTTCAGTGAAAATACTATGAAACCGGAATTTCGGAAGCTTTACTCGCCACAATAAAAATTAAGTAGTTCACAAGTTACATACATATAATAAATACTTCGGATTGCAAATAGAGCACTCTACTCGTGAAAACAGACTTAACTGCGATTCAGATTAAACTGATATCACTTTTCAACTAGTGATATTTTCACGTCTATAAGAATGCTCTGGTTATTCTTCGGCGTCCTCCTAACACTAATTTTTACTAAGGCACAACCTTTATATTCAAATTCAATGGATATCTATCACAGAGGATCATCAGCTGATGTGAACGAAATTGTTCACAATCTATTTTCTAAAGGATTTGTCGAACTTACAAAAACAATGAACTCTGAAATATACGATTTGAAATCGTGTTGGAATAAGGATTTCAAAAAAGTCAAATCGACGGTGGATGCCTTTGATGAACATCAAAAAATGCTGGCTGAAGCAGTTTCTGAAATCAAGACAAACATTACGATTACTTCAAAGGCAACACAATCTTTATTATACTTTGATAAAATGGCGTTCAAACGTCAGTTAGAAAATTTGTCCAGCTCTTATGGAGAGGAAAAAGAAAGAACTGACAAAGCTATAGAACAGCTTTCCCTGTTAGAGGAAAGAATGGTTAACCAGAGTGATCTTATCAGTAATGTAATGAGGGATCTTCTGGATCAGGTCAGAAATCAAGAAGACTTGTTCGACAATGTAACGACGATTTTTGTTAAAATTAAGGAAATGGGCACAATTCATTCAAACATGGAAACACAATTTACAAGGACGTTGAATCGATCTATCAATGAATTGAAAGATATGTCTGAGGAAATGATTAAAAACAAAACAAAGCAGATATTTAGAAGAATAAGTGATTTAACTTTCAATCTAACGTCCGCCCTGGCAAACACTTCAGAAGAAATGGAAACAACAAAAACATTAGTTCAGACCACAGAAGGTAAGATATATTCCCGTCAATTTATAATTAAATTTAGACGATGCACTTAATTTCCAACAAATTTTTGCTTAAATGTAAAATGTCGAAGTTTGTAAAACTTTCTCGTATTAGCCATTTTTATGAAAAAATTTATATAAGAGTTCTCGGGACTTTTCAAATGCCCCTCGTATTTGAACACGATAAATCGACAAAAGTGAATGCTTTAATCAGAACTACTAGTACTTTGATATATATATATATATATATATATATATATATATATATATATATATATATATATATATATATATATATATATACACACATATATATATATATATATATATATATAAAGCACACAGAAACTAACTTATATAGGATACCCACTTCCGCCCCAACCCGGGATTGAACTCTCGACCTACGGAATCTGTCTCCTCGCAGTACAGCTAGACCGCTCGGCCATCTAGGCAAGTCTAAACCCGATGGAATTCTCGCGGCGCCGCCCTACACTACACGATCATTGAGAATGGAAGTGAGATACAGTTATTTGGACATTAGGTTTAGTAGAGGATCGTTACCGATACGCATTGTAATGAAATTTTATTTTATATTTAAAGCACATTAATTTACAACAACTTATAAATTAATATAACTGCCCTAAAGGAAGAAATATAAATATAAAGCACAGAGAAATTCACTTTTATTAGGATACCCACCTTTACTGCTAGGAGACAGATTCCGTAGGTCGAGAGTTCAACCCCGGGTTGGGGGCGGAAGTGGGTATCCTAATAAAAGAGAATTTCTGTGTTTTATATATATATATATATATATATATATATATATATATATATATATATATATATATATATATATATATATATATATATAAAAGAAATAAGGTATCATTTTTAAACATCTATCGGGCTATAAATACGGGTTGGTTACGAGATCAAATTCCATAAAGCCCGAAGGTCACTGAGAAATTACGTCGAACGTTTATGACGCGAGGAACCCGTGTTTATACGGATATAGATACGCATTGCTTTCAATAGTGTTATATAAAAGAAAACATTTGCAAATGTATATATATATATATATATATATATATATATATATATATATATATATATATATATATATATATATATATATATATATATATATATATATGACGCGCCAAGAAAAAACCTCCCTTAACTCTATTACGACGTAACGTCAAAAGACGCGTCTAAAGTCAACAAGGTAAAAGCGCCTCCTCAAGAGAATTGAGTAATTCTGCAGAACAAGATTATGTTTTATTTATGCTCAGGAAGATTCTTTGGTGGGGGTTGATATAGTGCATTCTTTAAGAGGTTAGTACTAGTCTCCATCAAGTGTCTGCGTGATATTTCCTTTTCACAATAAAGTGTATATTTTTTAAGAAGTCTAATGGTGGTTAAATATTACCTGCAAGGCCATTTTTAAAACAATGTTTGTTTGCCCTCTCCTTATTCGGGTTTTAAAATTGCGTTAGGTAGGTCGAAATTTTTTTGTCAGAAATGATCAACATCAATGTTCAATTTTCAAAATCTATTAAAATTGAAGGCATTTCTGAAATTAAAATAGTTGTTGATGGGATGAGAAAATTCCGGAGTGAAAAAAAATGCCTTGGAGGTTTTAAAAAGATTTGACCTGAATTTTCCTGAATTGAAACAAAACATAATACAGTAAAACTCGGTTACAACGAAGTCACTGGGACCTGTGAAATTACTTCGCTATATCCGTAATTCGCTTTATCCGTATAAGAAATTCGTTAAATTTATATAGCTGAGGATCCAAATAAATTCGCAATATCCGTGAATTCGCTATATCCGTGTTCGTACTAAACGAGTTTTACTGTAAATCAAATGTTGCCTTTTAAATTAGTAAATTCCCTAAATTACTCAGTCAGAATAGGGAAAACACAATTATATTAAACAGTTAATTTATTTTGATATCTAGTCTCTATGTGTTAAAAAAGACGAGAGAGACCACTACACTTGTGGCTTGGTCAAATTATTTTTAAACTTTGTTTTGTCAATCTCTGTAAAAAATAATATAAGTATGAAACTTTGGGAAAAAAGTTCTATTACTTTACCCGCGTGGCAAAAAAAAAACAAACAAAAAACAAACAAACAAACAACCCCCCCCCCCCACAAACAACTACAAACAGTTATCTTTAAGCTGAACTTATACTAAAATATTTCACATAGGTCATTCTTTTCTTACTTATTTTGGCTGCAGACTACATGTACTCCGTTTATCTGATGCAGAGGTGTCAAGGCGGGTGTGACCGGTCGATAGAGGATGTCTACTACTCCAAGACACCTGACTTCACCTTGGGTGTTTCCAGGGGTCCATGTTTTTGCCCTGTTCTCAATCTATTTTTGTAGGATTTATGCGATTGATCATTGTTCGTTCTTCAATAATATTTTCATTCATACTTGTATTTGAATTGTATGTCGTATTAAACAAAATACTATTTTTCACCTCAATTAACAATAGAGATGGGAAAAGCTGTGTTTTAATGTCTTACATTGAGGTGTCATTTTAGGAATGACTCTAATTCTTGGCCAAATTATTCGAGTATAACCTGGTTTGGGTCAGTTTACGCTGTATAATCCGCAAACCAGGTTATACTCGAATAATTTGGCCAAGAATTAGAGTCATTCCTTATAATTTAATTTTAAAATCATTAAATAACTATGGGTGTAAAATTTCGTTGCTTTTTATTAGTTCAAATTTGCCGCTCAATAATACAACCGTAGTAACGGAAGTACCGGAAGTGATGGGAAGCAAGGGGAGGTAAACTGATACATAGGCCTAGCAGCCTTGTTGTTTGTTTACATGTGGTAAGATCGAATTATTGTTTGGTACATTTATTAAATCTGGAATTTTCCATGAATCCCGAGGACTGGAAATGAGAGGATTGTATGGATACAGATGATTCAGCTGGTTGTCAGGGGGGTGTGTCCCCATACCAAACCAGGTTATACAGAAATAATTTGTGTTCCTTTTTGGATATTAACCAATCAGAGGCTAGAATACGAACTAAAGTAAATTATTACAAAATATTTCGTATAGAAGTGTTCAATTGAAGTTTACTGCCAAATGACTATATAGTTATGAACAAATAATTTTTAGAAAGGTATATTGTAAAGGAAAACCATAAAAAATGTAATGATAATGAAACTATCATTTATATTTACATCATCACCGTAACATAATTATTGGAGAAAATGATTGTGGACTATAGAGATAATTCAATGAAACAATTCGGTAGGTCAATGGAGTAACATTTTATTCTTTTTTTTCATCTTTTTTGTCTATTTCGAACATACTTTAGGAATGACTCTAATTCTTGGCCAAACTATTCGAGTATAACCTGGTTTGGGTCAGTTTACGCTTTATAATCCGCGAAGCGGATTATAAAACAGCGTAAACTGACCCAAACCAGGTTATACTCGAATAATTTGGCCAAGAATTAGAGTCATTCCTTATAATTTAATTCTAAAATCATTAAACAACTGTGGGTGTAAAATTTCGTTGCTTTTTATTAGTTCAAATTTGCCGCTCAATAATACAACCCTAGTAACGGAAGTGATGGGAAGCAAGGGGAGGTAAAAACTGATACATAGTCCTAGCAGCCATGTTTTTTGTTTACATGTAGTAAGATCCGAGTTACTGTTTGAAGCTAAAGGTACATTTATTAAATCTGGAATTTTCCATGAATCCCGAGGACTGGAAATGAGAGGATTGCATGGATACAGACGATTCAGCTGGTTGTCAGGGGGGTGTGTCCCCATACCAAACCAGGTTATACAGAAATAATATGTGTTCCTTTTTGGATATTAACCAATCAGAGGCTAGAATACAAACAAAATTAAATTATTATTAAATATAGGAATATCTTATTCACAGCTTTTTGCATTATTTTTCTAGAGCAAGACAAAAAGCTTCTTGAATTAGTGGAAGGGATGCAAAATGAACTCGCAAAACTCAAGAACAGTATCAGTAATTTAACCAAAGGTAAAAGAAATTTCAGCTTCATTCCCTGGTTTTTAAACATAGATGGAATAATTGTGGGCAAATTTAGCATCAACATCCAAATCTTTCGGTAAAGATTTCATTGTCATAAATTATTTACATTGTATAACAAATGAAAATTGAACTTAAAATCAAAGGTCGGTTTTGACATTTCACAGAAATAAATACTAGTATCATGTTATCTATCCTCATAACAACACATAAAAGAACCTCTGTATGCAGATATACCTTCAAAATCGTGTCCATCAGATTGGTCGTCGTTTGGATCATCTTGTTATATGATCATTAAACAGAAAAAGTCGTGGGATGATGCAGCTGTAAGCATGTTTCTTTTCTTCTTTTGTGTGATGACTGATAACATTTAAGTACTCGGTAAAGTGTAAATTCTCCAAAAAAAAAAAAAAAGGCTATAAAGTTAACGTTCAATTTGCAGGTTAAATGCTTACGATATGGAGCTAAATTAGTCGAGATAGAGACAAAGGAAGAAAACGATTTTCTTAAGCAAACACTCATCAACACAAATGGTATATATAGAAATCTGATTTTCTTTAATTCAGAACAAAGTTTTTACCATTCGAATTACTGTAAATAAAACTATTTTCATGATTAGATATCTACTGGACCGGGGGAATAGATGAAGTTACTGAGGGAAGGTTTGTTTGGGCATCGACCGGAAATCCCCTGACTTTCAAGGACTGGAATGACGGGGAACCAAATGATTATAACAAGAGAGAAGACTGTCTTGACTTCTCCAAAGGATTTAACAGAAGAAAACTATGGAATGACAACAGATGCGAATCAAAGTTTTATTTCGTTTGTGAAAAAACTGTTTTATTCATCTAAATGTGAAACATTTCATTTGCATGAATTTTATTTTCTCTTTGTCATTAAATTAAGATTTTTGCTGATGTTTGTTAACTAAAACAAAAACTTAAAAGAAAAACCCGTTTCCTTTCAAGTATTAAGGGTGAAATTGATGTTCTCACAGCTTAAGAGACAAGTACATATGTAAATCACTTAATAATGTTGGGCGTTCTCAAGTGGTATATCCTTAATCACTGAAGGATTTCAACCTCAACATACATTTCGAGGTCAAGAAAAATATCAAGTTCAATATTTAAGATACATTACGTGCACAAATGCAATTCAGCTTCAACGGGAACACTGTCCCTTGTAAAAAAAACATTATGTCAAAGGATAACAATTTGTAAATAAAAGAAGTATATTAATTTCTTTCCTTAAATAGACAGATACAGTCGTATACTTTGGATTTCCAACGTTTCGGCAGGAGCATCACTGAAGAGACATAATTTGTCTAAATGCGCATCTGGTGCATCAAAATAGGTACCGTACAGGATTTACACACAGTTGTATTGTATAAAACTTATCCATTAAGCAAAAAAAAAAATCTTAAAGATTTAAGAAGGTATGCCGCCACACCAAAATTTTATTTACTGGCATTATAAACCGTCTTTTGAAATATGAATTCAGCATTGAAACACCACTAGAAGCTCTTAGGTATTTCGTATGCATTTTGTTCCCCACTGTCTGTCTGTCTGATCGTCTGTCTGTATTACTGTCTCTGTGATTGATTGTTGTTTTATGTCCCGTTCGAGAATTTTTCAATCATATAGGGACGTCTGTGTGTAACAATTTCGTTTCCAGATGATATCTCAAGAAGCCTTGGGCTTTTGCAATGAAATTTCATACCACAACTCCCTATAGCCTAAAGAAGATCCATTTTGGTTTTTAGGTCAAAAGATCAAGGTCATAAATTCATTAATTCTATTTGTGCGTAACACTTTCGTTTCCTGCCAATATATATCCTTAAAAGTCTTTGAGCTTTTGCAATGAAATTGTATATCACATATCATAACCCCTTATGGCCTAAAAAAGATCTTTTTATTTTTTAGGTTAAAGGTCAAGGTAAAAAAAATCTTACATTACAAAAAACATTTTACAGATGGTAACTTTAGTTTTCTTCGGGCTTTAGTCAATAAAATTTATTATCACAACTTCCTTTGACTTAAAAAAAAGCCCCCTATCGATTTTGAGGTCAGAGGGAAAGGTCATAAATCAAACATTCTGTCTGTGTAACACTTTTTTCAAATTAGATCTTAAAAATACTGTAAGATTTTGCAATTAATTTTTTTTTTCACAACTCCCCATGGCCTTACAAAACCAAAAGTCCAAAGGTCAATTTATATATATATATATATATATATATATATATATATATATATATATATATATATATATATATATATATATATATCGCATATATAGTTTTCCGATAGTAATTTTACTTTTTCTGTAAGTTTTCGCAATGAAACGTTTGGTCATGAATTTCTTCAACTTTAAAAAAAATTTCATTGACTACAAGACTAAAAGCTGAAAGGTTTCAAAAGACCTATTTTCTCTCCTCATCTGTATTTTTTTTCCCCAGATCTTCCGCTTTCTTTTTTCCTTAAGCGGGGGACAAAATTCTCTGAATTAGCTTGTTTTGCTTCGAAATTTAAAACTTGTTTTTGATTATTAAATACTTTCAAGATGACAATTTGTTGATAATAAATGCATAATAGAAATATTTAATAAAACATATCAAGAAGAATTAGATAGGCATTTTAATTTTTTGATTCATGAAAATACAGAACAGAACTGAATTTAATAATTTTTTTTTAAATTTATGAATAAAATTTTCAAGAAACAGTTTATGCATGGACAAGAAACATTAAACAATCATATTTAACGAAAAGTTGAAATGAAATTGTGAAATTAAGAAATAGGGCTAATTTTCAGATTTGAACCAATCCCGTAGTTTTTTATTTTGAAAGAAATCGCTGAAGATAAAAAAAACCCCTCTTAGTAACTACTTTATATGCCTGCGATTTTGCGCAATACCTGACGACCTATGACAGGTCACAAAAAAATTAATAGCTTTTTTTCTTTCTTGTTGTTTTTTAAGTACTTTTATGTTTATCAAAAGAAAAGTTTTAGTAAATCTTCTTGTCGGTCGCAATTCGTGACTTTAAATGACCCGCTTTCAAATTTTATAATGTGTATTTTAAAATATTGTCTAACGTAACATAACAAATAATTATTAATATTCTGATCAACAAAAAAGTTAAAAGAAGTGGTAGTCTTTACAGAAAAAAATAAAGGTTTTAAGTGTTCTGAGAAGTTATATCAAGTGAATAAAGTGATCATTGAAAGGAGTTGCTTCACCGCTTGAACCTCAACTTAACTTAAATATTCATATATTTTGCTTCTCCTTGAAGCAAAGGATTTCATCGGGTTTTGGCATTATATCCATGTAGAGGTTAACATTTTTTTTAACATGCGTGTATATTAACACCTAGAACACCAAAACAAAATAAACAGAAAGAAATCTTTAGACAGAGATAGTCCATGTCCACAAGGGGTGGTTGTGATGATAAGTCACGTGAATTTTAGGACGCCTATGTAGTAGTCTTTGTTTAATATGTACTATAAAATTCATACGAATATTCAAATATACACCGAGGATTACATTAAAATATCTGCATTAGATGAAAAGTGAGCCAATCCAGCGCCGTTTTCATTTGAGAGCGGAATCCTTGGTATATGTTAAAAAGCCATATTCTCAATCAAAGCGACGTTACATGAATGGTAAAAAGTAATAGGATTTTACATATGAATATATAGTTAAAATAGACGAATTTCACATTTACGAAAGTTATTTCCCTTTGCGGGGTCAATCTGGGGTCAACCGGCGTAAGACTCATTTGTCAAACCGGCGTACGCCGAATGCGCCGCTTGACCTTTGGTAACCCGGCTTGTTGCCTCATTTGACCGGGAAAGGTTCAACACCGGCGCAATTCGGCGTACGCCGATCTGTGACAAATGAAGTCGGCCCTACATTCCCTCTACATTACCAACTCTCAGGGGCAATGTCTTGCAAATTAAATCCGTTTGAATATATATGTTCACTATGTTTTTTATGTTGCCCCATTCTAAGACAATTCATGCAGGAACGGGTCAAAATTGCCCAATTCCGTTTGAAGATTGAAAATATTTAAAGGTAAGTTACAAAGGATATATGGTGACAAAAATGAGTGTTACGCCGACAACGGGAGATAAGTAAACTCTATAGAAAGTGAAAGAACCACGCACGCTAACTCTCGATTCCCGCCAACATTTTAAACCCATTTAATTCAATACTAATGGCAATTTGGCCGTAAAATCTTTGTTGAATGAAAAGAACAGTTCAATGGTAATTGACTTATAATTTTAATACCAGTGTTAAATAGTTAATTACCCCTAATTCCAGCTCTTTAAATAAGGGGGGTAGACATATTTTCCATTGAAATCGGGCTTTAAAGCATCACCACATTTTAAAATATTCTTGGATATGAATAAATGTTCCTTAAATCTTTTCTTATGTTCTACGCATATAAAATTAAGTATATATTATCAATAAAATACAATGTTTTAATTGTAAACCCCTTTGAAATTGGTGAAAAAATAAGCATTTATGTAGTTGTTAGTCTGTAGACATATGTCCCCCCCCCCCCCCCCCCCGTGAAACACAAAAAGCTTTGGTATGAATTTGTGAAATGACAGTCCATATAACCTGTAAAAAGGAATTTTTGTTTCGGGGGGGGGGGGGGGGAGAGGATGTTTTAAAAATATTTTCCGTTTTCCGTTGATTTCTATAGTGAAAAACACAAGTATTACCAAAATTATAGAGTTATCTCTCTTTGTTTTCCCCAAGAAGTAATGTTTTATGAAAATTCATATAAATATCTATATAATTATGAAAAATCATTCAAATGTGTTAACTATTGAAAATTGAGTTGGAGGTAGGCGGGAGAACAATACTATCGTTCGCAGTTCTTCGTCTATTCTCGCTGGTCTAAAAAAAAATTGGGATGGTCGTCCATCTGAATTTTTTCAGACAGCGAGCTACAGATCTGCAGCTACGACGGACACGGGATTTTCCAGTTACTCGTCCATGGTTTTTTTTGTCTGTCTTATTTTTAATGTCTGTGATAGGGATATAACGGATAGCATGCAACGTAGTTTACAAATACATTGCAGTACTTAATTGTTTTACATACAATGTAGTGTATGTCCGATAGTCAAAATAAATGATAGCTGCTCACACGAAGCTAGCCTGGCTTACAGCATATGTGTTAAATTATTTGAGATGTAGTCAGTCAAATATTGAGTTGAGATTATACTGGAAATTTTCATTCGTTTAGAGCTCTTCGGGTCATGACAGGTTGTAAATAAAGAAGGAAAAGATGTTATTTTTTCCTCTCTTTTTTCTTTTGTTGGGGCGATTACTCTAAGATGCTTGATTTATTTATGATGTTTAATCCACTGAAATCTCACCAATAAATACACTGATTGATCTGTCCCTGTCTAAAGATATAGTCAAATTAATGACTGAATATTATGTTTCTCCGTCTAAAGATATAGCCAAATTAATGATTGAATATTATGTTTCTCCGCCTAGCGATATAGCCAAGTTAATGATTGAATATTATTACAAAACAAAACAAAATATTACAATAAAAAAAACAAAACAAAACAAAAAACAAACAAACAAACAAAAACAAACAACAACAAAAACAACAACAAAAAACAAAAAATAGAACAAGGCCTTTTAAAAGGAAACAGATTAGTTGTAATGAGTGCAAATGATGGCTTTTGAATTTCCTTCCATCATATCCAGTCCCAACAAGAAGTAGTTTAATACCGGAAGTCCCACTCAATAAAAGTAATGAGCTTCTAGTTACCAGTATTTGTATTTTTTTACCGTAAAACATTCAAGATATTCATCTTGTCCTGTAATTTTTGAACGGCCTTTGTTGACCAGGAACCTGATTAAAACGAGAATGGAAATACCCCCCCCCCCCCCCAACTGTCACAGAGCTTTTCATTGTTGTTATTGATTTATTAAATCACAATATACAAAGTCATCAATAATTAAGTTTAAAAAAAAAGGCTATTCATTAAAATTCAATTCTCAACCTGTATGTCATTCAATGTATATTACTTTGAGAAGTTGAAAGTCTACAGTCTTAGTTTGTGATCTAAAAATCAGTGTAAAAAGCCATTTCATGCCAGTAATTAAACAAATCCAGTAAAACATTTTGTTAAACCAAACTGAAGACTCTTTTACTTTCCAGTTTGAAGCTATAACATCTCGGTTTCCCGGAAATACAATTTCCGTGGTCATTTCCTGATTACACCACCTCCTCTGAGATGTCACCCGGTGACAGAATTCCAGTCTTTGTTTATTGAAACTATCTTTTGTTTTTTGGTCTCCAAACAATACCAAATGGTTAATATTTACTCTCACCAAACCTTCTGGAGGCAAATCTACACCATTATATCCTTTGGATTGGTCAACACAGCGTTTGAAAATAAATGTTTCGGACTCCTCGTAATCGACAACTTTTATTACGTCTGGATCTATCTCCGGATCCTCAAGATGGACAGCGGGAAAGATAGTGTTTTTATACTCGTAATGCCAACAACTGATTGTAAATTTGATGACAGGTTCCTTGTATGTTAGGGTGGTTAGTGTTTCCAATACTGTTGGTTCGTTCGAAAACTTTTCCACAAAGTGTCTATCGTCGGACACAAAGTGTTCCAAGACCAAATGAAAAACCGAGTAAATTATTCCTGATATCGAAAACATCAGATTCAATATTCCAATTCCATAATAAATTCCATAGTCAGTAATTAACGTTGAAGAGGACGGGTTCGCTTGAGACACTAAATTTACTCCAGTTACGAAAACGTAAATCCAAATGAACAAAAATACGGTGCTATTGATGGATGTTATGGTAAATAACAGTCTTTTTGTCTCCCTTATCTCAGTAGCTGCCTTATTGTTTTCTAGTTCTTCACTTAAACCATTTGTTGACAGAGTATCGCGGTTTTCCTCGTCACTTTTTGTCTTCTTTATTTCATGCCTCTTCAATAAAAATTTGACAAAAGCATACGGAACTATAACTTGGATGCTAATAGCCATAGCTAGTCCAAAAAGTATAGAAATAAATGTCCCAACATTCATTTTAATTGATTTTTGAAAAAAGAATATAACGAACACCTCAAGTTATCAGAAAGCCTCTTGTACACGCAATGCCTGTGAGTGATATGGCGGTACTATTCAGTCATAAAGAAAAGGAGACGGACTGACATTCTGACGATAAAGAGACCTGTTAAATCTTCATTGAAATTTAAACATCTGTACATTTCTGATACAGGACCGTTCTGAATATGCGTCATACAGTCTTCTAGCTTTCTAACTTTATATATATATATATATATGCGTCTTTATTCGGGCAGGCATATTGATATACCACTGAAATACTGTACACCTCTTTTCTTTCGTCACATTTCAATTCATATTCAAATTACATCGTGACGGATTGAAAATACTATTTTAACTTATCATGATATGTAATTTTCATTTATAAAATTAAGTTTTGAAATTTCTCTCTTAAAAGAGACTTCACTGTGCTTTCGTAAACGTTTATCGTGATAAACAGTCTGTAGTGTGTAGAAGTTACGTCTTTTGATCGAGAAATGATTGTTTTGTAGACGCCCTTTCTCTTTTTATTATTCATTTTACTTCGCCATCAGATACAGGACTTTTAAACACCCTTCTGATCAAAACCTTAAAGATATGAACAAAAAACAAAGAATACAGAGAACCAGACAATAGTCGTTACTGCGGAGGGGTTGTGCAAGATTACAGGAAAGATAGCATTACTTTGTTTGCAATGCATAAAGACAAAACAATTAAACAACTAGCTGAAACCTAATTTAAAGGTTAATTTTTTTTCAATATTTAATGAAATAATTATAGTATACTCCAATCTAAGATTAAGAAAGCCGCTAAATACAATTAAATGTGGAAATGAAATGTACAGAATATAAACATGATCATTAACCTTTTACAAAATAGTATTGCTACAATGTTTCCTGAAGTCTGTTAAATGACATTTCACTTGCTAAGAATGTGTCTCCCTGCATTATCGGTCCATGCCAAGGATTCCACCAGGACACGTTCCCATACAATCCATTTAGGAACGCGAAGTCACACGCGGCAAACCACCAACCGCCGTGTAGCCGCGCGGTGCAGTTGTAATTGTCATTATACGGTGGATCCGGTGTGTAGAATATCTTACCACCGAGGTTAGCCTGTGGTAGACCTGTGTCCATCATCATATCGCCTATTTTAATTAGGAAAACAACAACATGATTCTAGTAACTGGAATGATAGTATTTTTGATCGTTCAAGCCCATACAAGCAAATATATGTGCACTTCATAAAGCAATACAAGATATCAGCTTCAGTCCAAGAATTTCCCGAGTACTCACTGACAGTATATAGTAGACACTAAATTAATGTGGTTCCTAATTTTTATAAATATTACATCTCTCAAGGAGAAAATGTCTGGAATAAGAGACAAAATCTGAATCAAACTGCTGGATAAATATTCAGGGACATCTTTAGGTTCAATTCCCATACCTGCAGTTCCATTAGCTTGACCACCTAGTGTAAGTCTATACCGAGTTGACTTGTCATCCACGGCAAATATATCGTAATCTTCATACCAGGAACGTCCATCCGTGGAGTTTATAATGATGTGGAGTCTAGTGTTGTTCCTCTCGGTCAAGGTATGTAAAATTTCGTTGCCTACAGTAAATCGATGATGATAAAATCTGTCAAATAATTTTAATTTGCTAGAAAGACATTCCTCTGCCCTTTCAGAAATGAGTGTATAAGAGTGAATAGAAAGTTTATCAAATTAAAGACTTTACAGGAGTGTCCAGCATACCTAGCCAGTATTCTGACCGTGCACTACCAAAACCGTTTTGATATTCCACCCATGTTCTGTTAAAAGACTCTGAGCCATCAAAACGTTTCTGAAACACCTGTGTATTAAAGTAATGAAAAATGTAGATGTCAACTGTGTATGTACAGGTTACATCATAAAATAAATTAAAAAATATATAAAGCATGCAAAATTAAAAACTCTCACAGTCCATCCCCCAGGAGGAATCTCCATGTTACAGAACACCTCCACAGGACGTGACATGTCTCTCCAGGGGAAGATAATGTACACACCCGAACTTGTCCAACCATTTTGGTAGACATCCCAACAATCAAACGGGACGGTTCCTGGAATGTGTCATGTTCAAGAACATATAGTAGTAAAAGATACTTTATAAATCAGGCATGCTGTAATTTGATGCTTACCTGTCGTGGAAGGAGGGGAGGTGATCGGAATGCCGTTTCCACCTGTTGATAACAAAGCCATTTTTTTTTACTTACTTTAAGAGATGGAGATTAAAATTAAATTTGACTTCTTTCGGTTGATTGTTACAAACTTCCTTTTGAAATTAATTGAGAAAAGGTCAACAAGTTAAAGAATCTAAATTCCCAAATTTAAATCATTTGAATACTTTTGTTTTAAACACATTGAATTAACAGCATTTTACGTCATGTGAACAATTCATGTTTTAAAGACATACAATTATTGTTACAGAGATCAGTTGAGCAGCAATGGCTACACACGCTTTTCTCGGCTCTCTTTCCAAAGATTGAACCACTTCCAATGCTACATTCCTTATAAAAATAAAACATATATTTAAAATGTTACCAGTGGTTAATAAACTCTATACATGGCCATGGAAATCGTTTGTAGATTAATTAAATGTTCATGATGCTTCATCTAGAAAAAGGGTACATGCTTTTATTAACTCTACATGTATATAGAAATAACAGATCATTATGATCACTTTAAAACAGTGTATGTTACTTACATGTTTATTTATACAGCTTGTTGTATAAAAAGTATCACCAAACTCGTTATTTTCTTGAATATGACAAACCTGTCAAAAAATGTTTCTTCGTCATGCAAAATTAATGTGTATCAATCATTTTTTCGATCAAAACAAGTCTAACCAGAACAATAAATGTTCTCTGTGGAACATATAGCATATGTTAAATCTTGAATCTACACTACCTGACGATGTTTCCATATGACTAATTATGGCCCTGTCAATCTTGTCTGAGAAGAAGACTTCAAAAAAAAAAATCTATGCATATTCATATGTATACCCCCAAGATGATTCTTTGAACAAACTTGAATCTACACTACCTGAGATAGATCCCATATGAATATGATATATCATGGCCCAGCTGTTATTTGGTTTTCATGTAAAACTATTGAGTCCCCAGACTATCCTTCGAGGATTTGATTGAACAAACTTGAATTTATACAACCTGAAAATGTTTCCATATCGATATGACTTATCATGGCCCTGCTGATCTTAAGAGTAAGAGTTTTTAAGATTTTCCTTTTTATTCCCATATAGAATTTTGATCCCCCTTCTGAGGTCCCACCCCAAACCAAAGGGCCATGGTTTGAACAAATTTGAATTTACAATATGTAAAGAAACCTTCATAAAAGTTTTATCTTTTTTGGCCCAGTGGTTTTTAAGAGGATTTTTCAAAGTTGCCAACAAATTTTGACAAATTCTGAATTTTCTCCCCTTGACATGAAAGAGGGCGGGGCTCTTATTTTGAACAAAAGTTAATTCCCTTCAACCAAGGCCAGTTTGGTTATAATTGACCTAGTGGTTCTGGAGAAGAAGTAAAAAATGTAAAAAGTTTACAGATGACACCCGACACCTTTCGATCAGAAAAGGTCACTTAATATTTTGGATCAGGTAAGCTAAAAACTTAATCTTTTGATGGAAAATCAGAAAAAAATCTAACTTGATCAGGAGCGCACACAGCTGCTCTGTGACACAGAGTAGGGTCGGCAATCTGTCCACAGTTAAAGCATAGGGGACCTCGCGTGGCTGGGTATTCTGGTGATATAGATTAACAAATACAATTATAAATCTTTATTAGGAATAAGATTATGAATACGTTTGAATTACATAAAATAAACAGCGACACCAAACCTTGTGATCCGCAACCATGGCTATTGCATGCATCCGTCTGGCAGCATTCAACACAATCTGAATTGTCTGTGACTGACAGAGGGTCACCGGCTGGTGTCGTGGTTATATTGCCTGGACACATCTACAGAGTGCACGCTTTAATGTCATTGTTTTTCTTTGAATATGGTCTAAATGAAAATTAATTGTTGTTTGTAAGATAAGTTATCAGAGAAGTATCTCTCTTGATCCCATACGTCAATCTGGATAAAATCAGAGACCACTTTAAAAGAACGAGATTTGATTGTATATTTAAGTATTGTGTAGGATCCATAGAGTTCAAATGACCAAATAGACTGCTTCTTTGTGCATTAATTTCTTATGTTTGGAATATTGATTCATGTGAAGAAATAAGACAGCTTAACTCCTTCACAAATATGAATTTTGATGGATGAATATGGATGGATCTAATCTACTCTTATTTTAAAATTATCTTTCCATTTTTAAACTTCACCTGGAGCCTGTTTTACAAAACAACTTACGACTAGGACAAATTTTTTTTACTTGATTGTAAAATTTTGCAAAGTTAATGATTCCACTTGATATTCTTAGCAAAAAAAAATCTTTCTGAATTCTGTTTAAAAAGGATTTAAATCATTTTCAAATTAATGTAAAAGAAAAAGTAATAAGCAGAATAAAATTTTGGTCTTAGTCGTAAGTTCTTTTGTTAAACGGGTCCCAGACTACTCACCGACAGATGGGTGCAACTGCTATCGTAAACAGTCACTCCGTTTATTGTGGTGTACTTTCGGGTGAAACATGTCTAAAACACAATTTCAAACAGCTGTATATTCGTCATAGAGAATATGAAAATCCTAACATTAATATAATGGAAATCTCACTTCTCCAACATCACACTTCTGAATCTGGTGACAATGTCTGGGAGATACGCTCTCCGTACAGGAAAGACAGTATAAGCTATCTAAAACGAAAATAAAATAGACAGAATAGTAATGCATCTTGTATAGATGTTCTCTGTTTTACTAAAGGCATCTAAGTCTATTTCAATCTAATATGGAGCACTTTAACTTCCTGTTTCACTCACCTACACCAGAAATAAGAAGAGTCCAGTATATAAAACCCACTATGCACAAATCTGAAACAAAGAGCATGCCATTTTCTTAAGTGCAGATATTTTACTTTTTGTACCTTTACTTGCGATTTTTACCCTACCTATAAACATGTCGATCTTCCGGCCTTATTAACCAAGATAAGACTCTTCTTGGATAATTCTGATATTACATTGTGACCTCTGATATTGTCATATCATTCACTTGAAATTCATTCGAAAATCGATTATGTATTGTCCTTACACGATGATAAAATAAGGTCGACTTCCAAACATCTAAGAAAACAAGCGTATCCCTCTTCAATTCTCCTTGAAATAAAAGATGCTGCAGTACAAATTGCACACAGATCAATCATCATCCGCAGTTCGATCAAGATTAAAAATTATAGCATTGGTGAAAATATCTGACAAAATAAAAGGGGCGTTATCGCCAAATTAGTGGGGGAAAATATACTTGAAAACAATATCTCAATATATTTCTGGTAACATTCGCAAGTTTAAAACGTTCTGTTGTCTGGAAAAGGAGAATGCGTGCTAGATATTAAAGCGTTGTAATCAAGATCGAAATATCAGTCCATTTCTCTTCAGCTATAAAGTTACGACTCCATTTGGTTCTCAGCAGTCATGTGACCTGATGGGTACATAAGCTGAGACAGTGGGGTTGATCAGTTATTAGTCCCCTACCGGTGAAACCGGAGGGACTATAGGTTTCCTGTGAGGCTGTCCGTCCGTCTGTCCCTCTGTCTGTCAGTCTGTCCCACTTGGTTTTCCGCACTTTTTTCCTAAACTCTTGCAGATATTGAGCTGATTTTTGGTATGTGAGTGTATCTTGATGAGTTACAGATCAAGTTTGCATTTTGTTCCGCTTCATTGATTTTTGACGGAATTACGACCTTTTCAATTTTACAGGGTTTTCCGCATTTTTTTTTCTAAACGCTTGCAGATATTGAGCTGATTTTTGGTATGTGACTTTACCTTGATTAGTTATAGATCAAGTTTGCATTTCAATCCGCTTCATTGATTTTTGACGGAATTATGGCATTTTCAATTCTTAACGGGAACCAGATTATACTTGCCGGTAGGGGACTAGTATTACTAATGCAATACTCTCAGAATGTTTGTTTAATTTGTTGTTGACAGCAGATGTGTGTACACTGAATAAAACAGAGATTTAAGGGCACCTGAAGGCTAACGTGCCTGAAGTAGGCTTTCCGGGCCTGGGTAGCACGGTGGAATTCAAAAAATGATCAAAGAAATAGATTCCTGGTTTATTTAAAAAAAAATTATTTATTATTGCTTCGTAAATTAGGAGCGGGATGGAAGAAATGTTCAATGGGGAGATCTCCTTTTTCGAAAAGAGCTGTACCTTGAAATAGAAAAGCGATCAACACTAAACCCATGCGCGATTCCGGCTTTGCAAGTACCAGTCTGGAGAAGAGATAGTGTAATTATCAAATGCAAAGCAAACCTAAACCCTCAGAAGGAAAATAGTGACACGCATGGTGTTACAGTAAAACGAAAAAAGGAGCAACGAAATTCTGCGTCTGGGCCGAATGTACCACTCTAAACTGCATGTTATACTGCGAGTCGTAACAGTATCAAGCGACTGCTCCATCGCCGTGCATTTTGTCAAAAGTGCATTCGCATTCAGCCGGACTAGTGCTTCATCACTTTTACTAGTCCGCACGCGATTTTATTAGACTAAGTGCGTCAAAAAAAAGAAAGAAACATCATTGTTTTTTAACATTAACTTAACGTGACAATTAATATATGTACATGTATTATTTTTTGAAATAAAGTATTTACGTGAAATATATTATTCCACGGATTCATTGAAATCTCGCAATCAGCAAGTACGATCGTATTCCCGATCTCGTTTTTTTCCTAGTGTTTCAGAATCGGACGGAAAACACTATCGATTATCGAATCGAATCGGAAACACCATTTCGATTCATAATCGAAAATAATCGGACATTTCAGATTTCTTATGTTTCTTTTTATTTACATAATTAAAAGTCCTGTATTATGTTTTATAGTTATAGGCACTAGTGTCTAAATATAACTGATAAGTAAAGATGTAGGCCTGTATTTAAGTTTTAATGAATCTGCTGATATTTTACTATATTTATTAAAGGAAAGAATTACACTTACTTAAATTTCAGTCCAATAAAAAGGAATTTTAGTTTTATATTATTATTTAACTGATAACTATGTAAACAAAGTGCTTCATTTGTTATGACATTAATCATGTTTATACTAAATTACTGATAAGATGATAAATTAATTTGTTTAAAAATTTTGATTTTTCAAAAGATAAATTTTCTTCTTTTTTTTTTTTAATTTATTCCTGTTTATATAAAGAACAGTTCAACAAATTGTCTACCTTCTTAATGTTAATCATATTTGAATCTATCAGTTTATTCAGAGAAATAATTTTTGTATACACAGCCAGGGACCTATATACTAGTATATAGGTCCCTGACACAGCATATGGGTATGCACAATAAAAATACCAATACTTCTTGTGCATTCGTTTTATAGAATAAAAAAAAACACTAGTTTTGTGTTTCACTTCTGACTGACCTATAATTGTTTAAACTGTAAAAAAAAAAAATAATACACAGAATGTGAGTGGAAAGTTGTAAATATCGTTTCAAGTGTGAGAGCAGAGGAAATTCAGGTTAAAAGACGATGTTTTTGAGTGTGGTGCTCTTGATAGCTTTATTTCGTCGTCAGTTCTTTCGTTGCATAAAATAATTATGATTTGCATTAATGGAAGGGAATTTTATTTAGATTTAGTCATTATTATATTTTTCAAAGCATTTTTACGAATCATTCACTGACTCAGTTTAATGCATTGTTTAATACAGGCGAACGGACACATTGTATGTGTGCACATGGAAGATACATAAAAATAATCAGTGTGACTTTTTTGTACAAAAGAAAAAAAAGGAAACACTACCTAAAAAGATAATATATATTAAGATTTAGCATTATGCTTAAAGTAGCTATATATATAGCGACTATCGATTTTGGTGCTATGCTATCGATTGTCGGCATCGCCAAGCTTTCAACGACGATTTTTCGATCGTCGGCGACTATCGCTGAATCACTATTTTTTTCCCCTTTACATTATATCCAAAACGTCCAACATCTTTCTTGAAAGTGTCATACTAAATCATGATCGCTAAAACCTTATACTTCATACCGATCAGTCGAAAAATTAAGCGCTGAATTGACCCGGTATTGTGTAACTACCCGCCAAAAGCTAGAAATCTAAAAATGCACGCGGGGTTTTCCAGTAAAAGTTGTCGAGAATTGGACATCGGTAACTTATTCAAATTGTTTTACAGAAATTTTTATTGGTCCGTTCGGACTAATTAGCCACATATTTTATTAGTCCGAATGAAAATGTATTAGTCTGAGACTATCGGACTAACGTTAGTGTCGAACCCTGCAGTGAGTATGTGAAATTCCTGTGATTGCTCCTCTCCAGTGTCCATTGGTATGCAATCCCAACTAACATCACAAACGCAATCTCAAATTCGACCTAATGAAAATGGTGAAGATGACGAATAGTAATTGATCTCCAAAAAAATCATCTACTAACAGGACATAAAACACGGACCCCCAGAAATTCCAGAGGACCAGATGCCTAAGAGGAATAACTGAGCATCCCCAGTCGACCGGCCATGTCCGTTGTGAGTCCTATGTATTGATCAGGTAGACATAATATCCCGTGGTCAAACTGAGCATGCTGAGTACAAAAACAAAGGGCTTACTGTTTGTATGAAATATGTCAATGAAAATACGACCCAGTGATAGATTATAATTGCTAACTTCGTAATTATAACGACCATAGAATTCACGACGTTAAACAAGGTTGTTGAAATCCCTATAACATCAACTTATCTGTCAGTATCTTGCCTTGGTTTAAAAAATTGATCGTTCTCAGAGCATGCTCTTGAGTATCAAATAAGTTGAGAGTTATAAAAACCATATGCAGGTGAAAACGGAACATTACTGCATCAATAAAGGAAGTTGATGATGCAAAAGCTGAAGTCATTTCGTTTGTCATACCATTTAGTTATTAGTCAGTCCTTATCGTCTAAAATCAGTATAGAACATCCAAATGTGAAACAGATGTGGTAGACTCTGTGGTGTCTTTTATTTCGAGTTCACTGAGATATATCGAGTCGACATATGAATGGAAGTAACTACTGTTATTGGGGAATCATTTGCTGAGGGTCAGGCACGCAATAAAAAAGTGTCCCTTTGAGAGATATAGACAGTCGTTCTTCGATGCAACGGCAAAGACTAGAGCCGAAAATGCGACATGTGTAACATACAGAGTGCAACATTTGACGGTAGTAATTAGAAGTCTTATATTAATGCTTGCGAATCAATTAATGGTCTAAAAGAGAAAGGCCTCTATTTAAGATGTGCTTATTACGAGGTGTTGTTCATGGAGTCTTAAGATTGTTCTTCAGAGAATGGTCAGCAGTACGATTTGTGGTTAAAGCACTTGAGAACTTCGCACCGCCTTATCAGAGATTTACCGTGCCCAATAACGTTAGATAGCATCAGAAACCTTGTCAGGATCAGGACATTATAAGAAGACTCACTTTTGTGGTTTATCCGTCAGTATCAGATGAGATAAGAGAAGTGCTTGGAAAAGCGTCTTTCATGAAGACCAAGTAGATTCAGACATGCGATCGAGTTCGCATATAGCAAAGAAGAGCTCAATATTGAAACGAAACCAATCGTTTAGCAATTGAGTTGGATGCATATTACAAAACTGAAAAGAGATGTGATAGTCACAGTGTGAATTTCATAAAACCTACAAATGTAGACAGATCGCATCCAAAAAATTTGAATTGATTCAAACACTTCAGATAAAGGTAGAATCATCAGAAAAGAGCGTTCAAGAAAAAAAAACAAACTAGTAAAAATGTTTATGATGAAAGACGAAGGTTTACCAATGGACGGAATAGTGAGAAGGGAAAGTGTTACCACTGCTCCGAGGAAGAAAACTTCCATAGATATTGTCCCAAATTGAAGAAAAGAAGCGATAATGCTAATAAGCACAAAGATCAATCCACAATGCGCGTCGAATTCGCAGTGGTTGGTACCGGCAGGTTGGCATGGAGACCGACAAGGATGATTTTATTTGTTACACGCAATGTGTTTTATCAGAATAAGGTTATGCCCTTTAGATTGTGTCGGGTACTTGCTACCTATGAGCGTCTCATGGAGACAGTACTTGCAGGTCTTCAATGGGACAAGTGCTTGGTAAATTTTGAAGATATAATTGTCGTTGGAAATTCGTTTAAAGACATGCCAGAAACCCTCAAAGAAGTGTTCAAGGACCAGGCAGATTTCGAGCTAAAGGCTAAAAAGCGCAACTTTTTTGTTAAAAATATTTCATACCTTGGGCACATAATATCAAAGGAGGGGTTTTTACTTACCCTGAAAAGTAAGTATAGTTGCTGAATGGCTTGTTCCCAGTAGAATCTCAGATGTTTATTCTTTCTCGGGACATTAATTTGCAGCTATACTACAGGCATTTTATCAGAGATTTTGCCTCGGTAAGCTTAACTCCTGCATACACTCACTGAAAAGGACAGAAAGTTACAATGGTTCAAAGAAATACAAGAAGCTTTAATTTGGGGATATTGGGCAAAAGTTTGATCAGTGCCCCAATACAAGCATTACCTGATGTAACGAAGCAGTTAAAACTTGACACTGATGCCAGTTGAACATCAGTAGCCCCTGTGCGATCACGGAAAAAAGTAATAGCCAGCAGAACTTTGTCTAAAACAGAAAAGCGATTTTGTACATGTATTACAAAGAAAGAGTTGTTGGCTATTATTCATTTCATGAAATACTGCCATCACCATCTCTATGGTAACTGTTTTCACGTCAGAACAGACCATAGATCAATGAAGTGGCTTTTACGATTTAAGAATCCAGAAGGTCCGATGGCTAGGTATAGTTAGAAGTGATCAGTAATAAAAATATTTCATACAGAATTCTGTGTGAACGTCTAGAAGTTTCTCACAAAATCGGTAGAAAGCATGTCGCTCCAGAAGGAATATTATGATGTGAAAGTTGCATGGTCTACTTTTGAACCCGGAGAAGGAGTCTGTGTGTATTTGCAGAGCAGAAAAGGTGGCTGTTCTCCAAAATTGACATTATTTTGGAGCGTTCCTTGCTTGGTTGAAAAAAAAAATTGTCCAATTTCCTTTACAAAGTTACATGGATTTCGAGGCAAGAGCAGCGTTATTCATTGTGGTCGAATTCGAAATTGTACATCTCAGATATTGAGAGGAGAAGAAAATGAGTTACCTCAGAGGATGAAAACGAAATAAAAGATGAAATGACATTTAACCTGTAGATGATGGTGATGAGTACCTGGCTTAAAATGATATAAAGAATTAATGCAAGCGGGTATTCAAATTGGCCCAACATGATGAGACGCTTACCTCCTTGGCATGACAATTTTGTGGTTAATGTACATAATGTAAACAGTTTATATTCTGCCTGATTCAGAGAGATTTTTTGTTTATAACAAATGATATAAACACGAAGCCCACAATCAGAAAAGAGACTCTTGAGTGCTGTAAGCAAAGTGACTGTGACTGATTGAATGTGGTTGAAAACGCCATCAGAAAAGGTTTGAGTGAAATCAGTGTGATTACGCTATAAACAAAAAAGAGTTTCGATGTGCAGAACCATGAGAGAACACTACATGAAGGAAGTTCTGGACTCGTAACAGAATACGATTCTGATCGTTAGTGGGGAACATTGGAGCTGGGGACTCTGTCTGATGTAGTAGCTGAACCTGACATCACGTTACAGGCCCGTAGGAAGCAACTTCAGAGGGGGGGGGGCACAGCCATACATTTTCAGTTGAGGGGGCACTATCAACAACTACCAAAAATTTCTTGACAAGCAAAAAAAAAAAAAAAAGTTTTTATTGAGGGGGCACAAGCATATAGTATCTATGTTTTCTATAGAATACTCTATAATATATCGGCAAAATTATGTGTCCCCCCCCCCCCCCGGTTCCTACGGCTATGAGTTAGACAGCTTCCAGTGTATACTACATGAACGAAGGGGAGGGTTATAGAGGATTCTGATACTGTAATCCCCCGTATTCCTAGGCACATTTGTCACTCTGATGATAACTCCACGTGAGCGAGTAGCTAAACATCCATCAACCATGCAATGCACACACATACATGTATCAAGTTGGCGGACAGTCGAAGTTCATGAGGTTGAGAAGTGATATTTAGATACCATATCAAGTGCAAAGACATTGCACCTTTTGTAGATATTAACATACACAACTGTGGTTTGTTTTCATTGGCAACTGCGCCTATTCCATGAATTTTGTTTTCTCAACCTGTGTCTATTTCATGAAGTTTGTTGTTAGTGATGTCAGAGGAATGTCATACGCTTGGGTAATGAAGCGATGAATTACCCCTCTGTTTCTCTGTAGATTCATTATGACTTCCTCTCTCTCTCTCTATACTCCTATGATCACAATCAGGAGTCTCTGACGAGACTGTAGCCTTACTGGTTTGTACTTATAACAAAGGAAGAGAAAAGTAACAACAGCTTTTAATCTCATCTGGTAAGCAACATTAAACATATGTACCCAACAACATACTGGTCTTGCGTTACGTATATTTAATTCCTAGCTAAAACTTCTTTTCGAATAAAAATTAAAATGTCAAAACTCTTACGAGTCTAATTGCAAGAAAATTGCAATTATATTTACAACAAAATCATATCCATAACAGACCAAAACTTCATTTCCTTCATTGAATATTAAATAATTCAAAGTTTCGCTGAAGCTGAAAATACAGAAGTGATTAAAATTGTTGTTAAGGTCTAATGTCCCTCTGATAAGAGAGATAACTGCAGAAGTAAATAAATCCAAAAAATTGTTCTATCAGGTGTTATTTACCCACTTACTAGATTAAATGCTGTTAATATTATCGTGTATTTTCTTTTGCTATTAAATTTGATTGTTATTTATAGTTTTTTAAATTAAAGATTTTGCACCTGGTTTATTTTCCTGTTATAAATTAAAATACATGCATTTCTATCGGGAGCATAGAAACGCGGACCTTCAAAACCATCAGAGGTGAGATCAGGTGCTCTGGAGGAGTGAGTATCCTCTAGATAAACAACCTGCTAAATATATACCTCATATATTTTTTAATGTTGTGGTATTAAATTAGTGCTCTTTCTATTTACTGTGTCAAATTTTCTTCATAATATGGTTAGACATAAATTTAATTTTCGAAAAAAGTAAGTATAGTCGCTTCACACCTCAAACCTTGATCCATTTGAATCTGATGCTTTTATTGTTGATGAAAATCAAAGTTGGGAATTTTTAATTTTTTATGAAATTTAGAACAGAGGGACATTAGGTCTTAACACTCAAGTTCTATTGGAATATTAAGGACTTGCTTATCAGTCCTAGCCTTCCTCTAAATCAATATTTTCAGTGATATTTTTCCATTTTACTTTTATGCTAAGAAAGAAGCAAATTCAGAAAATTGTGGTCCCCAATGCACTTGAACATCCTATCTTCTCTCATTCAAAAGTTACAATCTTTGTTAATTTTTTTTAAAAAGCTGATTAAACTTCAAGGTCATCTGGTCAAAAATCACAGTACATCTGGAAAAGTTTTTTTTTTTCTGGTAATGCAAATGTGAAATATGAAAGCCTCATCTTTTCTTACTCAGAAGTTATGACCAAGGATTAAGTTTTTGTGACAAAAATACTGATAGAGGAACAGACAGTCGGACAGACAAATGAGATTTAATGTCCCCACACTTTGTGCAAGAGGAGCAAATTCTCAGTTTCATGTAATTGTTTTAATCTGTTTTTCTATTATTTCAATTTACTGCTCTTTCACAAAAAGTACTATGGAATCTTTTTTTTATTTGTGGGGTCAATGTTCATGGGCAAGGAAAATTTTATTGGTTCATTGGGACATACTCTCATACAAAAGATTCAATGAACAAATATTTTGACAAAATAATTGTTTGTGGGGATGTTAATTTGTGGGCAAAGTTGACCCATGAAATCCAGGAACATTGGTCCACCATGAACAATGATGATTCCACAGTAGTTGAAAATACATGTTCTATAGTACATGTATATTGCAATAAGAGAATTTTTTTATTACAACATACATACGAGTCATCACTCAGCATTTAAATCTATATTCATAGGAAACAGAAAGTCATGCATGGCATATTTCCATGTCCATAACCTAGCCACTCTGTTGAATTGTTCTCTGTCTGTCTGGTAAACCTTTCCAATCACGGGCTCCATACACACAAAACAGTACGGATCTGTCAATAGTGACTGGATGCTTATCAGAACCTTAGATATTGTCAGAGCTAAGCTCCAGTTATGATGTATTGAGTCTAATCCCACATCCCCATGTCTACTTATATTGGGGTGAAATATTTTGGTGATGAATCTCACTTTTGGAGGCCTCATAGGATAACTGAAAATAAAATTTAAAAAATTGAAAAGTGGGAATTTAACAAAATATAATAGGATGAAATATTAATGTGTGCCTGAAAATAAAAAACTATGCTATCCAAAACACTTCACTCACTTGAGCTTCTGGTTCAGATCGTAAATAAAAATATCAATCAAATATCTTTTCATTTTTGGGGTCAAACATGGACTGAAAGATCAAATTTCTTAAGACACATTATACTTAGTCTAGTATACTATGCATTTAAGCATTGTAAGCATTTTTGTTTACCTTTGTGGTATTTGTAAATAAAGAAGAAATAACCCCCCTTCATAAGGACTGCCCTGAGGGCCGGTGATAGAGGCTTGCCAGTGACAACAGTGTCTATCCAGGGGTGTGGCCTTAATACCCTCTGGAGGGTCAGACTTCAGGGTCTTTAGTTCACTTCGTAATCTTCTGTGTCTCCATGAATTTTCCTCAATGGGTGGGGTGCTCTGTAAAAACATACAAGTTTTCAAGTTATTTACAATGTTCTTTATCTTGTCATTTATACAGGTAGATGGGGGAGGAGTGTTAAGAAATAATGTGTATAACAGGAAAATACTGTTATTTTTGAAATTCATTAACTTTGAAATTTAGTGGTCATGCTTTTATTTATGGTTTATTCTGTTTATTTTTATTTTGCACATGGGGAGATCTAGAAATTTTTCATATGTTCAGGGTCCAAGGTCAAAGTCTGAAATTCATTTCCCATGTAATGTGTAACTGGAGAGGGAGAGAAATGTGATGGAATATACCAGGATTCAGACCTAGAACCCCTGAATCGCTAGTCAGGTGCTCTAACAACTGAGCTAACTGGCCACTAGGGATCAAAACTTGTCTGATTACCACATCCCTCCCTCTGTAAAGGTCTTTGCCCACAAAGACACCAATCCAGGCTCTTCTCTGGCAGTTTTTTCACCTGACACTTCCAGGGCATAACACAAAATGTAATAAGAATGGGAGAAAATGTGATGGACCTGACCAGGATTCAAACCCGGAACCCCTGAATCATTATTCACCACCAAGTGGCCACTAGTGATTGAAACTGTCTGATTTCCAAAAGTGAAAAAGATGTTTGTAGTTAAGTATGTGATACAATGGCACCGACATTGTTAAGGTCACCTTACCAAAAAGATGGTGTGGAAGCTAGAATGACAACCCCTTAAAAATTTTGTCTTGCAACTATCAATTGAATCTGAAAACTACTTCATCCATGATTTTTATGTTTTGCATAACTGTATGTCAAACCTACAGTACTCATAGCTTCATGGCTAAGCTTTGTAATATTGCAACCAAAAATAGTCAAAAAAGAATATGTTGTTTAATAACAGAACAAGTGACCTATTGTCAGATATTCATGATTTCGTCACTTCCAAACAATGTAATTGTAAAAGCTGAAATAAGTTTTGTACATTTGTATTTTTGACAAAAAGCTAAAACGGTTGAAAATACATCAGAACCCTGCCATTCAGAAACACCCTCCAGAAATGACTGAAGATAAAAGTTCTTTACTTGACAGTCCTTAAGTCTGCATGTGGGTCCCTAAGAAGGTCCAAATAAGGGTCAGGGCGGGTAAGACATCTCATTTAGGTGGAAAAATAACAATATAACATTTTGTTAAACTTAACATTTTTTAAGTACCAATGCCCCCATCTCTCTCTCTCTCTCAAAAAAAAAAAAGGCCGACGTCTGTAGAAGAGTTTCTAAAACTCTGCATCTGCTACTGGTGTAAGAGCCTAGGATGTCTGTTAATGCAATTGAAAAAAATTAGATTACCTGTAGCATCATGCTTTCTAGACAGTACTTGCAAGGAGAACTTTCTAACCTGTAAAGGAAATTGTGCAACTGAACATGGATATACATGTATGTAGTAATGAAAATACAATAGCATATATTTTTCACAGTTTAAATATGAAATGATACCGAAACAATTAATACAATAAAATATAAAGACTCTTCACAGTTTAAAAATGAAATGATTTAGAACATTTGTTTTGGAACTTGTTACATAAAAAATACCAAAAGCAAATTTTGTGTAATTGAAGAAAATTTCTTTATTACCAGTACATACAATTTTGTATAAATTATTTTCCACTTTTTAACTCTGTACTGGGGATAAAACAAAGGCCATCTCAGTTTACAGAATTCCTTCCACTGTGCATCTGTTGTTTCCCCATCCAAGATTTGCCTCCATCTTGTACAGACTCTGCCTGCTGTCCATAGAGATATATCATCCAGGTATTTAAACACGACTAGTAAAACTACAACAAACAGAGATACAATACATCAATGAGAAAGAGGGAACAAAATAACATAACAAAAGGCACATGTATTAAACATGTAATAATGAAATGATATTTTATTTACACATAAAAATTTAAATGCTGAAATAAGCTTCCAATCAGAATGAATACAATATATCCATTCACAACATTTTAAGGTGTCAACTAATGTTTACCATGTACACATTTCAAGGAAATAACTATAAAATATGTCTCAATTAATCTGACTTATGTATTCTAAATTACTGTTAGGATGCTAAAAACAGTAATTAAAAGATCAGTTTCTGATACCCTCTGGAGGTATGGAGTCCACTAATCCCTCTGGAACATGATCTTGTTTAGTGCTAACTGTCAGGAGAGAAATTCTCTCTGCCAATTTGTCTTGTTTGTGGGGTATAGGCTTTACTCTTAGGGTTGGACGTTTGGCTTCAGGTGTGTAGAAATCACTTTCAACCCCGGGTTCTTCATTACCAGAGTCAGCATCTGAATCATCCTTCTGAAAAATGAGTGTGATTTTAAGGTCTCCATATTTAGATGTTAATAATGCTTCTTCATTTTAAAAAAAAAAAAAGTATATGGTAGAAATATATCACAGAAATATTCAGGACATATTATGCATATGGAATATAATTGATAGTTTCTTTGCCTTGACATTATATAAGCACATATATGCATTTATACTACATTCTTACAACCTTTTTTCACTTATATTATATTCACCACAGAAAATTGATAATTTTTCAGCTGTACTAATTGGAAAGATTGTAAATGAATGCTACTCACCACCTCAGCATACACCTCCTGTTGCCCATCCTCAATGTCAATGTCTGATGAGAATAGAAAAAGATGACATGTGCTACAGACAGGTTGTCCAAAATTGTGACTGTAGTACCCCTCACAAACCATACAACAGGAAAACTGCAAGAATGTGTACATGCTTAAACAAAACTGTGTCATAATTGCATCATATTTGTTTATTAGCAACATACCAACTTACTTTCATGGAAAATTAAACAATGGAATACTAGGGAATACCCCACATTAAACTAATTTTAGAGGAATAAGGATAAAGATGCGGGCAGATTTAAAAAAAAATCTCCTTTTTACTCATTTTCTTTATCTCCGTTGTTTGCAAACTGAGAAATAAAATCTACATAATCTATTATTTCTTGAAATGCTTTTACTTCCAAGTCCTACATATGAACAAAGGAATTAACCAATGCTTTTTTTTAAAATACGTGGTCTCTGACGCAACAATTAAGACGGATGTTAAGAACACTGACAGGAATATATTAAAATCAACATTTACAAATTACATTTGTGCTTCGAGTGCAAAGGGAGTTTACAAACGCGCTGTTCTTCTTCTTTCTATGCAGTGCAGGGTCTTGTGGGCATCTTCGCACTTGTTCACAATTTGAATTGAATTTGTCACAGATAAATAATCATAATAAACGAAGACTTTATACATACTACAAATAAGTGTAATACAACTACCAATTTGCTTACTTCTGTGTTCAGAAACTCCTTTAAGCCCTCAACAGTGCCAGAATTTTTATCAGTTTTGGATATAGCTTGATTGTTTTCACCCTGAACGGCCATATTTGTTTATACAAACTTCGAACCCGATTGGAAAACAACAGTATTATTCTACACCATGGACACAGACAAGGCAAGACTAAGTGAAGTTGACCATAATATATATTATGCTTCCGAGGTCCTTACTCGCAGACCTTTGCTGAAAGAAAATGGGAAGAAAAAAACTTCACAAAAAAGAACAACGGGACGGGATATGAGTTGGGGTGGGTGGTGGTTAAAATTTTAAACAGTTAAAATGCGTTGAAAATACCTTAATTATTTTTTCAAATTATAGCTTGGATTGCATTGAACATTTTGAAATCAAATTCAGTTGCATTTGAAATATATTTTTAAATTTTGTGTTTATCATGTATTAGCAAATGAATTCATTGGATAGTGCTGAATATTTAGTATTTTAATTTCTATCAGAAAAATCCTTTGGCAAAAATTATTTTTATTCGGTAAACAAAAAAAGGAGAGAGAGAGAGAGAGAGAGAGAGAGAGAGAGAGAGAGAGAGAGAGAGAGAGAGAGAGAGAGAATGGAGATATGCAAATGGTGTTTCTGAGGATTTAAATCTTCATATTTAACTTTGTCGGTAAATAAAAAAAAAAAATGAAAGATTTACAGGTACACAATACATGAACTTCAATACAGATATCACAGCCAGTGTCCATTGGTGTTGAATGAAAGGTTAATGATAGGTCAAAGAAAGATTCTTTTTGCTATGGTTAAGACTTCATTTTGCACTTTCTTAAATTCGTCCCACTATGGCCATTTTGTTTTTCAGCTTACCCCCTTTCCTTCTTTGTGGTTAAAATCAAAGACCACAATCATAATTAACACTTAAAAAAATAAAAGGTTATCCTCTTTCCATTGCATACTTAGGCTTAATTGACCCCCCACCCCCAACCCGAGAAAAAAATAAATCAAAAATAAATTTATTAATTAAATCAAATAATTAAAAGAAATACTAATAATTACAGTGTATTCATTTATAATATTTTTTTGTTTTATTCTTTGAAACTTTGAAACTTTTATTTTCACTAAAGCCCATTCGCTTTTTATACGAGGATATTTTTCCCATTTATATCATTGTCTACCCTTGAACTCTTACCTGTCCGCTAGGTGGCAATTCAGTTTCCGGCAAAACACTGGACATACAGGTGTGGTATTACTAAATAACACAGGTAAGAGATCTCCTTAGTATCTGTCCCCCATGTACATAAATAACTATCAAGGTTCCCATTTCTATATAAACTAGCTTATCAGAGGAGTCCATTATTGGTCGGAATAAAGAGAATCCCTGTCAACCTCAACATTATATACACAGTGTTAAAAATAGTGATCAAAATACAACAGCGTGATCCAGTCGGTTTATTTTTCAGATCAGGTTTATTTTTTTCTCTCTTATATTTACGAAACTCGGGCAATATTGTTTTCCTTCCAATTTTTATCTCGAGATTAATAAATGCATTTTAATCTTTCTGCAGCAAGCTTATTAATAAATGAATAATTTTTATTTGTAAATTGAACAACACTGAAGAAACAATCTGGTGAATATTTTTTTTATTTCATGCAGGGATAAAAATTTTAAACAAGAGGAAGAAAGGGCAATAACGCTCACCCGATTCACCTTAAATTTGCCCTGTTCTTCAGAAACAAATTAGATTTTAAACAACATTTTCCCACTTTATTCCCACGAAAAATTGTTACCCCATATTGTGGCCCACCCTAAACCCAAAGAGTTATGGAAGCCACACATGCTTCAGTATCATTATGTTAACACTGCCTTGCTGTTTTGGAGAAGATAAAAATACTTTATTTTTTTAATTTGATCCCCGATTTTTGCCCAACTCAACCCCAGAGTCCATACTTTAAATAAAAAAAACTTAAATCCACAGCTTAAGAATGTTGTTTAGTATAGTCGTACTACTCTTGAAAAGCTCATATAATCCCAAGTAAAACTCTATAGGTGTGGTCCCACAGCTAATAATACGAACAGCAACACTGAAACAACCTGAGGGTGTTTGCATATGAACTAATAATCAATGCCTTTCACTTTTCAGGCACGTAATATCTTTGTCAACTTACATGAAAAAAAAACTTTGATAAGCCAAAATTAAAAAAAGAAAAAGTTAAATTGCGCAAGCTCCCAAATCCTATATCGTGTGTGCGGGGGGGGGGGGGGGGGGGGGTTAGGTTCCATTTTTTTTTTCACAACCAAATTTTATTTATACATTATCACATTACCATTTCTAAACTGTACTGCAACAAAAAGTGGGGGAGGGGGCAGCCATGCATCCTTTCAATGAACATTTTTAACAGTAAAAATTTTGTTTAGAGAAAAGGTGCCCCCCCCCCCCCCGAATACAACGTGCCTTCTTTCCCTTCATTAAAAACATTTTTTAAAGATGGATTCCGGTGTAAATCTCTCATTCCCTATACTGTGACTCAGCACTATCCATGAGGGAACCAGGATTTAACGTTTCACAAAAGTTTATTTTTTTTTGGTTTAGTGGTTTTTGAGAAGACTGTTTTTATAGACAACCACTCTGTTTTGGCCTTTTCTTATATCTGCCCTTTCAAGAGGACGTGGATTTCATTTGTACAATATTGAATCCCCTTTACCCAAGAATACTTTGTAGCAAGTTTGGTTGATATCGGCCCGATTATTATGGAGAAAAAGTCGAAAATGTGTCTAGTTAACAGATGAACAGACACACACGTACATGTACGTGCTGCATGTTATCTAGTCTTCTTTCACTTTTATTCTTTTTTCTCCTTTTCAAATCTTTTCTACTGATTTGTACACGTTTGTATTACTTAACTAGGCATTAAATTAATATTTTTTCAAGTTAATTAATAAATGATTCAATTTTCCAACTCGTTAACCATAACAATATTTTCAATTTGTACATTTCGAAAATAAGATTCTTTCACAAATCATCCATTTAAAGCTAAGAATTAGTGCTCATATACTACATATTGAAATGGGGAGGTACTCAAGGCCACCTATTCCTAGAGAAAAACGTGTATGTCATTCTTGTAAACTTTTTTATTATTGAAAATGAAAAACATTTTGTACTTTATTGTCCTAGTTATGATCAATATAGATTACAATATTGTGATATACATGTATTTAATGCTCAATGTTATATGAAGGAAAACCCTATTATTGACATTATCAACCCTCCAAGTATTAAAATTGCTAGAAGAGTATGTAACTTTCTGAAAAAGCGCTTTGATATTAGAAATTTAAATAAAAACTTCAACATAACTGATATGTTTAATGGAATAATTTTTTTTTATTGATTTTATGTATGTTATTGTTTGTTGTATTCATGAATATATGCCAATGTATGATGGTGCTGTCAATAAATGAATTGAATTGAAATAGAAAAAGAGCTAATATCCAATTTATATGTGTTGTAAAACAACATAATATTATTACTTTGGGCCCAAGTAACAAAACTGACTAGACATTGAAATTAATTTACCAATCTCTTATAAAATGCTTTCATAGGCGTCGGAAACAAATTGAAAGTGGGGTGGCTAATTGAAAGTGGGGGGGGGGGGGCTAAACCAACGAAAAAAGGCAAGCCCCAATTTTCAATGCCTATATTATGTCTATCTTTGCAAAAAAAGTGGGGGGGGGGATAAGCCCCACCTAGCCCCCCCCCCCGGTTCCGACGCCTATGGCTTTTAACTCTTCCAAGAAACATTTGACTAATTTGTCATTCGCACGTTACATTCATCATCTTCATTTTATAAACTTTTTATTCAGAAAAGATGTCACACCAAACATTTTTTGCTTGTCAAGGATTTTTTGGTAGTTGATAGTGCCCACCCCCAACTGATATTCAAAGTGATATTGCTTCCTATGGGCCTGTCATCCTATGCTAGCATCAATTGGGGGTATTATTCTCGGACGAGAATTTCAAATATCATTGAGAGTTTATAGCGCGGACGGGGAAAACTACATGCAGGGAAGGTCTTTCGCGCTACTATTTGTATATATATATATACATATAATCATACAACTTTAATATATACATTATTCATGCCCGTAGGAAGCATACATGTATTTCAGTTGGGGGAAACATTTTCAGTTGGGGGGTACCAAGAAAAAAATCCTCGACAAGCCAAAACTGCATCAAATGTTATCATTAACGGGACACAAGAATAAATTAGCTGTTTTCTATAGTATACTTTATATCGACAATCCTGTTCTCCCGTAATTCACAGGGCCTTGTCATTTCAACTCTTAGATATACAACTTCATTGACTTAATTATAAACATACTATATATATGTGTGATCTATATTTGTCCCTAATTAATTTAAGATATCCGGTAAAACGTATTTTTTCCGATATGGTACGTACAGTTTATAAAAACATGACTGATTTTTTTTCCTAATAATTTTTTACCGTTTTCTTTTGTAATTAGAATTTGGAAAATTCGGGGGGGGGGGGGGGTGCTTGTAAAATTTCACATCTATTTCTAAAAATACCCTTTAAATTTACGCATCGATTAACTCTTCTCTCTCTTTAATAACACAAACATATGCATAAATGTTTTGCCTTTTATATTCTAGATTGCATATTATAAAAGTTGAAGAGATGAAATGGGACTACCACCAAATCTAACGAGGGACATGCAGAATATTACCAACCATTAGACATGCGAATTGAAAACACTTTAAAACTTCGGGTAAATATTTCTTCAGTGATATGGCAAATGACAATTCAGCAAATGATCCCAGCTCAACAACGACAGACACCCCTACAACTACCCTCAGTTCAAACGGGGGATACCCCCACCCTAAGGGTGACGAGGAGCGTTCCCCCACAAACACAGTGGCGGCAGTGACCGTGGCCATTCTTGCCGTGATTATAGTGATAACATTTGTAATGGTTGCTCGTGCAATTCGTAAAAGACGACTTGCAAGACGAGGAACGAGAATGGATCAGCCGATTCCCGCCATCTCTACAGGAGTGATGGGAACACGTACGTATTCGACACACTTTCCTTGTACATATGTATTTACAATTATGCATTATGTGACATGTATTAAGTAAGTGTTTTGTTATTTTCAGCTGCTGCAGCATACAGCAATATACACATCAGTCAGCCAACCATTTCCTCTTCCTCCTTCGTGAGCTGGGAACCAATAGAAACTCATCAGCATCAGGAACATACGTCACGTGATTCATTTCCCGCGGAAAATAACGAAACTCAAAATCCCTCCAGCAACGTCTCATCTACTCCATCACAAACATGAACCAGTGCACATTGTTACTGTGATACAATGTATTTTACAGTGTGAAATCTACAAATGTCAACCATATTGTACTTACCATACAATTTTTATTCAATAAGGGTATTGGAATAATGTGGTTCAGTCTGAATCTCTTTTGTCATTCAAGTTTTGTTTGCTTTTTTGTTTTATTTTGATGTGTAAAAAGAATATGTTAGTGTCCTTGAAGTGTTATTGATGTGTTGTGAGTCTCAGTATACATCTCCTGTATGAGGGGATTATAAATGCATGTTTCAACTGTGATATATACATATATGTACAAGAAGCTAAACTAACAACTTTAACAAATATTTGAGTTTCAACAGTGCACCATTTGAAACATCTAGCCATTTATTCATTAATAATTCTACCATTCAAACTTACAAATTTTATTATACTATTGTTAAATGCAAGTTACCAATGTTATCAATAAAAGATACGTTAAAAACAACATGTTTTTAGTTTCTGTTGAATTTTGGATGGTTACCACGTAAGAATCTGTCATATGTACCAATAAAATTACGCAGGTAATCGGAAAAGCCATAGAAAAAAACATTTACTATAATTATCCATTGTATGGACGTCATTGAATCTTAGGCTAAAAGAAGCACTCCACTACATCATCACGTGACATCTATAAATAGAAAAATTGCGAAAAAGTAAAAAGTTCAACACTTCTCTGGGGATAATTCATTTCTTTTTGTGAAAATTATTATGTAAAAACATCAGTGGGCCATGAAAAGTGCTGCTAGAATCCTACTCTACCAACACAGAAAAAATTATTCCAAAGTTTCCCATGAAACCTTACCAAAATTTTCACATTTTGTACATACGATCAAGGAATTGTCATAACTTCATGTTAACCACACAATTCTAGCAGCACTTTCCAAGCACTATAGAATACTAGATATCATTGCGATGGTGGCCATCTCAAAGGGTCCGGCTTTCGGCAATGAACATGGAAATGTAAGGTTGCTGAAAAGGGTGTATTTTGAAGAGGAACATTTGTGTACTATTAAGGGACGTGTTGTTTGAGTCCAAAGGGCTTCTATGTTATCCTCATTATAATAAAAAATGGCACGAAAATCAAGAGTGCTCAACACCTTCCATCAAAAAATGGCACAAAAATCACGAATGCTGCATATCCTCTATGAAAATTGTTGCATATCCTCTATCAGAAATATGGAAGGAAAATCTCAAATGATCCGTACCCTAGGTCAATTGGTAAGGTTTGAGGCTGACTGGATTTAAGGGAAAGAAATTATGCACCGAACAAAGATTTTAAACAGAGAGGCTATTTTTGAAATTGACCCTTGACCTAGAAACTTCGTTCAAAGTCACTGCACATCCACTGACAAGTGGCACTCTGTGAGTTAAGTATGAGCCACATTGGACCAAGGGGAGAGAAGTTATGCTCTGGACAAGGACTTTTCTTATAATTCTGCTATGACCTTAACCTTAGACCTAGAAACATGGTTCAAGGTCACTGCACACCCTTTACCCAAAGACACTCTGTGGGTGAAGTATGAGCCAGATTGGGTCAAGGAGAGAGAAAATATGCTTTGGACAAAAATTTAAACAGAGGGGCTTTTTTTGACCTTGACCCTTGATCTAAAAACTTTGTTCAAGGTCACTGCACATCCATTACCAGTGGCATTCTGTGAGTGAAGTATGAGCCACACTGGATCAAGAGGAGAGAAGATATGTTCCGCACAAATATTTTTCATATGATTCTGCTATGACCTTGACCTTAGACCTAGAAACATGGTTCAAGGTCACTGCACACCCTTTACCCAAAGACACTCTGTGGGTGAAGTATGAGCCAGCTTGGGCCAAGGAGAGAGAAGAAATGCTCCGGACAAAAGATCTCGGATGGGCAGACAGACGGACGTATGGACAGATGGACGGACAGACTGATCACTATAGGGCACCCGCAAAGCGAGGCCCTAACAAGCTTTTGATACAATCAAAAATTATGTTTCAAAGTATGCAGCGTAGTGTTGAACTTTTGCATCTTTGTTATTAGAGCGAAAGAAGAAAGGCTGATCGGGATTTCAAAACACTGCCTGTGTTCATAATAGGATTTCAAAACATGACAAGAATAAATCAGCGTACCTGATTCTTAATCTTTAATTCCTTATGAATCAAATAACATTCACGGTATGTGTTTAAAAACTCTCATTTCATATATTTGTTTACATGAATTCTCGTCACGTTTACTTTTCACTCAAAATTTGATCAATAGTTATGACGTCATGGGTTTGGTATTTAAACCCGTGATAAATCATTATGGTTTTTAGTATTTTCATCCAAATTTTTCATGGTCTAATCTTCGTAAGAGATACTATAACAACAAGATGTGTTTGTGAAACACTGATGCCCCCGTATGGCAGCTTATAGCGAAGGTTAAAGTTTCTTCAAATGCAAGTCAAAATCCAGGCCAAAAGATAAAAAATGTTGATACCCAAAGAAAGGTCTTGTCTCAAGGAATACACCTGTGAAATTTGAAAGACCTAGATACAACTGTTCAAAAGTTATGGCGAAGGTTAAAGTTTTTTAAATAAAAGTCAAACGTCAAGGTCAAAGTGGTTGGTATCCAAAGGAAGATCTTGTCACAAGGATTACATATGTGAAGTATGAAAGCCCTAGCACCAACCATTCAAAAGTTACGGCCAAGGTTAAAGTTTTTCAAAAGTAGGTCAAACTCCTAGGTCAAGGTCAAAGGGTCAAAGTGGTTGGTATCCAAAGGAAGGTCTTGTCACAAGGATTACATATGTGAATTATGAAAGTCCTAGCATCAACCATTCAAAAGTTATGGCCAAGGTTAAAGTTTTTCAAAAGTAGGTCAAACTCCTAGGTCAAGGTCAAAAGGTCAAAGTGGTGGTTGGAATCCAAAGGAAGGTCTTGTCACAAGGATTACATATGTGAAGTATGAAAGCCCTAGCTCCAACCATTCAAAAGTTATGGCCAAGGTTAAAGTTTTTCAAAAGTAGGTCAAGGTCAAAAGGTCAAAGTGGTTAATATCCAGAGGAAGGTCTTGACACAAAGAATACACATGTGAAGTTTGAAACCCTAAGCACCAACTGTTCAAAAGTTATGGCCAAGGTTAAAGTTTTTCAAAGGTAGGTCAACCTCCTAGGTCAAGGTCAAAGGGTCAAAGTGGTTGGTATCCAAAGGAAGGTCTTGTCACAAGGATTACATATGTGAATTATGAAAGCCCTAGCATCAACCATTCAAAAGTTATGGCCAAGGTTAAAGTTTTTCAAAAGTAGGTCAAACTCCTAGGTCAAGGTCAAAAGGTCAAAGTGGTGGTTGGTATCCAAAGGAAGGTCTTATCGCAAGGATTACATATGTGAAGTATGAAAGCCCTAGCTCCAACCATTCAAAAGTTGTGGCCAAGGTTAAAGTTTTTCAAAAGTAGGTCAAACTCCTATGTCAAGGTCAAAGGGTCAAAGTGGTTGATATCCAGAGGAAGGTCTTGTCACGAGGAATACACATGTGAAGTTTGAAACCCTAAGCACCAACTGTTCAAAAGTTATGGCCAAGGTTAAAATTTTTCAAAAGTAGGTCAAAGTCCAAGGTCAAAATGTAAAAGTTGTTGGTATGCAAAGGAAGGCCTTGTCACAAAGAATACACATGTGAAGCTTGAAACCCCAAGCACCAACTGTTCAGAAGTTATGGCCAAGGTTAAAGTCTCATAAAATTTTGCAAAAGTGGGTCAAACTACAAGGTCAAGGTCATAAGGTCAAATATGATGGTACCCAAAGAAAGGTCTTGTCACAAGGAATACACATGTGAAATATGAAAGTCATAGCTCCAACCAATCAAAAGTTATGGGCAAGGTTAAAGTTGACAACAGACAGAAAGACAAACAGACAAACAAACAGACAAACAGACAGACAGGACAAAAACAATATACCCCCGGGATCTTTCGATCCGGGGGCATAAAAATTGTATTTAATTGCTGAACACAAAGGGTATGCTCAGAATTCCACAGCCACTGTGATCTTTGAGGGAAATAAAAAGTCAACAAAACTTGTACATATAGCCAGATTTAATTTCCTGCAGACTGAAATATTGCAATACAGAGAGATACCTCACACCAAGGAATGGGTGCTGAGCTTTGAACACCTGACGTGCAATGATACCTATAATACATGGAATTACAAGAAACCATAAAACTTGTAAATTAAATCTTTACAGTCCATGTAATGAATAAATTTTGAACTGATTTGAAAAAGCTGGTACTAGTTTCTATAGAATTAAAATTCAGTTAAATGGCTGTGTGCAGTAATCTGTTCCTGATACACATAAAAGTAAGACAGTAAAGTTCTGTGTAAAATTACAAAAAAATATATAGGTAACTGAGACCACCAATAACCAAGAGAGAGAGAACACACACAACTAAGTACAACTTAGTCTTAAAGAGTCAACAGATGTACAAATGACTCAAATCTTTGGAAAACTTTGCACATTGTTTTCAATACACCAAAATGCATTGCACACATATAAGAATCCTTTTTAATAGTATTTATGTCAATCCCAAAGTACATGTACATACATGTAACAGTGCATCTGAAACAAACTGTTGCACCTGCCTCAACAATTCTTTCCTTCAATATTGGTGAACGATCAATGACTTTCTCTCAAGGAATATCCTGAATATTGCTTATTGAAAGTTTTCTCTCCACAACACAATGTATATCGCTTGGTGAGGGCAGCACTACAGATACTGCTTGGCGAGGGCTCGGAGGAACTTCCTCTTGCGCATCTGTACGGCTCTCTGAATGATGTCTTCTGGGTTACTACTATTCAGATCCAGTTGAGTTAGTGCTTTTAACTGAAGACAAAATAAGCAGATGTCTTATTGTTTTTAAACATTTTTTTTTTCAAATCTCTTATATTAAGTAATCATTTACCTATAAAGATCATATATCAATATGCTACTTCTCATAAATAAAAGTACAAAAATAAAACTTAAAAAATTGCATACATGTAGTTTATGTATTAATATCTCATTCTACTGAACTATTGATGCACAAAAGTTAGCAGATTTTTTTCCTATATTGAATCCTTGTACGTGTTTACTTACTGCTGCCTGTTTTTTCTCCATTTCTCCTCGTTTAGAATGTAAGTCTGATAAACAGCAGTTAAAGGAAACTTTCACAGTAATTTTTTTTTCATGATCAAAACATGATTGACAGTATATCAGATATCAATATACATTAGATAATTACAAATAAAATGGTGTATTTAGAAAATTTTTAACATTTCTTTTATAACATGACACATTATATGCTTAGATGAAGGATACGGACTAAATACTCTAGAATACTGATGTCCCATATACAGGAATAGTAAGTGTCCATGGCATCATAACAGTTCCGCTCCTGTAGGGCTTTAAAGCATGTAGCATAGTCAATCTCATCCGTAAACTGACATAAAACTGCCACCTAAAATTGATAAAGGCATTTAGTACCTTACTTTGAAGCATGAGCAGCATTAATCTTTCTTTTGTAAACCTATAGAAGCATTACTTTACCTGGTTCTCACCTGGCTCTACAATAACTTACCTGCGTATGACACTGTAGGTAGGAACAGCATTTGATCATTCTTTTGTAAACCTACACAAGTATTAAAAGGCAATTAACTTTATAGAAATGAAAACAAAATTGTCTTTTTTTTTAAACTGATACACATATAGAAGAGATCTAATTCTGAATTCAGTGCTTTATTATTATTACCTGGTCATCATATATACTCTTTGGGACAGCACTGGAGAAGAAATCAGATGCTACTACCCCTGCCTCCATGTAGAACTTAAGGGCGGGGGAATACTGGCCATTAGCTGTCAAACAGAATGACAGATAAGGTTCATGTATTTGTTAGAATTACATGTAAAAGGCAAAATCACAAATGATGTGAAGCAAATGTGTATCTATACATATACACATACAATTTCACAAAATAGACATTTTTTTTAAAAACAATGTATTATTGAACAACACTGACAACACAACTGAATAGCAGTCCAGTAAAACTTCCTTATAAAGAAGTCCTCAGACTCAAGTTTTTAATTTCTTATACATGTTATAACTGCAGTTCTATATATCTATATAAGAAAGTGTTATATGAGTTATGGGGAAAAGATATAACTTCCTCAAAACCATGATTTCCATACATCCGAGTTCCTTATTAGTGAATTTTACTGTAAATGCATATACTGGTACATTGATACATGTATCAGTCTTAAGAAAAATATCTTCTGTATTTGAATAGTGTATAATATCCTGAATGATACTCATTTTAAGTGCAAGAAAATGAAAATGTGCTGTGTTTGTACCAAAGTGGATGTCGGCCTGTGTCCTGAGCCACGAGGGCTGGGAGGGATTGACCTGTAGAACATGCTGCATCAGAAGTACCACTGCTTCCTCAATACCAGGTTTGTTCATGGCCTTAATACTGAAAATATACAACAGCCGATTTACTCTCTTAAGACATGACTTGTTTACATTTAGATGTACATGTATATTTTGATGTGAATTCTATTCTTTGTGTACATTTAGATGTTTATTTCCATATGAATTCTTTTTAGACTTAGTGTACATCTAGATGTATATTTTTCTGAATTCTATTTCGACAACTTGTGAATTCTATTTTGACTTCTTGTATATTTAAATGTATTTTTTGACTTGAATTCTATTTGATTTGTGTACATTTAGATATATATATTTTGATATGAATTCTATTTTGACTTTGGACAAGCAGCTTACTTGCTGACTGTTGTTGGCCACAATGGAAGGTAATCACTTGAAATTTCACAGCTAATTTCATCCTACAGTACAAAAATGACATATCTCAGAGGATATACATGTCCAGTTCAAATAAAATAAAATCAAACGTTCATAACAATCATAATTACACAGTTACCCTGATTATGTTGTAAAACTTGGACAGACAAGACACCAACACAGAGAGGACCATGGGCTCCTGAAATAACAAGCTTAGAATAAAACACTACAAGCTGAAAAACAGCAAGCTTAGAATAAACTACTACAAGCTAAGAATAAACCACAATAAGCTTAGAATAAACTACTACAAGCTAAGAATAAACCACAATAAGCTTAGAATAAAAGACTACAAGGTCAGAATAAAAACAAGAGGCCCATGGGCCACATCGCTCACCTGAGTAACTTTTGCCATGCTGTTCTTTACCAGATTTCTCCCCTTGTAATACCTATTGTGGCCCCGCCCTACCCCCGGGGATCATGATTTGAACAATTTAGAATCTACACTACCTCAGGATGCTTCCAAAAACTTTAAGCTTTATTGGTCCAGTGGTTCTTGAAAAGAAGATTTTTAAAGATTTTTCTTATAAAATTCAATGTAAAACTTGGATTCCCTATTGTGTCCCGCCCTACCCCCGGGGGTCATGATTTGAACAATGGATGCTTCCACTTAAGTTTCAGCTTTTCTGGCCCAGTGGTTCTTGAGAAGAAGATTTTTCAAGATTTTTCTTATATATTTCAATGTAAAACTTGGATTCCCTATTGTGACCCCACCCTACCCCCGGGGGTCATGATTTGAACAATTTAGAATCTACACTACCCCAGGATGCTTCCATATAAGTTTCAGCTTTTCTGGCCCAGTGGTTCTTGAGAAGAAGATTTTTCAAGATTTTTCTTATATATTTCAATGTAAAACTTGGATTCCCTATTGTAGCCCCGCCTGACCCCCGGGGGTCATGATTTGAACAATTTAGAATCTACACTACCCCAGGATGCTTCCACATAAGTTTCAGCTTTTCTGGCCAAGTGGTTCTTGAGAAGAAGATTTTTCAAGATTTTTCTTATATATTTCAATGTAAAACTTGGATTCCCTATTGTGGCCCCGCCCTACCCCGGGGGTCATGATTTGAACAATTTAGAATCTACACTACCCCAGGATGCTTCCATATAAGTTTCAGCTTTTCTGGCCCAGTGGTTCTTGAGAAGAAGATTTTTCAAGATTTTTCTTATATATTTCAATGTTAAACTTGGATTCCCAATTGTGGCCCCGCCCTACCCCCGGGGGTCATGATTTTAACAATTTAGAATCTACACTACCCCAGGATGCTTCAGCTTTTCTAGCCCAGTGGTTCTTGAGAAGAAGATTTGTATAGATTTTTCTTATATATTTCAATGTAAAACTTGGATTCCCTATTGTGGCCCCGCCCTACCCCCGGGGTCATGATTTGAACAATTTAGATTCTACACTACCCCAGGATGCTTCCATATAAGTTTCAGCTTTTCTGGCCCAGTGGTTCTTGAGAAGAAGATTTGTATACACTACACCAGGATGCTTCCATATAAGTTTCAGCTTTTCTGGCCAAGTGGTTCATAAGAAGAAGATTTGTAAATATTTTTCTTATATATTTCAATGTAAAACTTGGATTCCCTTTTGTAGCCCCGCCCTACCCCCGGGGGTCATGATTTGAACAATTTATAATCTACACTACCCCAGAATGCTTCCACATAAGTTTCAGCTTTTCTGGTCCAGTGGTTCTTGAGAAGAAGATTTTTCAAGATTTTTCTTATATATTTCAATGTAAAACTTGGATTCCCTATTGTGGCCTCGCCCTACCCCCGGGGGTCATGATTTTAACAATTTAGAATCTACACTATCCCAGGATGCTTCCACATAAGTTTCAGCTTTTCTACCCCAGTGGTTCTTGAGAAGAAGATTTTTTAATGACCCCACCCTATTTTTGTCTTTTCTTGATTATCTCCCCTTGTAAGGTGACATGGCCCTTTATTTTTATAATTTACACTCCCCTTCACCCAAGGATACTTTGTACCAAGTTTGGTTAAAATTGGCCCAGTGGTTCTTGAGAAGAAGTTGAAAATGTGAAAAGTTTACAGACGGACGGACAGACGGACGGAAGACGGACAACGGGTGATCAGAAAAGCTCACTTGAGCTTTCAGCTCAGGTGAGCTAAAAACTACAAGCTTAGAATAAACCACTGCAGTCAACACAAAACAAAATTTAAAAAAAATCATTAAATTCCTGTCTAGCTTTATTTTGGCATATAATCCTTGTAAAATTCAAAACTCTAAAACTCAACAAGATGTCCAGTGTAAGAAATACCTTATGCCAGACATACCTTGATTTTGGGCAGGAAGTCTATGAAGAGTTCTTTAGCCAGAATAGCCAGTGTGGAGTCTCGGACATGGGCACTGTCCATTCGTCCACTCATGCTCCTCTTGTGACTGGGGTTTATGGTGAAGATATTTTTAACTGAAACATGTAAAATTAGAAATTATAAATACATCTAACCCACCCATTATCTAGAAACATCACATGTATGGATGTACATGTATATTGACTTCTACTTGAAAATTATAAACTAGTAAATTGGCTGGTTTACTTCAACAGTTCTATTGTAATAACATATATCTACATGTACAAGAATATAAAAAAACCTCATTTCAAAATATTTGTGTGATCACATGTAAACTGTAGCGATACAGAAGGAGCTGAGTCATACCTGCCTCCCATAATGCCCTGGCTGGGATTCTGGCAGCTTTAATGGTGGGTAGCTCCTTACACATACAAGCTAAAAGTCTGCAGAGCTGTAAACAGATAAAGGTACAGTATACTATCATTGTCCCTGTTAGGGACTTATGGACCCTCTATACACTGATGAAAAATGTTTTTTTGGACTTTGAGAAAATTATGTAGTGCAAAGGAGGATATTTTGGAGCATGTTTTTTTTACCAAGGGAAAATCTTCAAAGACAATGAAGTAATGATAAAGAAAAAATCACTTTTGATTACTCAAATGGAGAAATTACATGCAAATAAATTTTTCAAGTACTCTATCTTTGACTAATATAATGTTTAGAATACTTGGGTTTATTTTAAATTATGACATGCAGTGCAGATTACAATTTCTTCCATTTTATGTCAAATGGTGGGTAAATCTAACTACACAAAAGTACCCAGAAATTAGGGTGTAATGTAGAGAGGGTCCTTAACCTCTATAGATGAAATGACAAACCTCTATGTGACCACTGCCACCATTCTAACCTCTATAAATGATATGAAAAACCTCTACACTGTATATGACCATTGCCACTATTCTAACCTCTACAGACCAGATGACAAACCTCTATATGACCATTGCCACTATTCTAACCTCTATAGATGAGGTGACAAACCTCTATATGACCTCTGCCACTATTCTATCCTCTATAGATGAGGTGACAAACCTCTATATGACATTGCCACTATTCTAACCTCTACAAATGATATGACAAACCTCTATATGACCACTGCCACTATTCTATCCTCTATAGATAACAAACCTCTATATGACCACTGCCACTATTCTAACCTCTACAGAGAAGATGACAAACCTCTATATGATCACTACCACTAATCTAACCTCTATAGATGAGGTGACAAACCTCTATATGACCACTGCCACTATTCTGACCTCTACCGACGAGATGACAAACCTCTATATGGCCACTGCCACTATTCTCCATGTTAGTTAGATACTGCCAATCTCTGATGTTCAGAAGAAAGGCAGCACAGTGCTCCAATATCACCATGGTTGGCTGAATATCTGTTAAATAAAAATATTTCAAATTTAGTCCAAAATTGTCCATTAGAAGTAATTGAAATTAGAATAAAACAGTTGTATAATATTTTTTTCTAGAATGTCTAATGGCTTTATCATATGTACACGTGTGAAAAGTTACTTGACTTTCTACAGTCTGTTTGTACCTTGATCCAGTCTGACTGAGGTAATACAAGTCTTGGTTTTCTTTATCAGGTCCTGTAGAGTCGTGTTCATTCCAAAGGATTTAGTTGTATAGAACTGGAGGAGATCAGCCAACAGGATGTACCATCGGACATGTTTGGACAGGATGTAAGATATCTCATAAACGTTTCTGTCAGCTACTAATAAGAGCTGGCGAGCTCGCTCAAAAATCTGTAATCCATTATTAGTGACAAAATATAAAAGTAATACTGGCTTTAAATATATTCTGTATCAAATCTGATGGTTTGTAATAAAATAAGAAAATATTTGCCCTTCTAAATGAGGACAAAATAACAAGGAAATTAAAGGGTGTCCTATTCTGCTTCATCAAGACTGTATTAGACTGTTCATTGACCTACATGTACATATATAACAGATTACAAAGAACTTAGTCTGCCTGATCTGATTACAGGTTAAGGTAAAGACTGAGTTATCTACCCTGATATTTATATAGTTGCATGCTCCACCAATCAGTATGTACACATAAGCCAGCTCTACATTCTGTATATACAAACATGTACCTACCTTAACAATAGTCAGAATAAAAACCAATGAATGATAGCTCTATGCCTTGCTTAAATGCTGTTACCTACCCTTATATCAACAGTCACCAATGTAACCTTTCAGGTAAACAGATTTACCAGCTATACAAGACAGAGTTATCTACCCTGACAACAATACAGTAAAAGACTTTACTTATCAGTAGGTGAAGATTTTCATATTAACAGAGTTACTTACCCTAACATCAATACAGTGACAGGCTTTCCCAATAAGAAGGTACACATAAGCTTGCTCTACACTGGGGGCCAGATTGTAAATGATCTGATGCATCTCCTTAGGAACTTTCCACTACAAAAAATAAACAAAATTTAGTAAAATAAAATACAATTCTGGGGCTGCTACTGCAAATCAAATTTCTTATCATTTGCTCAGTAGACTGATGTATTTCCCAGTCTCTCTGATCCAAAGCAGACAGTGGAACCTTTAGACTCATCATTTCAGAGTAAATATCTCAGAACGGACAGAAAAGTCATCATTGCAGAGATCTGTCTTGTTAAGAAGATACTGTCTGCTCAGAGAATGACATGACTCTTGATCACTGAACTTACTCCTCCAAGGAATCTAAAAACTCAACAGCTGTTAGCATAAGTCAGAGAGAACTCATCACAGCAAACATTGTGTTATTATTGACAAGTGGAACTCTACGTACATGTTAATACAGTGATAAATTTAGTAATACACATATTTATAACAATGTCTATGGACAGCTTAAGGTCATACACATTGACATGTGTATGTACTTTACAATGAATGTTTCCCACTGATAATTTTCCAAGATATTCTTAATTTAAAATCATAGTACCATCAGATGTTCTTAGTCCAAAAATCAACATACATTACCGGGAGTTTTAAACAGATATCAAATGATGAAAATCCTTGTGTTTTCAAAGAAAAATTAACAAAACTATAGTTGTAGCTGGTATTTCCCGAAAATTTGATTCAGAGCAGGTATACAGCATTACCAGGTATCATAAGACTGCACAAAGGTCCTTCAAAATCGGTTAGTGGAACTGTTAAATTATAAAGGGAATAAGAAAATAAAGTTCAAAACTATGTTGCATGTGTCCTTAATTCATATATGCAATTTGCTACATGCATTTTCAATTACAGGCAATTTCTTTGTTTTTCTTGGGAAATAAATTTGACTTCCTAACAATACTGTTCATATGAACATGACTTTAACCATACAGTCATGTACATTTTTATCATTTGTTAATATACAGCTTACACTGTAATTACCCTTGTAACATGCATAGCCTATTCTTTTATACATACCGTAACATTATGTTACTTACTATTTCCAAGAAACACACTTGAATTATTTTTCTATAAGATTACATTTTTTCTTATTTCTATGTTCTTGGAAATAAATCTAAATCCTCAGACATTTCCACACCTGACTATGATTATTTGTAGACTGCTTACAATGAAATCTTCAGATTTAACATTTCAGGGTGAAGTTCTATATAAAAACACAAGTAAAACATCATTTCAGATCACAATTTCTTTTATCTTTCTGCTTAAAAACAGTTGTCTTTGACCTTTAACCTTTTTCTGAAGTCTGAAGACTCAACATCCATTTTTATTTTCCCTTGGACTGAAATGTCACATTTTCATTGGTTTAAATATGACACATGACTGCAGGTTTATTTCTATGTTTGACAGGTGAGAATTTATATCATTATCATAATTATATAATTACAAATGTCTCTCATATAATGGTCCTCAAGAAAATTAATCACATATTAGATTTTTTAAATGACTGTCTACAAAATATTGTGTTGATCAGTTTCAAAGATGGATTGGCTTCGCCCTGCAGTCTATGAGATTCAGCATCCTGATATATTTTCCTAGACAGTCAGTAACAAACCTAATAAGTAATAATAGCCCTGAGAACAGACAGAAATATCATCACAGCAAATACTGTAAAACAGACAGTCAGGCAGGAAAAGATAACTCTTTTAAACAACTCAAGAAATTTCCTTTAAATTTCAGGCCTAAAAACTTTTCATGCTTTTATTTTTTTCTCATATGTTGGTATTATACATTTTGAACATTACAAACTATTGACAGGATAATATAAAGCTCTGAAACTATTCCCCACCCAAGAAAATTTGCTCAGTCTGACATGAAGACTTCATTGATCATTGAGGCATACAGACCGTGGAATCTTTTGACTCAACATTTCAGAGTAAAATTCTTAAAGAAACAGGAGTATAATCATCACTGCAGGTACATGTATTTAAAGATCCTATACATGTCTGCTCAAAAAACAATATTTAAGTTATCATAGAATTTTACTCCATCATGGAATCTGACTCAACACCAGACTGTAGCTCTAAGAACAGACAGCTTGTCATCACAGCAAATGTTTCAGATTACACACATACACATACGGAATGAGGATGAAAAATCTTTTATGTTTCAACTTGTCATATTTTTTTTCTTATCCAGATTCCTCATTTTAGTAGCAATGAAAATGTTGTGTCATTTAGTGCGACCAAACAAAATGGGTGTACCAGCCAACCAGGGAGGTTGTGTATACTTCCGATTATGTATCTTGTCAAATTAATTTGTTTGAGACTCAATTTATTTGTTTTGTTGATCATTTATTAAAAGGTTGAAATATAAACATAGTTTTATAAGCTCATTTTAGATTATATTATTGAAAGATTGGTGAGTGGTGAAAGCACATTTGTTAGAAAATGAAGCATCATTCTCATTCATTAAGGTATAGTACCGTACCGTTAAAAATACCATATTACTCTAAAAATACCAGTAAGGTATCGTACTGTTTTATCCTTAACAATATCCAACCCTACTTTTGTTAATATCAGCTTACTTACTTTTTCATTAAGAGCCATGACATAAGCTGGAGACCTGCCTAGTTTTAAAATGAGTTCTCTGGTAAGATTATTAATGGACTCTGGTTCATACATAAACATCAGCTGTTGTTCTACAGTCCCAGCACTCACAGAGGAATCTGTAATAGCAATCAGTGTATAATCAGCAGGAAATATTTCACAAAAACTGTTTTTCCAGTGGTACATGTATGCCTGTATATGTAAGAATTAATCAAACTGTGCACTCTATAAAAACAAACTCACAACCTCAAACAAAGAAGTTAAAAATCAAATCAAAATTCAAAACCCAAAAAAGTCACAAAGTGCTAAAGAAATGATGAAAAGAATGAAAGGGAAAACACAAGAAGAAAAAATTTAAAGTTTACTGGTAAAATAAACATTAACACATTAATGTAGACATTAACAAATGACAGTGTAAAATGTTGATTATAAACAATTACTAAAACTTGCTCAATAACAAATGACAGTATGAAAATAATAATGATTACCACATTAACTAAAACTTCAAAATAATTGCATTAACTATGACTTAATTTTCAATAAAGAAAGTTGAAAATATTTTTCTCATGCAGTTATTTTTAATAAGTATTTACCTAGCATATAATGTACAGTTACCACGGATACAATATCATAAAGAATTGAACCATATACACATCAAATAATCGCTAGTAGCTACATAGTTTATTTATCATCTAATTGATTAAAACCTTTTTAAAGCATAAATAGCGAAATAAAGATTTTACATTCTCACATTAGTTTGGACCTACATGTAGTAAGCTCACAAATACATGTACACATAATTAGTACATATAAAACGTGCACTATAAATAGCCTTCATGGGTGACCTACCTTCTCCTTCACTCATGACTGAACAAACTGAAATAAAATCACTCTGGTCGAAACAAAAAATCAAGACAAACTCAAACTTCTAACAAAATCAACAGCAAAATCATCTGTCTATTAAACAAGCTTCAGTTCTTATTGAAACCACTTCAAACCACTTCTAATACAGATAAATGAATCATTGTGCTAATATATATCAACTGCATGCTGCTACAAAAACTTAAGCTGGTCATTTGCCACTCACAAACTCAGATAAAAACCTAGAAGTAGTATATGGATTTCCTGACCTCGACTGTTAGGGTAGCTGGAGCACATGGTTGTTGCGTCGTCGTATATGTCACTGTATGTCAGGGTGGAACTCTCTTTTATGTATTGGTTCATTTCCTTGAGTTCTTCTTGTGTGAAGTAATTACGTAATTCTCCCGACACGACCATTGTGTTGAATCGTGATCCGACAGGTGACAAGTCCATCAGGTGCCTAAACAAAATTTACATGTATGTACCCCGTCAGAATCAACAAAATCAGTCAAACCTCATTATTTCCAACTTGATAGGACCATGAAAAAACTTTGAGATATTTAAGATTCCAGATATTGAGGTTAAAATACAAAGAAAAAAGATAATTGGGACTTCAAACTCCCTTCCACATATCCATAGTACTCCAGATATCAAAGTTTGAGATACCTAAGTTTAACTGTCTTATAAGATATATATACATATATTAAAAAATGCATTTATTTGATGAGAATATTAGCAAATACCTAATTTATGCTATAATATAATACATTAGTTACAATTTTCAGTTTGTAAAGCAAGCTATCAGTTTGTCAGTAAAAGACACTCTGAAATGTTACTTTTCAGACTCACCATATGAAACACTTCAAATTGGATTTCTGAGAGAATGACGATCCAGCCATGGCTTTGGTAAGAACCTGACAAAAATATTTAAAATACTGTTATTTGTTTTTCATAGAGTTTGAATTAAGTAAAATTATGGAGTTTTAAGTAGAAGAAGCCCATTACCATAATGAGAAAGTCTACAGTTGACTGATCAGCATCCTCCACAATGTCTGCCAGCAGCGAGACCAGGGCCTTACCCTCCATCACACTCCGTATAACGTTACAAACACTGACCTGCATGTAGATTTCACTGTACCTACAAAACAAATAACCCTGTAATACACAGAACAGACATACAATTATCTCCCACCGTTACCTCAGTGTGAGAGACATACAGTGTCTCAGTGTCCTTTAGATAGGGAAAACAATGAAATATGAAAAACTGACTACAGGGTTACTCAAGGAAAGATTTAGTAATTGCTGGGTGTCTAGATTTTAGTTTTAGTTTTTATTTTCATGGTAGAATCAAATATTGGGGAAAAAATAACAATCCAGACTTTGTTTTAAGTACAACAAAGCAAAACTAAGTAATTTAAAACTTCCTCATTCAATGATTTATGAGTCCTGTAGGCTGAGATACTTGTCATTCTTGTTGCTTACACCATCCTCTTAGTCATTTTTGTAGCTGAAACACTTTACTCACTTGTCACCCTCCTTACCCTCTAGATCACTCCTATAAAATGATAAACTTACTTTTCCTTGTTGCCTAACTCATCCTAAAGATCACTCCTGTAGGCTGATACACTTACTTTTCTTTGTTGCGTAACTCATCCTCTAGATCACTCATGTAGGCTAATAAACTTACTTTTCCTTGTTGCCTAACTCATCCTCTAGATCACTCCTGTAGGCTGATTAACTTAATTTTCTTTGTTGCCTAACTCATCCTCTAGATCACTCATGTAGGATTTGACACTTACTTATCATCAATGATACCAAACTCATTGTTTGGCCACTCCTGTAGGATAAGACACTTACTTGTCATCCTTGTTGCCTAACTCATCCTCTAGATCACTCCTGTAGGCTGATGTCAGTTCTTGCTTTAAGTTGTCCTCAATAAGCACATCTATCAGACCCTGTACATATATGGATATATAGAGAATATTCTATTATGGATTTTATTTCCCAAGTTGGATAGCATTTTATTTTTACATTTTCATATTAAGTACAAAGCACGAGTGAAAATATAAAAAATCTTGTCTCAACTGTGTCTGAATTTTCAAACAAATGACCAAAGTTTAGGAATACCTGATAATCATTCTGTCTGGCCTGCTCAGCTAGCTGGTAGAGATTTTCCTTTGCTTTTTCTTGAGGAGTCTGGACGGATCGTAAAGTCTGACATGCAGTATGGTAACCCTTTAATCTGGCCATGTCTATATCACTCAGCTGGGGGGAGGTCAACTTGAACATACAACAATAACATCTCTACATCACTCAGCTGAGGGATGATCATCTTAAACTTTAAACCTACATGTGACATCTCTGAACTGAGGGGATGTCACCTTAAACAAACACCCTTAACATGTGAACATTTTCTTTTCAAGTATTCATAGTTTTTCCTGCTTTAGTTCCCTTGCAATACATTGCATTTATGTAAATGTAAAACATACATATATTTATCAAAATATTTTACTACTGAGTAATTTCTTCTATGGACATAAGTTACTAGTTGTTACCTTGGAGATGGTGTCTAAACACTGAGTAAACATGTGAAGGGCTTCACTGTAGGCTTCTGTGTAGAAGTTAAAGGTTCCAAGGTCATACTGAATCTGTAATACAGACATCAGAGCATTAGAGACATCAGTACCAGGTCATACTAAATCTGTAATACAGACATCAGACATTAGAGACATCAGTACCAGGTCATACTGAATCTGTAATATCAGAGAATTAGAGACATCAGTACCAGGTCATACTGAATCTGTAATATCAGAGAATTAGAGACATCAGTACCAGGTCATACTGAATCTGTAATATCAGAGCATTAAAGACATCAGTACCAGGTCATACTGAATCTGTAACAACAGAGCATTAGAGACATCAGTGCCAGGTCATACTGAATCTGTAATACAGACATTAGAGACATCAGTACCAGGTCATACTGAATCTGTAATATCGAAACATTAGAGACATCAGTACCAGGTCATACTGAATCTGTAACAACAAAGCATTAGAGACATCAGTACCAGGTCATACTGAATCTGTAATATCAAAACATTAGAGACATCAGTACCAGGTCATACTGAATCTGTAATACAGCCATTAGAGACATCAGTACCAGGTCATACTGAATCTGTAATATCAGAGCATTAGAGACATCAGTACCAGATCAAACTGAATCTGTAATACAGACATCAGACATTAGAGACATCAGTACCAGGTCATACTGAATCTGTAATATCAGAGCATTAAAGACATCAGTACCAGGTCATACTGAATCTGTAACAACAGAGCATTAGAGACATCAGTACCAGATCATACTGAATCTGTAATACAGACATCAGACATTAGAGACATCAGTACCAGGTCATACTGAATCTGTAATATCAGAGCATTAAAGACATCAGTACCTGGTCATACTGAATCTGTAATACAGCCATTAGAGACATCAGTACCAGGTCATACTGAATCTGTAATATCAAAACATTAGAGACATCAGTACCAGGTCATACTGAATCTGTAACAACAGAGCATTAGAGACATCAGTACCAGGTCATACTGAATCTGTAATATCAGAGCATTAAAGACATCAGTACCAAGTCATACTGAATCTGTAATACAGCCATTAGAGACATCAGTACCAGGTCATACTGAATCTATAATATCAGAGCATTAAAGACATCAGTACCAAGTCATACTGAATCTGTAATACAAACATCAGACATTAGAGACATCAATACCAGGTCATACTGAATCTGTAATACATGTATCAGAGTATAAGAGACATCAGTACCAGGTCAAACTGAATCTGTAATACAGACATCAGAGAATTAGAGACATCAGTACCAGGTCATACTGAATCTGTAATACAAACATCAGAGCATTAGAGACATCAGTACCGGGTCATACTGAATCTGTAATACTGACATCAGAGTATTAGAGACATCAGTACCAGGTCATACTGAATCTGTAATATCAGAGCATTAGAGACATCAGTACCAGGTCATACTGAATCTGTAACAACAGAGCATTACAGACATCAGTACCGGGTCATACTGAATCTGTAATACAGACATCAGAGTATTAGAGACATCAGTACAAGGTCATACTGAATCTGTAACAACAGAGCATTACAGACATCAGTACCGGGTCATACTGAATCTGTAATACAGACATCAGAGTATTAGAGACATCAGTACAAGGTCATACTGAATCTGTAACAACAGAGCATTAGAGACATCAGTACCAGATCATACTGAATCTGTAATACAGACATCAGAAACATCAGTACCAGCTCATACACATATCAAAACAATATATTCATTTTGTTTTCAACTTTCTTGACATACACTTTTGTAAAAAACAGTGGTCAATAAGCCTTTACAGTCACCTGAATTTCTTGAGTCTTTTCTGGGTGAAATTCATGAGAAAATAAAGTCACATTGTGTACTCAAGCAGTATTAGGGTTTCTACACAGAATTCAAGTTTCCTAGGTGTGAAATTTGCCTACCAATGCATTTACATTCAGGCATGCAAATATGTCAACTAACATTCATGAAATATCTAAATAACATATCCAGTAAAGACAAATAGAGTTGCAATGTTTGTAATATCACTAGACAATTTTAAACCAGATTATAATTCCATATGTTTAAGAGCCTCATAATGTTTGTTTTCCTTTATCAGTAATTCTTATTCAAATGAACAACCTTGTTTGAGCTTGCAAAAGTAACGAAGTTAGTTTGTTCAATAATTTATATGCTTATCCAACCACTGAAATGGTTTTAATTAGGTTGATTATTTATTTCATGATCTTGCCATGCTAGACAAATTATTTACTTAATAAAAAAAAAGAATTGGGAATCACCTGACCCTACATGTGGTCATGTGATTGGATAAAATGGCCACTGTAGAAATGGGAAAATGATGATTCACATGATATTTGACGACCCCTAACCAAGTATGCACATTATATAGGATATTTCATAGGGAGGAAATAAAATGACCAAATGACAGGTGACTGCTTGATAAAGGTGATCAACTACAATTTGAGTTCTACACGTGTTACCTGAGACTGGTAATCATGGGGGTCAATGTCTACAGCTTTGTCCCAATGAAACAGAGAATCATCAGAATCTTCTGAGGGGATACCGATACACTGCATAGTGGGCATTCTGAGGACACGCCCACACTGAAGACATCTCTGTAAATACTCCACAGAAAGGGATGTCCTCTCCTTCAACTACCAATAAATAAATAATGTACTTACAGAAATGGACCACCATCACCTTGTCAAATATCAATATATCATACATGTACCTACATAACATCAAATACATCTGATTCATAATAAAACAGTTTTTGCAAAAGTTGGGTGTGTTGTGTGTAAAAACCTAAGAATTAAAAATTTACTTCCAAAAAAGAGAAAAAGAAATACTCAAAACTATTTTTAGATCTAACTAAAACATGAGAAACAGATGGCAAGCCAAAGTGGTCAACAGTCCAGTGTTCACCAAAGGCATTAGACCAATGTCTGACACCAGTAAAAAAAAACAGTTGGTATGGTAAATGTAGGTCAGCACTATAGCCCAATTGGACTGGTACAATTTTAAGTGATATTTATCCATTTCTATCTCAGTATTTTAAAAATTTATTGAAAACATTTTTGTCTGAAAAAGATGTATGAATAATTTCTAAAATGAGGTAAGTTATTGACAAACAAGTTGATGAAACAAGAATATCAGCAGTCTAGTTTAAAGTCATCATTTCGTAAGTTCTATGGTCAAAACAATGACTTTGTCAGCAAATACAATTTATCATTAAGTCAAATGCTGACTGACGTTTTTTATACTTATTGTTAGGCCATTATTTACACGCTGAATTGTGGACAAATTTTTCTGTTATTTCCCGATCATGACAAGGAGCAGACGGCAGGTGTGACCGGTCGGCAGGGGATGCTCTCTCCTCTGTGGCACCTGATTCCACCTCTGATGTTTTAGAGGTCTGTGTTTGCTCTGCTCCAAAATTTGTATTGTTTAAAGGACTTTTGAGCTTGAATAATGTTCTTTATCTCCATATATTTTAAAAATAAATTATCTTGATTGAATTTTTATGACTTTCTCAATCATTTTTTATCTTTCTGTCCATGCTTAGTTTCATTGTTATAATTTGTTGTTTCCTGTTGCTTTGTTTAACTACGTAAAGAATGTGAGGAAAAAGTTGAGACAGAGATTGTCACTGGCATAAAGAAACAGTAATGAATTCAAAATGAAACTTGGGAGTTTCACATGAATGGAGAAATGGAAGGACAAAGATTTGTAATGATGTCATTGTGTCATTTGACAATAAATTGACAGAACAGATGGTTTTAAATTAAAAAAAAAATTGACCCTTTGGCTTTCCATAAAAAATATTAATGATATACTGTTGTATGAGCAATCCTTTCCACAGTGAAATCTTTTCTTTTCTTTTTGTACTTTTCAGGCATTTACATGTATTTCACATCTAAAGACAACTCCCATTTATAACAAGAGGCCCATGGGCAACATCACTCACCTGAGTAACATTGGCCATGCTGTTCTTTACCAGATTTCCCCCTTGTAATGCCTATTGTGGCCCCACCCAACCCCCGGGGGTCATGATTTGAACAATTTAGAATCTACACTACCTCAGGATGTTTCCACATAAGTTTCAGCTTTTCTGGCCCAGTGGTTCTTGAGAAGAAGATTTTTAAAGATTTTTCCTATATATTTCAATGTCAAACTTGGATTCCCTATTGTGGCCCCGCCCTACCCCTGGGGGTCATGATTTGAACAATTTAGAATCTTTACTACCCCAGGATGCTTCCACATAAGATTCAGCTTTTCTGGCCCAGTGGTTCTTGAGTAGAGGATTTTTAAAGATTTTTCCTATATATTTCAATGTCAAACTTGGATTCCCTATTGTGGCCCTGCCCTACCCCCAGGGGTCATGATTTGAACAATTTAGAATCTACACTACCCCAGGATGCTTCCACATAAGTTTCAGCTTCTCTGGCCCAGTGGTTCTAGAAAAGAAGATATTTAAAGATTTTTCCTATATATTTCAATGTAAAACTTGGATTCCCTATTGTGGCTCGCCCTACCCCTGGGGGTCATGATTTGAACAATTTAGAATCTTTACTACCCCAGGATGCTTCCACATAAGATTCAGCTTTTCTGGCCCAGTGGTTCCTGAGAAGAAGATTTTTAAAGATTTTTCCTATATATTTCAATGTCAAACTTGGATTCCCTATTGTGGCCCTGCCCTACCCCTGGGGGTCATGATTTAAACAATTTAGAATCTACACTACCCCAGGATGCTTCCACATAAGTTTCAGCTTCTCTGGTCCAGTGGCTCTAGAAAAGACGATTTTTAAAGATTTTTCCTATATATTTCAATGTAAAACTTGGATTCCCTATTGTGGCCCTGCCCTACCCCTGGGGGTCATGATTTGAACAATTTAGAATCTTTACTACCCCAGGATGCTTCCACATAAGATTCAGCTTTTCTGGCCCAGTGGTTCCTGAGAAGAAGATTTTTAAAGATTTTTCCTATATATTTCAATGTTAAACTTGGATTCCCTATTGTGGCCCTGCCCTACCCCTGGGGGTCATGATTTGAACAATTTAGAATCTTTACTACCCCAGGATGCTTCCACATAAGATTCAGCTTTTCTGGCCCAGTGGTTCTTGAGAAGAAGATTTTTAAAGATTTTTCCTATATATTTCAATGTAAAACATGGATTCCCTATTGTGGCCCTGCCCTACCCCCGGGGGTCATGATTTGAATAATTTAGAATCTTTACTACCCCAGGATGCTTCCACATAAGTTTCAGCTTTTCTGGCCCAGTGGTTCTTGAGTAGAAGATTTTTAAAGATTTTTCTAATATAGTTCAATGTAAACTTGGATTCCCTATTGTGGCCCTGACCTACCCTCAGGGGTCATGATTTGAACAATTTAGAATCTACACTACCCCCAGGATGCTTCCACTTAAGTTTCAGCTTTTCTGGTCCAGTGGTTCTCGAGAAGAAGATTTTTAAAGATTTTCCTTATATATTTCAATGTAAAACTTGGATTCCCTATTGTGGCCCCGCCTTACCCCCGGGGTCATGATTTTAACAATTTAGAATCTACACTATCCCAGGATGCTTCCATATAAGTTTTAGCTTTTTTGGCCCAGTGGTTCTTTAGAAGAAGATTTTTTAATGACCCTATTTTTGTCTTTTCTTGATCATCTCCCCTTGTAGGGGGACTTGGCCCTTTATGTTAACAATTTAAACTCCCCTTCACCCAAGGATACTTTGTGCTAAGTTTGGTAAAAATTGGTCCAGTGGTTCTTGAGAAGAAGTTGAAAATGTGAAAAGTTTACAGACGGATGGATGGACAGACAGACAGACAGACGGACGGACGATGGACAATGGGTGATCAGAAAAGCTCACTTGAGCTTTCAGCTCAGGTGAGCTAAAAACACTGAAAACTGAAAATATAAATGGCATACACTGGTATACTATAACTTCATAAAACAGAGAACCTTTCCTCATTATCAATTATGTACAAAACACTGTTTTATCTAATTAAATCTTGAGAATGTGAATCATGAAGAACTCACATATCTGATGACAGCTTCATTAGCACTGGATACCATGGAATCAAACTGCCCCTGCCTGTCAAACATATCATTAAAAGGACTTAATTAAGGCTGGAATGACAGATAACTCAATATAAAAGGAAAACTCATTATGTCAGCAAAGTACAGGAAAATTAGGTCATGAAGTCAGCATCTTGTACTTTTACCATGTTTACAAGACTAGAATTTTATGAACAACTGAATCTCATTAAAGCATTATCTGCTTGCATATACAAATCCAAAGTTGCAGCAGCTTATGGTACATTGTATGTCATCTTTAGGGGTTTTTTCCTTAAGGAGGAGGGGGGGGGGTATTTTTCTTCAATGATTCTGTAAGATTGCACACTGGGTTTCTAAAGACTTATAAACTTACATTTGAGCAAACTGTTTGATGGGCCGGGTAGGAAAGCTGTCCCTAACTACCGACATCAGGCACCTGTAAAATAAAACATAGGTAATCAGAGATTACAGAGCTCACCTCAACGAATGTTGTCTTTAAGTAAGGTAAAGTCCCACACTAAACTAATAATCTAGGAGTGTGCATCCCTAGATGCAACATTTATGCAATTTTGGTCTGACAGGGCTTGCAGTTACTTGGGAATAGACTTATCTGAAAACTTAAAACTAGTCACTCATCCAGAAAATGTAAGTCAAATCCAGCATCCGAAGCAAGTTTTGAGATTGTTCGTCCCTTGATGCATCATCAATGCAAGTTTGGTTAGATAGGCCTTATAGTTACTTGGAAATGAGATCTGCTCCAAAAACCTTAACCTGGTCACTCATCCGGAAAATGTAACTCAGATCCAGCATCCAAAGCAAATCCAGTAGTGTGCATCCTTAGATGTATCATCCATGCAAGTTTGGTCAATATAGGGTATATAGTTACTTGGAAATGACATCTGCTCCAAAAACTTTAACCTGGTCACTCATCCATAAAATATAGGTCAGATTCAGCATCCGAAGCAAATCCAGTAGTGTACATCCTTAGATGTATCATCCATGCAAGTTTAGTCAATATAGGGCTTGCAGTTACTTGGAAATGAGATCTGCTCCAAAAACTTCAACCTGGTTACTCATCCGTAAAATATAGGTCAGATCCAGCATCCGAAGCAAGTCCAGTAGTGTACATCCTTAGATGTATCATCCATGCAAGTTTGGTCAATATAGGGTTTATAGATACTTGGAAATGACATCTGCTCCAAAAACTTTAATCTAGTCACTCATCCCGGAAATGTAGGTCAGATCCAGCATCCGAAGCAAGTTCAGTAGTGTGCATCCTTAGATGTATCATCCATGCAAGTTTGGTCAATATAGGCCTTATAGTTACTTGGAAATGAGATCTACTCCAAAAACTTTAACCTAGTCACTCATCCGGAAATTGTAGGTCAGATCCAGCATCCGAAGCAAGTCCAGTAGTGTACATCCTTAGATGTATAATCCATGCAAGTTTGGTCAATATAGGGTTTATAGATACTTGGAAATGACATCTGCTCTAAAAACTTTAACCTGGTCACTCATCCATAAAATATAGGTCAGATTCAGCATCCGAAGCAAGTCCAGTAGTGTGCATCCTTAGATGTATCATCCATGCAAGTTTGGTCAGTATAGGGCTTATAGTTACTTGGAAATGACATCTGCTCCAAAAACCTTAACCTGGTCACTCATCCAGAAAATATAGGTCAGATCCAGCATCCGAAGCAAGTCCAGTAGTGTGCATCCTTAGATGTATCATCCATGCAAGTTTGGTCAATATAGGGTTTATAGTTACTTGGAAATGAAATCTACTCCAAAAACTTTAACCTAGTCACTCATCCGGAAAATGTAGGTCAGATCCAGCATCTGAAGCAAGTTCAGTAGTGTGCATCCTTAGATGTATCATCCATGCAAGTTTGGTCAATATAGGGCTTATAGTTACTTGGAAATGAGACCTGCTCCAAAAACTTTAACCTGCTCCAAAAACTTTAACCTGCTCCAAAAACATTAACCTGGTCATTCTCTAGCTGAAATTGCAGCATCTGAAACCTTGACTGGTACAATAAAACACACTAGAAGCATCCTCCATGCATCTCTGACTAATATAGGCTATAGAAGTACTTGAAAAGAAAACTGCTCCAAAAACCTTAACCTGGGACGCCGACGGTATTACATAAGCTCCCCCAACTTCGTTGAGGTGAGCTAAAGATCATATCAAAATCACCATCACGAAAGAGCAGTTACTGAATCTTAATAATCTTCTTCATAGGTCAGTAAAAAGCAGAAGACCTAAAAGCATACTTTTACATATTGCTGATTTTTGAGATCAATATTTAAATTCATGCTGTTGTTTTTTTTTCCTCGTATACACCCTGTAGACTACCATAAACTCTAAGAACAAACATACACAAATGATATAAACATGCATTAAACATAAGCATCTGTGATGCATACACATGTATATAGACAGAAGTTGTAGACTGATCATTTGTGAAAGAGATGTAGACATTAGTCTTAGACTGACATTCCATGAGAGAGATGTAGATATTAATGTTCCACTGACCATCTGTGATAGAGAAAAAGATATAGCATTAGACAGACCATCTGTGATAGAGATGTAGACATAGTATTAGATTGACCATCTGTGATAGAAATGCGGACATAAGTATTAGACAGACCATTTGTGATAGAGATGTAGATATTAGTATTAGACAGACCATCTGTGATAGAGATGTAGACATAGTATTAGATTGACCATCTGTGATAAAAATGTGGACATAAGTATTAGACAGACCATTTGTGATAGAAATGTAGATATTAGTATTAGACAGACCATCTGTGATAGAGATGTAGATATAAGTATTAGACGAATCATCTGTGATAGAGGTGTAGACATAGTATGACAGACCATTTGTGACAGAGAATCAGATGAAAACAATAGTATTAGACTGATTATCTATGGATTGATAGAGGTAGACATTAATATTAGACTGATTATCTATGATAGAAGTAAACATTAATATTAAACTGATCATCTGTGATAGAGATGTAGACATAAGTATTAGACTGACCATCTGTGATAGAGATGTAGACATAAGTATTAGACTGACCATCTGTGATAGAGATGTAGATATTAATATTAGACCTACCATCTGTGATAGAGTTGTACATATTAGTGTAGACCTACCATCTGTGATAGAGATGGAGGGAGAACAGAGCCTCCTCGGTGACTGTATCCCCAGACAAGCGGTCCTCCACAGTGTTAAAGTCACATCCCAATGTAATCTTCAACAGTTCTGTGATGAGGGTCTGTACCATAACCAGAGGGACACTGAAATCAAACAAGATTTACAAACAATTCTCATTATTACAAGAGGCCCATGGGCCACATCGCTCACCTGAGCACAGTGGATAGGCAAAAGCACAAATCAGTTCAGTATTGAAAAGATTCCGGGGGGGGGGGGGGGCTTGAATTTTAAACTACCTGATGATGCTTCCATGTCAAAATAACAAATGGCTTTGTTGTACTTGAGAAGATTTTAAAAAAATTTTCTGATATATTCCTCTTGTGGCTCCTCCCTATCCCAGGGGTCATCATTTGAACAAACTGGAATCTACACTACCTGAAGATGCTTCCATATCAATATGACTAAACATAGCTTTTCTGTTCTTGAGAAGAAATATTTTTTCTATATGTTCTTATGTTACATTCGATCCTCCATTGTGGCCCCGTTCTACTCTCGGGGGTCATCATTTGAACAAACTTGAATCTACACTACCTGAAGATGCTTCCATATCAATATGACTAAACATAGCTTTTCTGTTCTTGAGAAGAAATATTTTTTCTATGTGTTCTTATGTAAAATTTTCTATCCCCCTATTGGGCCCCACCCTACCCTCGGGGGTCATCATTTGAACAAAATTGAATTTACACTACCTGATGATGCTTCCATATCAAAATGACTAATCATGGCTTTGCAGTTCTTCATCAGAAGAAATCTTCCTATATATTTCTATTTCTATTTCAGACTTTGATCCTCCATTGTGGCCCCACCCAACCCCAGGGGGGCAACATTTGAACAAACTTGAATCTACACTACCTGAGTATACTTCCACATAAATATGATCAATCAGGGCTTTGCTGTTCTTGAGAAGAAGATTTTTAAAGATTTTTCCTATATATCTCTATGTAAAACTTTTATCCTCCTTTGGGGCCCCACCCTACCCCCGGGGGTCATGATTTGGACATACTTAAATCTATACTACCTTAGGATGCTTCCATATCAATATGATCAATTAGGGCTTTGCTGTTCTTGAGAAGAAGATTTTTAAAGATTTTTCCTATATATTTCTATGTAAAACTTTGATCCTCCATTGTGGCCCCGTCCTACCCCTGGGGGTCATGATTTGAACAAACTTGAATCTACACTACCTGAGGATGCTTCCATATAAATATGACCAATAATGGCTTTGCTTTTCTTGAGAAGAAGATTTTTAAAGGTTTTTCCCATATATTTCTATGTAAAACTTTGATCCTCCTTTGGGGCCCCGCCCTACCCCCAGGGGTCATGATTTGAACAAACTTGAATCTACACTACCTGAGGATGCTTCCATATAAATATGACTCATCATGGCTTTGCTGTTCTTGAGGAGAAGATTTTTAAAGATTTTTCCCATATATTTCTATGTAAAACTTTGATCCTCCATTGTAGCCCCGCCCTACCCCCGGGGGTCATGATTTGAACAAACTTGAATTTACACTACCTGAGGATGCTTCCATATAAATATGACTCATCATGGGTTTGCTGTTCTTGAGGAGAAGATTTTTAAAGGTTTTTCCCATATATTTCTATGTAAAACGTTGATCCTCCATTGTGGCCCCGCCCTACTCCCGGGGGTCATGATTTGAACAAACTTGAATTTACACTACCTGAGGATGATTCGATTTAAATATGACTCATTATGGCTTTGCTGTTCTTGAGAAGAAGATTTTTAAAGGTTTTTCCCATATATTTCTATGTAAAACTTTGATCCTCCATTGTGGCCCTGCCCTACCCCCGGGGGTCATGATTTGAACAAACTTGAATCTACACTACCTGAGGATGCTTCCATATAAATATGACTCATCATGGGTTTGCTGTTCTTGAGAAGAAGATTTTTAAAGGTTTTTCCCCATATATTTCTATGTAAAACTTTGATCCTCCATTGTGGCCCCGCCCTACCCCCGGGGGTCATGATTTGAATAAACTTGAATCTACACTACCTGAGGATGCTTCCACATGAGTTTCATCTTCCCTGGCTTTGTGGTTCTTGAGAAGAAGATTTTTAAAAGATGCTATTAATTTTTCACTAATTCTTTATTATCTCCCCTTGAAAGAGGGCGTGGCCCTTCATTTGAACAAACTTGAATCCCCTTCACCCAAGGATACTTTGTGGCAAGTTTGGTTGAAATTGGCCCAGTGGTTCTTGAGAAGAAGTCGAAAATGTGAAAAGTTTACAGACAGACGGACGGACAGACGGACTACAGACAAAATGTGATCAGAAAAGCTCACTTGAGCCTTCGGCTCAGGTGAGCTAATAAAAGTATCGCCAAACAGTCAAAAAAAATAAATCTTATCCTTGATAACCTATAGAAAAGGTCATGCATTTCAAAGTGTAAAAATGCATTATACATATCAAAAGTAACAGTAATATAAAACACTCCATATGCTTAAATTGTAGGGTAGATATTTTCATAATTGTACTGCTACATGTATGTATGTTTCTTATGTCTAAGTTTTGAATGACCCAATATGTAGTATGTTTTAATAATCCTACCCTGTAAGTATAGTGTTGAGGTTCCATTTTAAATGTGCTGCAACCTTCAAAGCCAGCAATCTCAAAGCCTTCACTTTCTTGTTTTCCTTGATGAACACTTTGACTTCTGGAATTAATGAAAGTTTAACAAACATGTCAATCTAAAAGATCTAGCAATGCAGAACTAAATTTTAAAACATACACAAGATTAAAATTATATGCTGTATAAAAACACTTGATTCTATTAACATAAAGGTAAGAGTATTCCTATTAAACTACAACATGTACAAATAAAAAATAGTTTCCACTTAGTTACGAACAGAAACTACACGTAATACTTAGGACATTGATAGACTGGACTGAGGGTGTGGCTGACAATCAACTAGATGTACACCTAATCTATTTATAGTATAAAGCACGGTATGCTTTAACCCTGTGAAACTCCCCTCAATTATTCAATTGCTGCAGTATATATACACAAACTATACCCTGTGAAAGTCATCCAGTTTTTCAGGTGCTGCACCCTCCGTTGTTCTGAGGTGGAGGGCTATTTTTAAAACATTGTTTTAACATAAGTCATATGATCTGTAACTTTGCAATATTTTGATACAAAAAATACCTTGCATACAAACATATTTCTTTTTCTGAACCAAGATACAATGATTATTATACTCATGTAGGGTTGTCCATAAGAATTGAAACAGAAGGGGACATTTCAAAAGTAGAAAGGGTGTCTTGGGTTCCTCCTCTAGTGTGAGTTTAGGAGGAATACCAGAATAACCAGGGGATTATGTCATTTTAGGCGAAAAAAATTCCCTTGCCCCCAGGTCCTATGCATAACCCTGTCATTAAATTCAAAACCTAAGATATCATAAAAAGAGGAGAAAAACAAGTTTGGCAACATTGAGCTCCTCTAGCTATAGACATGAAAAACAGATCAAAGCATTTCTGCATAGACAGAACACTGCTTACAGAAACAAGAGGCCCAAGGGCCTTGAATCGCTCTTCTGATAAATTGTACAACCAATATCACTTCTATTTGAAGCCTCTAAGTATCCTGTATACATGTACATGTATTTAAATAAAGCTTGAAATTCCAAAAGTAGGTCATCATGACATTTTAGATAAAACACTCTGAGAACCCAAAATGATTCTAAGCCAATTAGTACCTGAGAGTAGGTCATGGTGACTTACTTATCACTTGTCATTCTCCGAGGACCCAAGATGCATCAATTAACTAAGTTTGATAATTCTAAGCCAAATAGTACCTGAAATATTTATATAAAGCCACAAAATTTCAAAAGTAGGTCATGTTGACCTAGCGCTACTTTACAGTTGAAATATTCCGAGGACCCAAGATGCAACAACTGACAAAGTTTGATGATTTTAAGCCAATTAGTAAATATTTAATTATAACCATAAAATTTCAAAAGTAGGTCACACACAGTGACCTACTTTTCAGTTGACATACTTTGAGGACCCAAGATGCATCAACTGACAAAATTTGATGATTCTAAGCCAATTAGTACCCGAAATATTTAATTATAGCCATATAAATTGAAAAGTACTACTTTTCAGTCAACTTATTCCGAGGACCCAAGATGCATTAACTGACAAAATTTGATGATTCTAAGCCAATTAGTACCCAAATATTAAATTATAGCCACATAAATTGAAAAGTAGGTCACGGTGACCTACTTTTCAGTAGATGCGCTCTGAGGACCCAGGATGCATCAACTGACAAAGTTTGATGATTCTAAGCCAATTAGTACCTGAAATATTTAATTAAGCCATAAATTTTAAAAAATTGGTCACGGTGACATACTTTTCAGTCGACTTACTCCTAGGACCAAAAATGCATCAACTGACAAAGTTTGATGATTCTAAGCCAATTAGTACCCAAAATATTTAATTATAGCCATATAAATTGAAAAGTAGGTCACAGTGACCTACTTTTAAGTCGACCTACTTTGAGTACCCAAGATACATCATCTGACAAAGTTTGATGATCTCAGCCAATTAGTACCCGAAATATTTAGATATAGCCATCAATTTCAAAAGTAGGTCACAATGACCTAGTTTTCAGTTGAAGTTTTTCGACGACCCAAGATGCAGCAACTTACAAAGTTTTATGATCATAGGCCTTAAAATGTCCAAAATATACCTCTAAAACGCTTTGAACTCGAATGCCTGCAAAGTTCAAAAAGTAGGTCACTGTGACCTACCGGTACTTTTTAATAAATATGTTTTATGGCCCCAAGATGCATCATCTTACAAGATTTAATGATTCTAAACCTCTCAGTATTCAAATTAATGACCTTAAATGTTTTGGAAAAGATTAGCCATAAAATTCAAAAAGTAGGTCAAGGTGATCTACTTTTTAGTTGACGTATGCCGAGAACCCAAGATGCATGAACTGACAAAATTTGATGATCATAGGCCTTAAATTGTTCAAAATATGCCTCTAAATCATTTTGAAGAAGAATGACTGCAAAATTTAAAAAGTAGGTCACTGTGACCTACTTTTGAGTCAACAGGATGTGAGGTCCTTAGATGCACCAACTGACAAGATTTGATGATCCTAGTCCTTATAATAAGCAAAATATCAACATTTTAATAAAATGTAATTTTTGGTCGACTTTGAAGTGACCTTGAGACCACGCCCTTTGCTCCAGGGTAATGCCTTCAACAATTTTTAATCTTCAACATATCTTCATCCTTTTGTGTAAGTTTGGTGATAATCTGCCCAGTGGTTCTTGAGCAGATTTTTTAGCAACCAGTACTTTTGGTTTTATTTACCTAATTATCTCCCCTTGTTTAAGGGTCACAACCCTAGTTTTAGTATAAACGGGAGCCCTTGTGCCAAGGAATTTGACAATAATTGGCCAAGGGGTTCTTGAGTTATGGCCCATATTCTAAAAAGTTTACAAACACCGAACACCACACAAATGGCCATAGCATTAGCTCTTTGAGTCTTTGGCTCAGAAGAATCAATAAAATCTGATATCAATAGAATTTAAAACAGGATTCATGCAACACAAAAGTGTGATCATTTAGCAAATTGCAACTATTGGTCAGAAAGATGTCACCTTTGTCATTGATTTTTTGCTACAAAACATTCATGAAATCTTTGTTTACAATAAGTATGTGTAATGCTACTACTAATGCATATCTGGAAATTAATGAGAATTTTCTAGGGAACTGTAATTTTTCACATATCAACCAAATTTTATTATTTTCAAAGTAAATCACAATATCAAAAATATGTTAAATTACAGCTATATCACTATAGGAAAGACAAATGAATGTCAAAAATTCTCTTACCCTGAGGTTCAATGCTGCCATTATCTCCAGTAGGAATGGGGGGCAGTGGTTCTTTGACAACATGAGCATCAGCTTGTTGTAAGAACTGAACAATTAACTGTACAGGTGATGGGTCTGAAAAAATACAGTTGAACTTTGGTGTCTCAACATGTCTCAAATACTTTTTTTCCTTTATGAATTTCAACCTCAATCTCAGAAGTTTTTCCTCGGTCCCCATCTACTTTGAGACTGAAGTAAATTAATCTTTGCCATGCTAACACACAAATATCATCTAGGAAATGAGTCTCAGTCTAAAGGGATACAGGTCTTCTATTGCTTTACAATTGATTTCATATTACTTTACACATCAAGCTTTGTTGATTGGAACACTTATCCTGAGAAATTTGACCAGATTAATGATCGAAGTGTTGAGATTGCTGAAAAATATGCCTATTAATGTAAATTCTGTTCCCCACAAGGAGGAAGGCTTTATTATGCCCTAAAGAATACATTGATGTGATAAACCATGAAAGAATTTGGCATGAAGGAGGATCTTTCTGGAAATATGACTTCATTTTAGAAATGCCAATCTTCAATATGCTACTTCTAATACATAATATATTTTCTTCTATTTTAGTGATTTAGAATACTTACAAGATCTGTCGTTTCAACTTCTTACTGTACAAGCTTAATTTGTCATCTGATATTTTTAAACAATATGTAACATGTCATTCAAATGCTTACTTTAATCATGATGTGTACTGGCAGTATTTAGTCTAGAAATGATTTCTTTGCTATGTAGAGTTTCTAATATTCAAATTTAATTTCAAATTGGTGTTTATAGAATCAAGTTGTTTACTTGATGACATATATACATACAGGTAATTGTATTGGTTTTTCCAAGAAGGCTGCAAAAAGCACTTTTGTTTTGATGTACAGAGACAATGGCTGATGGCATGCAATTTCAAGGACCAACCTAGGGGGCGACTGAGGCGAAATAGTCGCTTTTGAGCTCCAAACTTCGCCGTAATTTATCACGAAAGAGAAGTTTAAGTCGCCTTAACATTTGCAACCCCTTTATTGAAAATCATAAAAAATCTATTAAGAAACATGGTAGTATCGTCACTTTTTCATAAATCTGGTTTTATTACTGCTGATATAAGTGAAACAGCAGGGCACTTGCACCTGTTTTGCTACTTATGACCAGTGCATCGAATACTCTGTCGGAACTCCTCTAGATTTTACGCTTCCGTGTATGAAAAAGTCCATTGTTAAAAGTTATACACAGCAAGACGCAAAACAGCTGGACAGCTATCTATGTCATGCCAAAGATGTTGGAGATGATTTTAGATCTTTTTATTGTCAAATAATTAAAACATGCTGTGGAATACAGACATATTTTTACTGTTATATTGAGGAGTTACATGTATTAACTGTCTCAGAAATTACACATGTCTGATAAACGTAAGTAGTTCAAACGGCATGTACTGTATCAAAACTTTTTTAGAAAAAGAATTTAATATTGAAAACGAATTTTGAAGAGAAAATAACAAAATTATGACTATGCCAAGAGCCTGAAAATCTAACCCTGAGAGGAGAGAAAAACGTGTGAATCATATAAAAGTTAATTGTGCATACTACTCAAGAAATGAAAAAAAGTTTGATAAACAAGTTTATCAATTTTTTTATAGAAACTTTTACATTGTCATTGTTTTATATATTTTGCTAGATATTTATATACCTTGTAATTATAATTTTTTTTTAAAGAATCTTTTTTCTCTTTTTTAATTATTTTTACTAGGATGTTTAAATAATACAGAAGAAATTACTGAAATGTATTTAAGTGATAAATGATGGAATGTTTTTATTTTTAAAAAGCTTAATAATGATCAATGTGCGCCACGCGCGCCGAGAAGTCTCCCTAGAATTCAAAACTTCTCCCTACATTTCTCTGAGGGAGAAGTGAAGTCTCCCTAAATTTTGGGTCTAGGTTGGTCCTTGAATTTATAGATTTGTTTTTGCTGTTTACCTGTAAGTCCCTTTCTAATTACATTTTTTACAAAATTATAAAAGTTGTCACCATACAAACATGATTAAAAGGTTAAGAAACAAATAGTAACCTACTAGACTTCAGCTGCATTTACTTAAAAGATACATACATAATTAATCATTATACCAATACTTTCTTGGGAATTTAATTAAATGTATCAATACCACTAGGAAAAAAACAGAAACCTAATACGTTCTATTTCCACTATGGAAGAGTTATACGTCTTAGTGCGCTCTTTTGTGAAAAAGTCGGAAAATGTACAAATCTCGCGGGATTTCTGGGACAAACGTAACATAAACATGTAAACAATATGTTGAATGTCGATGAACAATTCCTAAGAAAACGCAAATGAAATATTTTATTGTTGTGGACTTTATAAACATCAAGAGTAGGAATGACAACGATATCAATTTATATCTTTTTGATCGTATATATCTACATGTATTTATCGTATGGTATATCTAAATACAATGCACATGCCTCGGAAATGTCGCATTTTTTATTAATGGATGAGAAATTTGAGGTTCTCGCTCTCTTACATATGTCTTTTAGTTCTTCTATTCTTTAATTGGAATGACAAATACATTAACATTTAAAATTGGATTGAGATTGGCATGTTTTGTACTATCCGCAACACCATGCTGTCCCAGTCAGACGACTAAACGCGCCTCTAATTTTGAAGAGTTCACTAATGGAAATAAAACGTATTGACATAGTCTACAGAGAGTTTTCTAACATTGGTCTATCATATATACCCATGTAGTTTTCACCTTTTCCTGTTTTATTCATGGGAGACCACAGGCCTTTGGATCGCTTAAATCTGACTTTAAAAATTTGGGGTGTAAAAAAAAGATAAAGGTATGGAACTCCTTACATAGGGTACCCACGTTCGCTAATAAAATATTTTTAAATCGAATGCTCTAAAGTTTTACTTTCTATTCATATCTATTCATATATAATCAATCTACATCACTACCAACGTTTATTTCCGAACTTCCACGTACTTACCGAGATATGGTGAGATCAATTCCAAAACTGACCTACTTTTTTTACTCAACATTAGCTTGGGCCCAGGTTATTCACATGTATACAGGCAGTGTTTGAACTGTAGTGAACAGCTGCATAGTATTTGCACAATCTTTCAACATTTTAAAGTTGATTTTTTACTCCAGATTGTAAGGTTAAGTCAGTAATAATTCCATTTGCGAAAAAAAATTTAGAAAACGTTTGCTTCAACAACTTCACAGCCATGTTGTTTATATAATATATGTAAAAAGAACTATGATTGAACAAAATTTTCCTGGAATGTATAACATACCTTTTGATTTTTTTAAAAGAATACCACTAAAATGTTGTGGTAACTTAGTAAGACCATATGATCAAATCAGATCAAATTTTGTAGAGACTGAGTGCTAATAAACAAATATTCAGAGAGTAGAATAAATTCCGGGAAGAATTCATACCGTCGTTCCCGCTTTACAATTTGTGTAACTATTCAAAGGCCCAGGCTAATATTGAGTAAAAAAATAAGATCAATTTTGGAATATGATTTTAGCTTATCTCGGGAATTATACAGAATTTCGGAAAGAACTTTGGTAGTAACGTATACTGTTTATAGATGTGAATAGTTATTAATAGAAAGTAACGTTTTAGATCATTTGATTTAAAAGTATTTTATTGGCGAATGTGGGTACCCTATGTAAGGAGTTCCCTATCTTTATTTTTTTTTAACATCTCAATTTTTTAAAGCGATCTAAGGGCCTGTGTGGAAGACCAATGACAACCTCTTGTTAAACTGTGTCTAAAACATGTCAATTAACATCCAATGCATTTTATTTGTCATTTGTCAACAACTCTCATTTTTTCGCATGTTCAGGTTTGTTTTCCCTAAAAGTTATAACAGCTAAATAACATACTAAGTGTTGAATTGTGTTCCATTTAATGAAAAGACTGATTCAACACTAACTTTAATCTGTTAATAATCAAAAAGTTTTTTTTTTGTTTCTGAATCATTTACGATATATATACTTAGAAAATTAATCCAAAAAAAAATTCAAAAGAGACTATCATATATGTATACACAATGTTCAACTTCCGAGGTTATCATAGTTACTAGTTTTTCTCATATAATCACCATGTCCATAATGTTCAGTTACATGAATATCTCTATTCTATTCTCTGCCAGAATAGATGGACATTTTTATTCTTGAGTAGCACTTGCTCACCCCCCCCCCCCCCCCCCTTCAAAAAAATATCATCTATCAATTGTGTATGTTTACATCAGGGAGGACTTGTCTTTAACTGAGATGTCCATTATGTAGCTCAAAGAATTTATACTATGCATTAATTTAAAAGTATACATTCAGAATCATAGCTGATAGTTCATAAATTTATGAAAATTTTGAGAGTTGTAAATAAGATGAACTAACACTCACAATCAATTTAGTAGTGGTATTAAGTAGCTCAAGATTAACAAGATACTTTTTAACCCAATGATTTTCCATATTTATCAAAACACAAATTACTAAGTAACAACAGTTCAAAAAGACACACAATTAAAGAAAATATCTTTATCATATATTATATGTACTACAAACAATAAACATATATACACTGTACTTGAAAAAAAATTACATTACGGGCGATAGGTATGGAGGCAGTTAACTTTTTTCAAGGTATTTTCAAAAGTTTCTTAAATTAAAATTTAAGCTTAAGTGTCAGTAGAATATATAAAGATGGTTTGTGTTTACATTGAGTGTTAACAATTACATGTATTTGCACTAATTATGCATGTTTGAGTTAGCTTCATGTAGTGTTCAATTACTAAGAGTCTGAAGTAATGAATGTACACAGTCAGTTAATTAATATATTTGAACACTTTCAATGATGACCCTGAACAGTTCTGTCATGTTTTGTTTCAAGTAAATTATATTTACATGTGCATATTTTTTTAAAATTATTCATTTTTTTTAACTATAAAAATAGCATCATTAAAAAGGGTATTTAAGTTGTTTTTTTTCTTTAATGCCTTTGCATTTGATACCAGTATGTGAGAAGGATATTTGTTAATCGATTCACATATCCAGATGATTTCATTTGGGACAAAGGTGTCCAGATTAACGAGGCGACTCTGATGTACATATCTGTTTTATTCCTCCTTTTTATGTCTTTTTCCTATCAATCATGCAACTCTTTCCCTCTTGTATATGTGTATATTGTATCACATTTATTATGTTTATATGAAAATACATAGGTGTTTACAATGTAACTTTCTTTTTGCCCCATGAGAGCCATTAATTGGTAAATAAACAATTTGAAATGAATTGAATACAACTGCATTATTCTCTTTAGAGTATAGGCAAAAGCCAGTCCACTTCTCTAAAGAAAATAATAATTGCATGAACATGATCATGGTAAAGAGAATTCGCGAAAGCAAAGTTTGTAACTTTTAACCTGGAACAAAGATATAATAAAAATGCATTGTAAATAGCAATTAACACATTAAAGGCATGTAATTCATTATTATCTGATCCTTTACATACCTGGATTTTCTTGATGCAAATGCTTCTCAAGGAGGTCCTCATTTAATAGAAATTCAAACCATGAAACGGCCGGGAGGGATGAAGGAATGGGACCGAAGTTCCCCCGTGGCAAATTTTCTGTCATGGCGAATTATAATCCAACCCAAAATACATTTCCTTAACACATGAAATTTTTCCTAATAAATAAAATGGGAATACTTTGATTAAAGGCCTGGAAATTTATTTGTGATTACCCTCGCGACACAAAGTCACAATATCCAGGAGGAGAGAATGCTCTTCGCAGGAAGTGTTTGATTACCGATCCCGATGTGAATACGAATTAGGTTAGCGGATCCAGCAGGGGATGGGGTTGGGTTTCAGAGAGGTAAATACATAGATGCATAGAAGCAGAGCAGAAGATTTTTAAAAGTAGAGATACATTTCACTATACATTCAACACAGCCCGTCCTAACATCAGAATCCCTGATCAAAGGTCATGAAATCAACAATTTTGGAAGAAGCCGCTTAAATTAGCACACATAACTATAATGCACTTATACCCAGGAGCAGAGAGGATTTTCAATTCTTTTATGCATTTTTCACATTATAATCAATAGAGACCCGCCTTGACACCAGATCCCCTGACCCCGGGGCCATGAAAATCACAATTATGGAAGACGCACCCTTGCTCATCATAGCCATGATCTTAATTCAGCTGATAAATATACAGGGTAGAGAATAATTTACGCATTTTCACAATATGGTCATTAAAGCCCCACCCTAACTCCAGAACAATTTATCTGCTAAATACATTGTATACAAGGGAGAGAAAAATTTATGAATTTTCACAATATGATCATATTAGAGCCCCACCCTAGCTAACTCTAGAACTTCTGACCCTGGGGACATTAGTTTCACTATTTGAGAGGGCTCGATGCTTATTACAATCATGACACGAGTTCAACTGTTTGATGTCCAGGAGTAAAAGAAGATTTTTAAAGATTGCATGAATTTTGATGGTTTTAGCCCCACCCCTCGGCCCCAGGAGGGCAGGGACCATGAAATTTACAATTTTTGTTTCCCTTTACTCATAGATGCTATATTCTAAAATTGGTTGAAATTTGTTCAGCGGCTCCAGAGGGGAAGTTGAAAATGTTCAAATGTTAGCGGACTACGCACAACGATCAACCGACGACGGACAAAAAAACCAGATCTATAGCAATAGGTCACCTGAGTGACTCAGGTGAACCAAGAATAATTACCCCCCCCCCCCGTATGATTTTAAACAATAATATTGTCAGCTGTACGTCCATTATAGTCGTGACTGGATTACAATATGCCAACATTTCAACTTACGCCAGATTAATTATCTGTTTGATTGAAAAAATAATTAAACCCATATTCATTTGATCTCTATGTTGTTAAATAACAACCAAAGAGATACTAATAAACTGGTAACTGGTTAATTAGTGAGGTCATTGGAAAGGTGTGACAAGTCGTTTCCTATTGTATGAGAGATACGGGGCTGGGTGCGGCTCGAGCTAGCGCTCTCGCCTTGAGCCCCACACTGTACATGTATCTCTCATACAATAGGAAACTCGTCCTATATTTATATTACAAAAATGGATGCTTAACTCCCCTACAAAAATTAAATTCATGTGCTCTGGTTACATGCCTCAGATTCATGGATTGAAAGTTCATATATTTTTGACAATCTTATTTAGACCCCTGCGCATGCAGGTTCTATAGGCTATATGAAGGCAATAACCTTTTGATGACCACTATTACGCCTTTTGAAAAAAGCGCTTTTACTTCTTTACATTTCGCATTATTACGCCTTTAGAAAAGTCGTAATAATACCCTTTTCAAAGGTATAATAACGCCTTAATAAATATCGCCTTTTGAAAATGCGTTTTTGAAAGGCGTCATAGCGCTTTTTTGAAAGAGTGGGGTTAGTGGAAAATGTTTTAACTACATCAAAAATATGTATATAGGAATTAAATCTATGATAAATCTGAATGGCACAATCACAGATTATTTTAACTGTAATGTTGGTGTTCGCCAAGGTGAAAATCTTTCGCCTTTTTTATTTTCCTTATATATTAATGACCTGGAAGAGTTCCTCTCGGACAGAAATATTATTGGTTTACAAAGCATAACTGACGCTATTGAAGAAGAATTATATGTGTATCTTAAGCTTTTCATTTTGTTATATGCAGACGATACTGTTATCTTGGCTGAAACAGATGTAGATCTGCAAAAGGCTTTGGATGGTTTTTATTTGTATTGTTCACAATGGAAACTTAATGTTAATGTTAGTAAGACAGAAATTCTAGTGTTTTCTAAAGGACCAATGTCAAAAAAGGTATTTAATTATAATAATAATGCAATTGAAAATGTAAAAGAATTCAAGTATCTTGGGATAATATTTTCACGCTCAGGTTCATTTTGTAAGGCCAAAAAACATTTATGTGAACAAGCACAGAAAGCAATGTATGGTGTTATAAGGAAGATAAGACAATTTAACTTATCAATTGAATGTCAGTTAGATCTTTTTGATAAAGTTGTTGTTCCAATTTTGACTTATGGCTGTGAAATTTGGGGTTATGAAAATCTCGACATCATTGAACGTGTACATTTAAAATTTTTAAAACATATTTTCCATTTAAAGAGTAGTACGCCCTCGTATATGGTGTATGGGGAGACTGAGCGATTCCCATTGTATATTAATATTTATACAAGGATGATCTCCTACTGGTTAAAATTACTTACCCCGAATTCTTTAGAAAACAAAATAGTTTGTGTTTTGTATAAATATCTATGTTTTCAATATTTTCAAGGAGGTCCAAAAAACCTATGGGTAGATTTCATTTATAAAATTTTAACCTCTTGTGGGTTCTCCAACATTTGGTATGAACAAAGTCCCATTGACAGGAATTGGGTACTTGCAGCAGTGAAGCAAAGATTAAGCGACCAATTTATTCAAAAATGGCATAGTGATATAAATAATTCATCAAAAGGTCAAATTTACAAAATTTTTAAGAGTGATTTTGGATTTGAAAAATATCTAAGTATTTTACCTAGTAAACTCCAAAAAATACTGATAAAATTTAGAACTTCAAACCACCACCTCCCAATTGAAACTGGTAGATGGTCAAATATTCCACTGGATGAAAGAGTTTGTAAATTGTGTAATACAGGGCAAATAGCAGACGAATTTCATTTCATTTTAGAATGTAAAACATTGAACAGCATCAGAAAGAATCTTCTACATCCCAGATTTTGTAAAACGCCAAATACACTTAAGTTTTCTGAAATTATGTCAACGACAAACTTAAAAACTCTAAAAAACCTTTGTATATTTATATCTAAAATAAACGACACCGTCTGTCCTCCATAATTTAAATGTTATCTTACCATTTTCTTTCTTCTTTTCTTCTTTCATTGTATGTTTTTTGCTATACTATGTACATATGTATATGCCCCTCATTTATGCTATTGTATCATAATTATATTTATTATTTTTGTCACAATTATGACGACTAATTTATTGTACCTCATGTACCACTGATGTTGGTGTGAGTGAATAAAATGAAATGAAATGAAATGAAAGGCGTAATAACATATTTTGAAAATCCGTTATACCGGTAACGCCGTTTTGAATAAGCGTTATAACGCCTTTTCAAAAGGTGTTATTACGCCTTTGTTGCGTTATTCCGCCTTTCTTGCGCTAACACGCACTCATGTCTATGAAATACATTTTTCAAAACTATTAATCCGTCACTTTCTTTTTTCAATAGCTTCTGTCCTAAACGGGAGTACTATCGTTGAGGTTCCTAAATCGGTGACATCTCCTTTAAATTGAGCCGAGAAATTTTTTATATTGGGAGATCTGACTTATCAACATATGAATAATGTTAGGTAACACAGTAGCTTGTAGTATGTGATATACGTATTATAAATTAACAATAGTTCCATCCATTTATATGTTGACTCGATATATCTATGCAGTGAAGTTGAAATGAAAGGATATTACAGAGTCTGACACACCTGTTTCATATTTGGATATTTTACTAGAAAAAGAGGTTAATGGTAACCCAACAACAAATCTTTATGATAAACGTGATGACTTCAACTTTTCTATCGTCAACTTTCCATTCTTATGTAGCAATATACCCTTATCACCTTCATATGGGGTTCATATCACCCAGCTGATTCGATACACAAGAGCATGCTCCAAACAATTTGTAAAACGATATCAACAGTCTTGTTTGAAGTCATCATGGTCGATACAAAGACTTTGTCAGCAAATACAATCTGTATTAAGTCGGATACTGACTAACGTTTTTCATACTAATTTAACCGTTTCGCGTTGCCCGATCATAACAATGAACATAAGACAGGTGTGTCCGGTTGACAGGGAATGCATACTACTCCATGGCACCTGATCCCATCTCTGATGTTTTTATAGGCCCGTGTTTGCTCTGCTCCCGATCTGTATTGTTACAATTGACTTGTGAGCTTGATTACTGTTCGTTATCTCCATATTTCATTCTTCATCTTACGTGAAGTGTTAAAAATAACATTATAAGAGTATTGCATAAGCAATACTAGATCCCTAAGGGCCCTTTCACAATTGCCGCACGAGCTAAGCGACAAAATATTCGTGTCACCGAAAAAAATTATTTGGATCGTAAACTGTTGCCGAAAGAATCACATATGAAAAAGTATTCGTACGAAATTCGCACGATCTAAAGCGAGTGTTGTACGATGCAAACGCATTAAATCTTGCGATATATCTTGCGTCTATATCTATATGCGACCGTAGAACAATGAAAGCGAGTGTTGTAAGATAATGTGATAGGATTGTGCGAGTGATCAGTGATCGGACGATTGAACGTGCGCCATTTCGACTGGACGTGCGGCGCTCGTGCGATCATGCGTTCCATGGTACGAATGCAGTTCAGAGGGGGTATATATACCGCCCGTTTCCGACGCTCTTCAGTTAAACGCGAGAGAAGATGCCGCCCAAGAAGATGACAAAAGCAACCGTCAAAGCCAAGCTGAACCGTAGAAAGAAGGCCCAGGAGAAGGAGGCCCAAGACCTGCCGCAGAAGCCGAACCCTGTTGATGATCCACCGGACCCTGCCGACGAGGGGGAAGAGCCGCCAGACCAGCCAGCTGAGCCTTCAGAGCCTAATCCAGTGAGGATGAGGATGAGGAGGGTCCTAGCAAACAGAAATCATTGGCCCTGACTCCAGAGCAGGAACAAGAGCTGGCAAACTTCTACCAAGAAAAACCCTGCTTCTATGATAGAAGTGGAGTGACTTTAAAAACTCCAAGAAGAAGGATCGCCTGATTCAGGAAAAGACAGCAGCTATGAATTTGACTGATGAGTAAATCAAAATAATTTTATTGAACATTTTAATTGCTTTATTTTGATATATTTTATTGTTGAATATTTTGAAGTGTTAATGTTAACTAATTATGGCATTTGTTTCTTTTCAATGGCAGACATCCGGCTCTGGTACAGATCCCAGCGGACCATCCTGGGCAAACTCCAGAAAAAGAAGAGTGGCCAGAAAAGATGTAACCTTACAGCCAGGCAAAAGTGGGTGGAAAGAAACTTAGGCTTCCTGAGAAGGCACATCGTGCACCGGTCACAGGGGTCCCAGCTCGGACAAGTACCAGCTGATGAAGAGGACGAGGATAGTGAGCCCCTCCCCCACAGGCACCCACCAGGAAGAAGCAGAGGAAGAACAAGGACTTGGATACAGCCATTATCGACTTGCTGGAGAAGACTGGCAGGCAGACATTCGACCTGACGGCAAAGGTGGACGCAGCAATGAGCCACGGCAGCGATGAGAAGCAGGCCTGGGTGGACTGGATGTTGCATGCTGTTGTAGTAGTGTTTCAGGTAGGTTCAGATTCTCTTGTCCTCCAGATTTGGCAAGTTACCTCTGCCAACTGCTTCCACATCTTGCAGAACTCGGTCGTTTCTCCATGCCCCGGGGATGTAGTTGCCAGCTTCATCTTCCTGATCCAGGTCGTTGTTCTGCAAGCCAGGATAGCGGAGTCTCATCAGGTTGTGCAGGCAAATGGCTGCCATGACGATGATCTTGCCCCGGTCTGGATCCTGCTGCATTGTGCCCAAAATACATCTCCAGCGGTGTGCAAAAATGCCGAAGGTGTTCTCTACCACACAACGAGCCCTAGACAGACGATAGTTAAAGATCCTTTCTTAGTCGGTCATGTTGCGGTTGGAGTAGGGCTTTATCATCCAGGACTTGAGGAGGAATGCGTCGTCTCCCACCAAGAAGTACGGGATGGGTCTGTCATCATTTGGCAGAGGGTCTGGATCTGACAGGCCAAGAGTGTCATTTTCATTTTCCAGTTGAAGATCTGGGCGTCTCATGAGGAGCCTCGAGTATCAACGTCGGCCCTGAGAAACTTGTAATTGGCGTCGACCAAGGCCAGGAGGAGGATGCTGAAGAACCCCTTGTAGTTGTAGTAGAGGGTACCAGACCGACTTGGGTTTCTTATGGCAACATTTTTTTCCGTCCAGGGCTCCGCATGTATGGTGGACATTCTATCTTTCACCATACTTCTGTGCCACTTCTCGCCACTCATCTGGGTTAGTTGGAAAGATGTAAATCATATACGGTACCAATTTTGATGCACCAGATGCGCATTTCGACAAATTATGTCTCTTCAGTGATGCTCAAGCCGAAAAGTTTGAAGTCCAAAATATTTTAATAAAAAAAAGACTTGGATGAGCTGAAAAAGGTGCCCAAAGAGTGGAGCCAAATACCTAGAAGGATCAGAGCTATGCATGAGGGAGATAATCCTTAATTTTGAAAACAATTTTTTAAAATTTACTACAACAATTAAATATATATCCGTATTTTCAAGCTAGCACCGAAGTACTAGGTTACTGGGCTGTAGAGACCCTCGGGGACTAACAGTCCACCAGCAAAGGCCTCGACCCAGGGATCATAATGTAAATCATATACGGTACCAATTTTGATGCACCAGATGCGCATTTCGACAAATTATGTCTCTTCAGTGATGCTCAAGCCGAAATGTTTGAAATCCAAATATTTTAATAAAAAAAGACTTGGATGAGCTGAAAAAGGTGCCCAAAGAGTGGAGCAAAATACTCGTACTCGCAGACGGCGAGGAGGTATTGGTGCAGAAGCATCCATGGTCAATTGTGGTCTGAAAAACAAGGTATATATACTAGTGGCAAAGCATGGCAAATTGATGCTGATAAATCGAGGAATGATAGTAAAACGTTGCAAGATTACATGAGACACGTTGAGCAACAGTCTCATGGTCGCAAAACACACGCATAGACAGCTGCAATTCATCTTACGACCTTAAAAATTGTGCATCACTCTTGCGAGTACACAAAACGACCACTAAAACGCATGCAACGAATACGAGACATCGTGCAGAGTATGCGAGAGCTCGTGCGAAGCTACAACTTTCCGATCGCAAAGTGTTGTAAAGTGCTCGTGCGCCAATTGTGAAAGGGTGTAATCTGGTTCCCCTTAAAAATTAAAAATCATTGAAGCGGGATGAAATGGAAATCGCAACTTCTCGGGCCTTTCCAACAAGCGGAAAAACAACCTAACGTAATCGTCCATTACAACCCTCTTTTTTCATAAACTTTAAAACAATGTAGGGAGAGCTCTTATCTGTAGAGTATGGAGTTATCACCTATAAATTATACTAAGAAGGGTCTTTCAACTTCGTCGATCCAATACTTTAATAAGTAGGAAACGACTCCTTTTTATATAAATTTTTAACATACCCTGATGCGAATACATTCAAGGTGTTTACAATATTCCGAGCTTGCCGGAGAGGCCCAAGAAGATACGACTGTAATCTGTCCTTCAATGGGAAGCTTACGAAAAAAAAGTAATCTGACCTGACTAGTGGTATGCAATCCACCCCCTCCCCCCTTACAAAATAGCGTTTTCAGTTTGGACAGATTTCTTCCTTTTTGCTTGTCAACTTTTTCAAGGGAAAAATTATCTGTCCCTGGTCATCTTAATAGCAAATAAATATTCTGTCCTGCAAGAGGTTGAAAATATATAATCTGACTCAAGAAAATTGCCCCCCCCCGATCTTCGCAAGGCAAGGGTTTTCGGTCAGCTGTTTGTGTGGAGCGAAGCGGACCGAAAACCCTTGGCTTGCGAAGATGCCCCCTTTAGAATCGAATGATTGTCCCATTAGTATATCATTTCATTTCAGGTAAGACCAAGTTCGGACCAAATGACATTTATTTTTAATTCTAATAGATACTTAATTAGAGCTGAGCTCAATTATGCAAATACGTGAAAGCAACAAATGGCGGGAAAATAGTTTATTTGGCAGCAAAATAAAGACTCTTCATCTACACAATGATAACATCATATATAACAACAGGAGGAACACAGATATATAAGCCATTTATAAATAGTCCTTACGCAAACGCAAACAATGATATGGGAAATTTCTAACGTTAACAGATGCACCGTTTCTACTTCACAGAGTCCTGCAACAATGAACACATGGTAGTTATTAAGCAGCTCATTATAACCACACAATAATACACAACTACAGATCTCAAAACTAAAATGAATATTAGGTAAAATATGTTAATCTATTTTAATAGCGGTGACTTTAAATAACTTCTTTTTCACTAGTCAGTGGTATTGGTGTCCCTATAAGAATGGACTCAATATTTAAATGACAGAACAACTACATGTCCACAGATTATAAGGTCCGAGACTCTCTTAGACTACAACCTTGTTTATCTGGAAGCTCGTTCACTGTTGGTCCTCTGTGTTTTCTTTATCTTCACTACACTGGCTAGTGGTATGGGTCCTAGCGGAGGACACCTGTCACAGAACAACCAAGAGGTGATAGTGAAAAAACATGAAAAATACACCTGATTTACCATCTTTTTCGCAAAACAAGGCTTTCCGGTGTAACGAAAAATTTTGACCCGGGGTTCAATATTGAAACGGGGGAGGCTTTTCAACGCTGAAGTTGAGACCTAAATTCGCGAAAGTTATACTCGTGGTCATTTTTCAACATCTTATTTCATGGTCAACTTTGACAAAAGCTATTTAAGATGAACTAGAAGAGTGACACGTAAAGAATCCCTTTATTAACTCTCCCACTCTTTTAGATGTCTTTTATGATATACAGCTTACTGTATTACCGGTGTCTAAGAAAGTTTTGCCCTTGTTTAGTTTAGCTGTGTGTATTTGATACCTTTATTATTATGTAATCAATTGACTGCGAAATAAATCTCTAAAACATCAGAATTCATAACAATGCGTAGCTTTGATTTACCTACACATAACAAGGACATCTAGTGAGCGATGTGCTATCTACTTCTGGAAATCCAATTTATACTACCAGTTCACTTTCTAAGGATGAAATTCTTCAAAATTACATTTCAGTCTTTAATGCTTTTAACATTCTAGTCAATAGTCGCCCGCGTGGCGTAGTGGTTAGAGCGTCTGCTCTAGAGCCGCGGAGTAAGGAGTTGATCCTTACGAATCCCACTGCGGGACGTGGAGACCGGTCCTTCGGATGAGACCGTATAAACCGAGGTCCCGTGTCGCAGTAGGTGCTGGCACGAAAAAGATCCCTTACTGCTCAATGGCCCTAAGCGCCGAGTATAGGTCAAAATTTGTAGCCCTCCACCAGCAAGTGGTGGCGTCTCCATATGAGTGAAAAATTCTCGAGAGGGACGTTAAACAACAAACAAAACAAAAACAAAAAATTCTAGTCAATAGAAGTGAATTCCATTTACCCTACCTAACTTGAATTCCTAGACTTTATAAAAGTCCTTAAAAAGATACATGCAGGTTCCAGCAAACGCTCTAACAAGCCCCTATTTTTAATCCTCACAAAAATATTAACTGCTGTGAAGGAGAAACTTCGGAGGTACTATGCTACAGCATATTCAAAAAGTGGTGTAATTCAAATATGGATTTTCAAAAACTCCTACGAACGAAATTGTTCAAATCGTGACTTTTGGGGTAAGGTTGGTCAACAGAAGATAAAAATTCTACAAGTGGAAAAATAAGGATAATAGAGCAGGGGAATGACTTGCAAACATACTTAGGTAGGGCACATTCAAAATCGTTCAAATCATGGGTCTTTGGGTAGAGTTGGACCATAAAAGGAAAACATGGGAATGAAGATTGATTTCAGAATAAGATATTTTCAAGAGGAACAGGGTCAAACTAAATCATGTTATAAAGAAAACATTTTTAAATTGTGTTGATTCAGTTTGCTTCTTTTTTTTGGGGGGGGGGGGTTAATTTTAACATGGACCCTGAAATAGAGTTGGGCCAAAATCAGGGGATCAAATTTTACATAATACATGCATGCAGGGGAAAAATCCTTAAAAATGAACTTATCAAGAACTTATCAAGAACACAATGCCATGTTTGTCGTATTAAAATTGAAGAATTCCGATGTTGTATGGATTCAAGTTCAGTTAAGTCATAACCCTCTGGGTCTAGGGTGGTACCACAATATTGGGTAAAACAATTTTCATGGGAGAAAAAATATGAAAAAAATCTTTTTTAAAATCTTCCACTGGAAATCAGCAGGGCCAAGTGAGGAAGGTGCATGAGCATTGTGGTCCAAAAGCCTCTTGCTCAGGGTACGTACGAACGTAGTGGACCGAAATGCCTTGGTTTGCGAAGATAGTTATTTGCTATACTTACTGGTTTGGGATGCTGTTTTGCAAAGATAGTTATCTGCTTTACTTAATTACTGGTTTGGGTATGTTTTGCAAAGATAGTTATTTGCGATACTTTTTAGTTTGGGCATGTTATACCGTAAATCTATTTTTTTTGCGTGTTGCAAATTTTGCGAAAAAAGGGTAGATTTGTACAGTTTTAATTTTGCTTAAGTTATTTTTTGCGATTTAAAAAAAAATAAAGAAAAGGTAACGTTTTTAGAATGGAGAGTTACGTCTCTAACTTTTGCGTGTTTTATTTTTAGCGAGTTAAAAATGATCGCAAAAAATGCGAAAAATAGAACATCGCGAACCCCCCCCCCCCCCCCCCCCCCCCGAATATACGGTACTTCAAAGGCTTTGGCTTGCTATATACATGTACTTACCGGTTCGGGCATGTTTTCAAGGATGGTTATTTGTCATATTTACTGGTTTGGGCATGTTATATTTCAAAGAATTGGGTTGGCTATACTTACTGGTTTGTGCTAGCTTTATTTACTGGTTTTGGTTTGCTGCACTTAATTACTGGTTTTGGTTTGCTATACTTACTGGTTTGGGTTTGCTGCACTTAATTACTGGTTTTGGTTTGCTGCACTTAATAACTGGTTTTGGTTTGCTATACTTACTGGTTTGTGCTAGCTTTATTTACTGGTTTGGGTTTGCTGCACTTAATTACTTGTTTTGGTTTGCTATACTTACTGGTTTTGGTTTGCTATACTTACTGGTTTTGGTTTGCTATACTTACTGGTTTGGGCTAGCTTTATTTACTGGTTTTGGTTTGCTATACTTACTGGTTTTGGTTTGCTATACTTACTGGTTTTGGTTTGCTATACTTACTGGTTTGGGCTAGCTTTACTTACTGGTTTGAGCTTGCTGCACTTAATTACTGGTTTTGGTTTGCTATACTTACTGGTTTGAGCTAGCTTTATTTACTGGTTTGAGCTTGCTGCACTTAATTACTGGTTTTGGTTTGCTATACTTACTGGTTTGGGTTTGGGTTCTAGGGTGGGATCCAGGATAATTTTTCCTATGTTTTTCCTATCCTGCATTTTCTGCATGGCCTCCCCAACCTTAAATGATAGGAAAAGGAAAAAATCATTTAATGGTCAATTTAGTATGGCATAAAATTTGATATGAATGTATTACCAATTCTGAGAATATCAGAGACGAAATAATTGTTTGGGCAATTTTCAGCAAGGAAAAATAAATCTTTGGACTTTTAGAATAAGATAATGATTTTACATGCAAATATAGAAAATACGTCCGATACATACGTCCTCAAATGCCCAAGCTGAATCAATGACAGGTCTGATCTTGCCGTCAGAGTATAGTTTGATAAGCTTGTTCATGATTTCTTTGACATACTGATGCTGGCCTTGTTTATGTAGTAGGTGCCTGAGCTGGAATCCAGCGATGGTTTTATTCTCGTCATACAGTTTGATGGGGCTTATCTTATCAACCTGCCACCACTTCAACAGCAAACAGAAAAAACAATTTACAGGGGTATAAATTATAGTCAAAAAGGACTGTTCACAGATTAAAACCCTAATTATATATTTAGGAATAGCATAGTTATGCTCTTTTTTTCCTCTGAATTTCACTGTCACTTATATAGTATTGTTCAGAGAAATTAACAAATGTAACAAAATGGGAATATTCTTCTGCATTTTAAAGATAAAGGGAGTAAGTTGTATAAATTAGTCCACAGACTTACGGATTTTGCAAAGCTGAAAAAGCTTTTAGTCTCCCCTGTCACAATGTTAGATGAACCTGGTAAGTAATATATATCAGTATTATACAAGTACGTTAATTTAAGGCTAATATATAGTTATCTGTAACAAAAAATGATTCTCCAGATTTTTATGTTATGCAGCTTTAAATTAGTTTAACTTACAATCGATCTTGTTTTGTTTTAAAATTCATAAAATATCATACAATGCAGATATATGTCATTTATTTTATTTTTTTCCCTTATGTCCTATCATTTATCCAGTTTTTTTTTTTTTAAATTTTCAAATACACTCTTTAAAATGGGGATGTTTATTAATCACTTATTGTATTTTTACCGTATAAAATGTATTTTCCCATGGGCTTCAGCAAGGAAATCCCTTTATTGGCATCTTCTCCACACAAACAGTCAAGGAATATGTCCACTCCTTCTGGTGACAGTCTAAAGAAACAAAAGTCAGGACGTGAAAATCATGATGAAATTTCCGCATTTTGTGTTCATACATTATTGAGGAGTAAGCAACATTCGAGTTTCCCAAAATCAGATCTAGGTGTGACCAAGGCCTGAAGGAGAACCTGAATCTTTTACTATCGCAGAAAATGATATACTTTAAATGTTTTATTAATATGATACAGGAGTTAAGTTTGGATAAAAAATCCACTATCAAATTAAGCCAATGATTGACAGTTGCATCTAGTGATTACAATTGATGTCCGTCAGATAAAACGAAAACTGAGGTCTGTCTACTAGTATGTTAGTCCCGCCCACTACGTTACCGATTGACCATTGTGGGTGTTAGTCAATGAAAATACATCCTTTTTTGTATTGTTGTATAGTAAATTGAAGGGAAATTTAGAGATTAAGACAGTATTATTTAATGAATTACCTAATTAGATGTATAATATGACAGATTGTTATTAAACTTTCTGTATAAAAGAAACAAACAATAATGGAGTGAAACATCATATTTTAAAACATGTGAAGACAGTTAAAATAACAAAAGGAAAATAAGTGCTATTGAAAATCGCTGTGAAAGAACAAGCAAAGATCCAAGAATTTTCTGAGAAGAAATTGAATTTTTGCTGAATAGTAAGTAAATATATTAGAGTGTGAATGTTTTAAATAGTTAAAGACATATGGTGTAACGTACGTAAGTGTGGAGAAAAAACTAAACAAAATGATATCTGACAATGAAAGAAATAAATTTACCTTCAGAATAATGCCTGATGTCTACGATATAGTACAAAAAAATTCAAACAACAAATAAAAAGGCGTTCTATACTATAAACAGGGATGGGAAATAGAGTAAACATTTCCATTTGTAATCTTTTATTCTTAAGTTTTCTAAGGCAAAACGGTCAATTACTTTCTGACTTCTTGTGGGTAGTCTACCACGTGATCAAACAAATGGTCCACATTGGCCTTCACCGATTCGTGCTTCTGGTAGGAAGCGGTCCCAAATAGTTTGACGTCCTCCATCATGTGACAAAGTTGGGTCACTGCGATTCCCTACCATATGAGAAATGTGTTAAATTCCTGATATATTTTCACTAGAGATGAAACATGTGAAACGAGAATAACAAACAATTATCTAGCTTTTAACAAGTTTAAATGATAAAACGTGAATTTTAATGAACATTTAGTAAATTTTACGTAATTCTACATATGAAAAGAGGAATTAGTAAATACTTTGAAGAATGACAATGCTCACTTTCAGCATGAATGAATAAACAATTTATTACATAATATCGTTTATGCATTTTGGGCTGTAATAATTTTATTAAATGTCCAAATATTGATGGAACCCTTAAAATCTAAATCACATTAACTGAATTTTAGGTAGGGAATACTCTAAACCAAGAAGGAGAAGTCTTGGAAAGAAACGCCTAGATAAGGCGAACCACTGACATACCACGCCCCCTCCGACAGAATGGGTAAACACAGATTGTCCTCGACGTAAATTGGCGATGTCAAACAGCAGTATGTAGGCGGTCAGATAGCTCATGGGGAGGGCAGCCCCGTCCTGATAACTCATGTTCTCCGGCATCTTATAAACGTACTGGGAGGGAACAGCCACTACCTCCGACCACGCCTTGTAATCACAGAAACCAATCACCCGGTCACCGACCTGTAATCATTGTGGAAAGATATACTCTAACAATCCAATAAATAGCAAATATTAAATCTTATCGAGTACAGAAAAGTTTAGAATAAGTTTCCTCGTAATATGATGAAATTGTAACCCCCCCCCCCCCAAAGGGGGTTATTACTTAACCGATTTAGCAGAAAATTGAATTTGCACTGCTTGAGGAGGATTGCGCATCAATATGACTAATCAAGGTTTTACTGTTCTTGAGAAGAAGATTTTTGAAGATTTTTCCCATAAATTTCCAGGTAAAACTTCGATACCTCATTATAACCCAATCCTACCCCCAGTGACCATGATTTGATTGTTAAGAAAACTTATTTTTAAAGATTTCTCGCTATATACTGGTTTTTCCATGTAGAACTTTGATCCTTAATTGTGGCCCTACCCTATCTTCAGGGGCCCTGATTTGAACAAATTTAAATTTCCGGATCCACTACCTGAAGATACTAAGATACATGTACATGTATTTCACCTGTAATACATGTATGACTAGTCATGGCCTCGCTGTTTGTGACAAGAAAACGTTCAAAGATGTACATGTATTTTATACATTACTACAATGTACATAAAAGTAAAACTTTGATCCCGTTTTGCTTTGTCTCATCCTATTCGCAGGGGGTTATAAACTAACAAACGTGAATCTACACCTAATAAAGAAGCAAATTTTATCTTCCCTGGCCAAGTGCTTCTTTAAAAGATTTTTTTCTGATGGCACCAAACTTTCTTTATTTCTCTTCCCTTGCTTGAGGATGTGGCTTTCCATTTAAACAGAGTAGACTCCCTTAACCTTAGGACACTTTGTGGCAACAGTAGAGGAGATTGACCCACTGCTTCTGGGGAAGAAGTTAAAAACCTGAAAAGTTTATAGCACAACAGACAGACAGTCGGACACCAGACACTCTTCAATCGGAAAAACCCACTTGCCTCACTGGCTCAGGTGAGCTACAAACTAAGTTTTCTATCTAAAAGCTGCATCTCTCACACAATAAAGATTTTACTGTGTTCTGAATAGAGACAAAATATATATCAATGTCATCGTAAAATTTGATTTGAGTGGTTTAACACTGGGGATTTTGTCTATGGCGATTACTCATTACTTGATCTGGGACTGAACAAATTAACCTTTTTTAAGAATACACTAATGAACTTAAAAACAGTATGATGCTTGGGAAAAACATCAATTTTCTGGTGAAAAAACAGGCAAGACTAGAGCCTTAATTCCTTCTAATGGCGGATTGTTGGCTGATTCAGTGTTTTTAAAATTTGCCAAAGAAGGTATAACGGGTACAAAGCTGAATTTTGTTCTTTAATCATTTAGCTCAGCAGCAATTGTTTACATTGTTACCAATACATAGATTTCAAGTGATTCTGTAGTATTAGAAAGTGAATGTTTTCTAAATTCAAAATCACTTGAAAGGTTTTTTTCTTCAACTTATTAAAATCAACATTGTGAATGTTAATATATATGTAATTCTTATAGTAGTATTCAAATTCAGTTTGAACACATGTATCTAATTGAAAGCACTTTCCTCTTGCGAAGATATAAGATAAAATAAAATATTGCAATATTATACTAACGTTGAATCCCGAGGAGTTCTCTCCAAGTGCCTCGACTTCGCCAGCGCATTCAAATCCCATCACTATCGGTGTTTTTGGACCGTGTTCAAGGACTCCTTGCCTCACCATTAAATCTTGGAAACTCATTCCACTACAAAGCAACGAGTTCCAAAGTTTGAGAGACAATTATATTGTTCATATGTGTAGGCGTAATACAAGGATAAGATTCCAATATCTTCGAGGTCTTGTATTATTTATTTGACGTAGAACAATAAAACTGTTGTATGAACTTGTGAAGCCTCAACATCATACACTAGTATGTATTTAACATATAAAGACAATCTAAGAAAACGGGTATAGAATATAATAAAACAGATAGGTATTCAAATGTAGTAAAATGTTATCTACACAGAACATTTTATTTTGTAATAATAAAACTAAAGTATCTCATTTATAATTTGTATTCTTTAATTTTCCCTGACATTTTTCATGCATAACTTTGAATTCTTTTTGTGGCTGGTGTGTCTTGAAAATGTGTACCCGAGTGTTTCTTAAGAAGCTGAATTTTTAAATATATTTGTCATACTATGGAACCTTTTATTCTTCCTATCTCTGGCATGGGGTCATGGTTTGAAAATGAATCTTCACTATAAAAAGAAGATTCTACATGTCTTACTATAAAGAGCCTGGTCCATTATTTGAAAAACGCAACTCCCCATCACGTGCATTTTGGAAAGTTTGGTAAAATTGGCGATGTCAAAAATGTGAACAATTAACAATTTGCGACGGACACCGAATGATGACTGTCAAACACACACACACACACACACACAATAGGCCTGTGTAACTCAAATTACCTTTGAATGTAAAAGGTGAAAATAACGAACAGTAATCAATATCACAAATACAGTAAATAATACCAGTGGAGAACAGGGTAAAATCACGGACTCCTGGAAACACCAGAGGTGGGATCAAGTGCCTAGGAGGAGTTAACATCCCCTGTCGACCGGTCACATCCGCCGTGAGCCCTCTGTTTTGATCAGGTAGACCGAGTAATCCGTACTCAAAATTATAATGTAAAAACAATGGCCTATAATAATTGGTATGAGACATGTAAGTAAAAAAAAACCCAACCCAACGGAAGGTTGTTTTGCAAAAAAGGTTATTATATCAACAATAAAATTTCCAAAATGCTGATTTTAAACGAGATTGTTGAAAGCCCTGAATTATCAACTTATTTTTCAGTAGCCCGCTTCGTTTTAAAAATTGATGGAACTGAAAACACGTTCTTGCGCATCGAATCAGTTGGGAGACATAATATTTATTATAAGGATATGAATTTCCATCAACATCAACTTCGGAGTACTTGTGTGTGAAGAATCAGAAGGATTTTTAACAAAGTAACTATGAAAATGACCAATCACAAGATATGGAAATTTCCTAATTCCACTTTTATTGAAGAAGCAGTTGTCTATGATGATGTCAAAAAGTTATTATGAGGAATGGTTGTAAAAAAAAAGTCATACGATTTAATGCCATCGAATCTTGAAGGTGAAAAAATATGGTTTTAAATTTTTTTTAAGTGTCTCATTCATTAAGTTGTCATCGTAGAGTAATATTAAGTTCGTTTCTGAGGATGTGTTGGGTCACTCCTTTATAACTAGTACAAAAGAATTTTTTTGATAAAATCTTCTCCAAAATAGAGTTTCAAATTGTGAATATATGTTTTAAATACATGTACATGTATATTGTAATGGTAATTCGAATTTCTATTGAGCATTGCAATCTTTACCAACGGAGATTTTGTGGCTTATCAAAATCTACCTGCAATTCTGTAGCTCACATAAAGTCTGAAAAAATTGGGATTGGCGACCATCGCATTTGTTTTTTTTTTTAGACCAGTAAGTTACAAACCTGCAGCTAAGCAAAAACTTGCATAGTGACACTGAGTTGATTGTTAAGATCCATTAACCTCTTGCTATTAACTTGAAACGCGTAAGAATAGATATAGTACTACACCGTTTGTATTTAAAATCAAAAAACAGAATGTACCCCTGAAAGTTGAACTTGGTTGGTTGGTTGTTTGCTTCACGTCCCTTCGAGACAATTTCACTCATGTTGGGACGCCAAATTGGAGATTGAAGTATCCAAATTTAAGCCTGTAGCCGGCACTTAAGGCAATTGAGCAGATAGGTTTCTTTTTCGTGCGAGTATCTACTGCGAAACGGGACATCAGCTTAATTAAGACGTCTCATCCGAAGGACCGACTCCACGTTTCTGAGCAAAATCATTGCGCAGTTTCTGTATGATGCGAGAATGATCGTAAGTCCAAATACCAATAACACAGCTCCTCAGAATAATGTAATGGTTTGAAATTTTCCTTAGAAATAATGGTTCAGCATCATGACCTCCAGTTCAAAGTGATTTGTTTAAACAATAAGGCAAACTTTCTCTTTAAAAAAAAAATGTCTCTTTGCCCTATCCCGATCACAAAACCTTGACATTGTGAAGATGTATCCCAACTGACTGACTATAAATGGTCCGAATTAAATTTTGTTTAAACCCACAGGAAACGATTATTCATTTTTTTATAAAAATTACGAAATTTTCTGATCCAGTCAATAACTCAGACAACTACTTCATTTTCATTAATACCTTTAATTTCAATAAATTTTGATAATGCAGCATTTGATCTTAAAATGTTTTGGATAAAATCCCTACCTATACCTACATGTACCTACCGACCCATTTTGTTCATCCTGAGTCAGTAGAGGGCAAAATGCTTTCTTTGTTTATACGGGGATAAACGGTTGCAACATTGCAGAAAAATACATTCCCGTGACATTTCTTAGTTTATATCTTTATTATGTGTTAGTTAGTTAGTTTGTTGTTTAAGGAGGCTGGGGGGTCAACAAATTAACCACAAATTAACCACCAGATTTAACTTAATTTTTTAGATATGATATCTTAAGCTGTCAACTATCATTTGGCAAAGAAAAATTTCAAAAATTTTAGTTTTAAAATTTGATCATTTTCTATATCTTCATATGCAGCTCTTCTTCTAAAGGAGATCAATATAGTCTAAAAATGGCCACAACCCTCCAGCCTCTTTAACGTCCCTCTTGAGAATTTTTCACTTACATGGAGACGCCACCACTTACCGGTGGAAGGCTACAAATTTATATATAAGCTCGGCACTTAGGGTCATTGAGCAGTGAGGGATCTTTTTCGTGTCAACACCTACTGCGACACGGGGCCTCGGTTTATACGGTCTCGTCCGAAGGACCGGTCTCCACGTCCCGCAGTGGATTCGAACCCGCGACGTAAGGATCAATTCCTTACTTCACGACTCTAGAGCAGACGCTCTAACCACTACCCCACGCAGGCGATTCTTACTGTGTGAATTGTTCATATAAATGGTGGAAATGCGTAAAATGTTGTACTATTGATGTGTAGGTGACACTGATGGAAGAGCCAATAAACAGTTGATTCTAGTAATCTTTCATGCAGTAGACTTTAAAAAGCGGATCTAACTAGTTAAGAGTGGACTGTGTTGATTGATTTAACATTAATTGGTTTTCATGAGAAGTCAAAGAAAACATTCCTTGGATTTCTATAAATAACAAGCTTAAGAGTTCAAATAATCAAACAATGAGTTATCCGTGATACCAGTTAGACAAGTGAATTACTATTATTGACATTAAATGTCTGAATCACGCTTTGTCCGATCCTTAAGAAATTTGATCTACTGGACGCAATGATAAATGTTTTAACTAATCCTTCTTACAAGTTGCTACAATTAAAAGCCAGAAGTCTCTGACAAGACAATAGCTCTATTGTTGTTTTTTTAACTTAACAATGGTAGAGAAAAGTAGCACGTGGACTATAACAATTACGGCAACAGCAATAAATAAAATACACATTGGTTTAGTCTTTTTGTGTCAAGTTAAATTGCAATTGGACAAAAACTGTATTAGAAGTAGCCTTTTAAAAGAATTTCCCATAAACTTCTTTTTTTAGTAACCTTAGCAACACCGTTCATTAAAATAAAAAACTAATACATAGACTTATGTATTTTAGTATTGTCTACTTGTGTACCCAGTTACATTGAAATCAAACTAAAACTACGAGAAGTAACGCTTTGAAAGTATTCCACAGAAATTTCTATTTTCAGTAACCATGGCAACAATTTCATCAAAATCAAAAACCTATACAGAGAGAGTTATGTATCTTACTGTATTCTACCTGTGTACCAAGTTATGTTCATACCGGGGGTATTGTACCAAAACTTTTCGAGGAGTAGCATTTTGAAAAATTGTTTACAATCATACAGACGGACGGATACCTTACTATCGCATATTAAGCTTTTCTGGTCTCTGACCAGTAGAGCTAAAATTAAATTCGTGATTTCTGGATTTATATACAGCCAGACTCATGTTTTCGGGATTTCTATATAGCCAGACCAATGTTTTCTGGATTTTTAAACTGTCGGATATGTGTCTTTTCGATTTTCTAAACTGTCAGACCCGTGTCTTTTCGATTTTCTAAACTGTCACACCCATATTTTCTAGGTTTCTACAGTTTGAATAAAGATGTCTTTTATGCAAGACATGTCCTTCTTAAAAAATAACCAAACATCACCTTTCAAAGTGCAATGGTTTAAAATGCACTTCATTTTGAACATATCAAACTGATTCTGATGTTATAGAAAGGAATGCTCTTACCCTTTTTAAAAATCATTTCTGATACCAGTATTTATTGTTAAGAAAGATAGACTTGTAACTTAAATATAACAGAATACAAGGGATTTCCCCTAAGCCAATTCAGGGAATTTATGTCCCCCGCTTAAGGACTGAATAAGTTTATGAGAGAAAGTTTGTGAATCTTACCTTTGATCCTTTTCATTAATATCAATAGGGGTTATGTTTTAATAATAAGACGTGAATCTGGAAACCAGATAGACATTCTAAAAGAAAACTTCCTCCGGTGACAAAACAATTTCACTTAGGTACAGATATTCATTAATCGCCCCCTCTCCTTAAGCTTCGCTACACAGATGTCACCATATACCAGTACTAGTGAAGGCCTATACATGTACTTGGTAGTTGTTACTCAGGACCATTGAATAGCGAGGTAACGTTATCGTGCCAACGCCTTACCGTTACACAAGATATCATTTTTAAAGTTCTTATCCGAAAGACCCTTTTCGGACACTTGGCGAAGGAACAGTCACTACCTACGTGAACGTCTTAGATTTGACGCGGCGCGGTGAACGAGAACCGAACCCGGGTCTCCCGATCACGAAGCGAACGCCCTACCACTAGTCTACTGATATCACTAGAAGACATCTATTTAGCTTTATCAATCTTATTCTATGTTGTCTTCACGACGATCGACCCCAATCATCTTCTATATTATGATAATTCATATAGATGTACATGTATTACATAAAATGGTTTAAGTTCTCTTGAGCTTTTTGCAATAAAGCTATATTATAATAAATGTTGACTCTCTCTGACGTAGAAAGATCCCTATTGAACTTTATGCCAAAAGTGAAAGATCAAGGTCACATATTCATGTATGGAATATAAATAATTTTGGATGATGTCTCTAAAAGTTCTTCAGCTTTTGCAAGAAAATTTTACAAGAAAACTTCCTAAAAAAGATCCCTAATGATTTCGAGGTCAAAAGCCAAGGTAAGATATTCATATATTTAAAAAAGTTTCCAAATGATTACTTTGGAACTCTTTCAGCTTTTGCAATGAAACTCGGCTCTCTAAATACAGTAGACCCTATTGACCTTGAGACCAAAGGGTGAAAAGCCAATGTCATAAATTCTTTCCAAGTGCACGACTTTTGCATAAAATTAAACTGATCTTTATTAACTTAAATTTTATGCTCTAGGTCGCATCTATTAATCAATCCATCCAGATATTGCCTCCCAAAATCAATAGAATTGTTGAAACTTGTCCATTATCAGAAATTGCTCCCAAAAGCTCGCGAGCGTTGCGCAATTATTGCATGAAAAAGATAATAAACCACTCGCATTTTCCGTGGAATGATAAACTCTGCTAATCACAACTGCCTGAATTTAGATTTCCTGCAGAACTGGTTTTAACCATGATGAACAGACCTCCATATCTAGTGTGAACGCTATACAACGTAACTTTAACCATCATTAAAAAAAACCCACCGAATCAAAAATTGAGAGAGAGAGAGAGGGCGAGAGAGAGAAACTTAAAACATGCAGTGACTTGGCTATGTACATATTTGAGGCGTAAATCTTCTAACCATTGACAGATCACAGGATGGACAATATAATTAATGTCATTTGTTGAATTGTTTATTCGGATAGAATGCTGTTACATTCAACCAACTGGATCGTTCCTTTACGGGACACCACTGGCATTTTAATTCCAATCAAATGATTCAGAATTTCAGATTTATCTTCTTCTTTTTTTTTTTTTTTTTTTTTTTTGCAAAAAAAAAAAAAAAAAAAAAAAAAAAAAACTCCCACTAAGTACATATAGATTTCATAGATACACGCTCAAATTCAGATGGCCTGTGTCACAAATTAATAAAAAGCAGTAAAATTATCGGACAATATGTTACAATATATATCTTCAAAGACATATCGATTCTTTAGAACATCACTTACCAGGCTTTGACACGGATCAAAACCTCCCCCTCCATGGCACTGGTCTGGGGCTTCTTCTGACAGCGAACCATCTTAGGCCCCCCAAAGCCTGTCAGCACGATGCATTTGACCTCTTTGGGGGCCGGGGCCGCTGCCTCTGGGGTCTCTTTCTTTTCCTCTGTTGACATGCTCCTGTAGATGCGTGAGAAATATGAGAATGTCGACAGAAGATGGAATCCTTTTTCCGTGTGGTTGGATCGATCGAGCACTGAGGTGACTGGGTTTCTCTCGCGGCTGTGGTCACCAATGTGGAGGATTCAAAACATCGATTTTTTACCGGGATTAATCAGATAACTAGAGAACATACAGGACACACATCTAGTCCTTGTATTCCTTCACATGTTTTGTTACATTTTTAGCACAGATTTCCATTCACAATTCAATTCCCAAAGTGGGCGGATCTTGTAAATTGATCGGGAAGAATTCCAATATTTTATTTTTTTTCTTGATTTGTTATTTTAATACACAGAACTTGATGACAAACGACGACAACAAAAAGTTGTTTATGTAAAAGGCCTTGAAAAAAAAAAAAAATTAGCATATGACTATCAGCGAAACTAACGCTAAATCTATTTATATTTCAGTTACATGTATCAATGTCATGAAACAGCTGTGTATCCGTGTTATAAACATGATTATAAAAAGTTAATAAATTTATGAAATACCATACCGATATACTGCATAGAGTACAAATGTGCAATATACCGTAGATTTTATCACCGTTCTAAAATATACATCGAATTAACAAATTATTTACAAGTAATAGGTACAAGCAAATCAACAATATGCCGCTGATGGGAATGTTTATTACTAATCTACAAAGTTCCTGCATGATGTGAACGTTTGTAAGTTATCAGTGAAAAAAAGTTTCCTAATAAAGTCTTGTTTCACTGATGTCTTACAAACGATCATACCATGCAGGAACTGATTCCGAACACATGACATTCCACTCCTGTTAAACTCGTGGACATAAACTTCGATGAATTCACAGGTGTCATAACACACCTTGTTTTTTTTTTTTAATTAAATTTTGCCCTTTTTTTTTTAAAATTACACAATAAAAACTTTCTCCATCCCTCCCTGAAAACTTGCGACTCCCCCCCCCCCCCCTTGAAATTTGATTTTGATAGTTTATTTTAAAATCATGGTCCTGGGCTACGATGGGGCCATAAAAGGGATAAAAATTTTACAGAAGATTGTATTGGTAGAACAGGCTACAATTAGTGAAGTTGATATGCAAGCATTCCCCGTATAAACATTTTTTTTTCATTTCACAGATCTTGAGATAAAATGTAAGCATGTAGTGAAGGATAAATGTTTGATCCACGGGGATATGATCACGAATGGGGCCACATAGGGACAAAAATTCACAAGGCCACAAGAATGTCTGTACAAGTGGTCCCTGCAATGTACAAATCCACAATAGGAGGAAAACAGGGTATCAAAGTTTAATGTACACTCGTATATTTTTACTTTATTTAATTGTTAAGTTTTTTTTTTCATATAATGGAGATTGAACTCTGTTCCAGTAATAGTCTCTGTTGTAATGGTTGGACCTATAGAGCGAGTACACAGATTTACACAGGAATATATGATATTAAGGAAAGCAAAAGGGTACAATTTCTGATATTAAGCATTTTCATGCTCTTAAAGCCAGTGTTGGATTACATTTACCTTAAAGTAGGACTTGGAAATATCTTAAAGATCCCCCTCTTATTCTACAGAAAAAAAACAACACATTAGTGGAATATTAATGTTATAATAACGGAACAAGGATCGTTCAACAGTTGAATGTTTGTATCTTTTTATTAAATGAAAAATTCTGACTATATCTTTTGGACAAGTCTTTGATAAAACGTAAGTTTTTTAAGAGGATGAAATAATGACCAAAAAAAACTACATGTACAAACATAAAATAATTTCATGAACTTGCACGTTTCCGACATTCGGTGCATTATGTACACAACATCATGTAACCTTTAAAGTTTACCATTGTTTAAACAGGCACATTCACTGACTTTCATAAGATGCATAACAATCAAGATGTTTAAATAAATAGAAGTAATTATCAGTAACAATAAAACCTTAAATACCTAAGTGAAAAACTTTAACAATAGACATAATTTACAGCAATACACAATAATAAATTCATACAAAAAGTTTAAAAAGTAAAAAGTGTTCAATACATGACATACATGTACACCTCCAAACATGAGAATTTAAAACATTCAAACAGATAATCATGGCTTTCTTGGTAAATTTAAACATAGATGTTTCTCAAAATGCTGGAGCTTATTGCCGCAAATTTCGATAAATTCTACAGGGTGCTTGAAAACATTTCAGTACACTTGAGTCCAGTTTATTAAACATTTTTTCTTACAATGTAGGTTCCACACCAAAACAATGTAAAACAATTTCATTTGAATTTTTCAATGTGTATGATAAGAAGTCGTCCCTTGACTGTTCAGTTGTATTTCTTGCACACTGCTTAGCTAATATATTACACACTATTTTTAAAAACAAAAATAAGTACATCATTATTTATATTTCCTGATTAAATGTCATGGAAAATTGCAGTTCTTACTCTTAGCATCTCCCCGGATTTCAATGTTCAACAAGGACAGAATAAATTGTGTATAAAAACATTACACAGAAAAAATACTTAAAATACCATCCACTCCTGATTTGGTGAGTTGGAGTAAAAAACGGGACTAAAAACCTGCTGAACATCAGTTAAGCTAACTCATACACATGCAGTTAATTAATGACCACAAATTTTACTCAAGTTTTTCACTTTTTATCTTAAATCTGATTTTACTGTGACCTTTTCTCAAAGGCTAAAATACATGTCCAATACACTGTGTTTGGGTAACCCTACATGTAGTCCCCTAAAACACACACAATTGCATATAAAAAATAGAGGCTTCATTCCAGAGTAAAGGGGGCCATAACATCCATAAAATCTTACTAACCTTGATCAGACAGTTTTTGCAGAAACAGTTGTATATTATAAAAGGTAAACATTTCATTCAGTGTTATCTATCATTCAGACTCATCCTTCATTTTGTTTTCACACCGCGTGTACAAACAAATACTTCATTTATGACTAGCACCAAAAGGTATTTTGAAGTTCTGACAAATTGATTCATTCATATACAAGATGGTGGTGATAAATATTCAGCAATTAATTGCGTTCCTTTATATAAATACTTCTTTACAGAAGAGATGATTTTTACAACAAATAGACTGGTAATGATCTAACACCAATGACATAAAAAAGAATAAATTATAACTAACAAATGGCAAAAAATTGTAAATCTAAAAATCTATTGTTAATCTTTTTTCTTTTTTTGAGTAGGTTTACCATCTTTTACATCATCCTCAAAGCTCATTCCAAACTCATTCACTCGAGATTTATCCACAGGGTATAGCCTAAAAAAAAGAAAACTTAATTTACAAAGACTTCATGGATAACAATTTTTACATGTAATATAAAAGCATGCCAATAACAAGAGGCCCATGGGCCACATCCCTCACCTGAGCACTTTGGGTTTAGAAGTCATGATTTGAACCAATTGAACTTGAATCTACATGTACTCAATCTAAGGATGCATTTGTATCAATATGTGCTTTTTAGTGCTTTCTGGCAAGGTTGGTTGAAAATGGTCCTGTGGTTCTTGAAAAAAAGTTCGAAAATGTGAAAAGTTTACAGAGACACACGGCACTGGACACCCTTCAATCAGAAAAGCTCACTTGAGCCTTTGGCTCAGTTGAGCTAAAAACAAGGGTGCCACAAAGCAGAGCATCCTCTTGCAAAAGAGCACATCAATCCGGATATAAATTTACTTGTTATGCACACACTCACCCCCATACACAAGCATGTTAATGTGATTTTATGGTTCTACATCATAACAAGAGGCCCATAGGCCACAACACTAACCTAAGTCAAATTGGCCTGCTGTTTGTCACAAAAAGTCTCACTCTCTATTCACATAAAAAATTCTGTTCCAGTATTGTGGCTCAACACTAGCCTGAAGAAGTCATGAACCGAATTTGAATTCAAACATCCTAAGGATGCTTGAATATCAATATGACTAACACGGCATGGCCTTGTTGTGCTGTATAAGAATATTTTTCCTGTATAGATGCATCAGGAAATTTTTAATCCCAAATTTTAGTCCTACCCTAACCCTAGAGTTAATAATTTGAAAAAATAAACTTGAATCCACACAACATGAGAAACTGTTTGCATATGAATAATGTAGCCCTGCTATTCTTCAAAATTTCCTATAGATTCTCATGAAAAACATTGATTCCCTATTGTGCCCCCTACCAATATGCCCATGATTTGATCAAATTTAAATCTGCATGCACAACATAAGAATGCTTGCATTTTAATATCACTAGATACGGCCTTGCCATTTCTAAAGGATTTTTTTTATTATACAGGTGTATATTCCAATGAAAAATGTTGATCCCCAATTGTGGCCCCAACCTACCCAAGGGAGCCATGATTTGAGCAAACTTGAGTCTGCACAACCTTAGAAAACTTACATGGTAAAACATGTATCACTAATCATGACTTGCTGATCTTGAGAGGATGATTTTTAAAACAAGATGAAACATTTTTAAAAATGTTTTTCTTATATTTTCCCATGTAAAATTTGATCCCCTATTATAGCCCATCCTACCCTTGGGGGATATGATTTGAACAAATTTGAATCTGCCATATCTGAGTATTTTTGCATTAAAATCACAAATCATGGCCTGCTGTATTTCAGAAGCAGTTATCCTATATACTAGTATTCCCATGTAAAAGTTTTATCTACTATTGCAGTCCCACCCCATGCCCTGGGGCCGATTTGATTAAACATAACCTGCAATACCTGAGAATGCTTGCATATAAATACTTACGTGTACATAAATTGGCGCATTCAAAATTTAGCGCAATCACTGGGTATGGAGTTGTTGGCGAAATCATAAATTAGCGCTATGCATTTCCGTGCTGTATGTTGTATTTATAAATGATTTCTTAGCGGTATTTATGAAATAGCGCATCGTTGTCTGCACCAAAGGTGCTAAAATATGAAGCCTGCTTTTTTAAGTACACATACAGTATTACAAATCATGGTTTTGATGTTCTTATGAAGAAGATTTTTAAACATTTTTGATTTGTTATCTTTCATATAAAACTTTGATCCCTTACTGTGCACCCACCCTACACTCAAGCACCATGACTTGAACAAAATATTGGTATACTTTTACACAAGTTTCATCTTTTCTGGCCAAGTGGTTCATGAGAAGAAGATTTATAAACAACCCAACCAAAATTTTACTATCTCTTAATTATCTTCCCTTGAAAGGGGGCTTTGGTCCTTCATTTGAGCAAAGTTGAATCCCACCCAGGGATGTTTTGTGGCAAGTTTGGTTGAATTTAGCCCAAAGATTCTAGAGAAGAAGTTAAGAACTTGAAAAGTTTAAAGATGTCAGACAGATGGACAGACAGACAGATGTCAGGAACACTTCAATCAGGGAAGTTCACTTGAGCCTTTGGCTCAGGTGAGCTAAAAGCGATTGTCAAATAAAATTTATAAACACAAGAATAGAACAATGTGTCATGAATACACTAAACCTGTTCTAAATGTTATCCCTGTGTACATACCATCTTTGATAAAGATAGAAAAAGAACACAACATCATCCCTAAAGCAGGCTAGTCTGTGAGCCGTTGGCATGGTGATAATAAATGCAAAGATGTCATCAATGAAGGTATTGAATGCCTAAAAAAATTAATACTAGTTAATACTTAAATTAAGAAATTAAGTTGTATCAAAATGCATTGATTTAAATATATTTTTTAAAAATTTTCAAATTCTAATAATTTCATAATACCTTGTATGTAAAGGCTCTCCATGGCAAATGAGCAACTGACTTGAGCTAAAATAACACAGATGTTAATATGAAAACCTGCATTTAAGACAACTCATTACTATAGAAACAAAATCCATACTGTCCATACTAATCATACACTGTAGTTCTTGTCCTGTGTAACTCTTATTACAATATCCATGATTAAGGTTGTAAACAGACAGACATTATACAAATAGTGCACGTTTTTGAGGGTAACAGTTGAAATTGAAACTCCTCCGAAATTCATTGTCAACCGACGCTTCAGCGGAGGTTGACAATGGTTTTCCGAGGGGTGTCAATTTCAACTGTTACCCTCAAAAACGTGCACTATTTATTTTATTATACTGAATGTCTTATTGATTTTGGATGTCATAAAAAAAATTCGGAGATCGTCGTTAAGTTCATGCTTAGAAAGCTTTCAAACTCCCCGATTCTATTTTTCTCAATAAGAAAGCTTCGGAAAAGATTTACCAACCTCTCTGTTGTTTGTTTGCTACTCAAAAAGTCCCTTATCATCTAAAGTTTGCACTCACAAGGATGTTTCGTCTGTCGTTTGATGTTTTCAAGTAAGCTACATTGGACGCAAGCTTTTATTGACGTTGTTTATTCGGCTTCTTTCAAACGCACAACCGACGTTTTGAGAATTCTAGGGTGAACCGTACGCGCATGATTTGAACGCATGTGATATTTTCGTAATGTTACCCGTTGTCAAGTGTGTTGTTAATGCTGAGGGTAACATTACGGATTGTTAAATGCCTCTAAACCAATCAGATTTTAGTATTTAACATGAAAGTATAATAAACAGTAAATAGGTGAACTGTGCAACAATATTAAAACAAAGGTTACTTTCTGTAGCAGTATTCACTGTTATAACAATACAGTTACTTTTAAGTTATCTTACCTTATAGTTTACAAACAGCTGGGGTAACATGAAGAGAAAACCAAATGCATATACACCTGTAATGATATTTAACATTGAAAGTTATCATGTACATACATGTCATGCTTGTAACTTATACAAAGACTTGATGGAATATTTAAGAACTTTTCAAAACAATGCTTCCTATTAATAAGAAACCCAAGTGCCTAGATTTCAGATGAAGGGCACCACCATTTAAACTCTAGCTTTTTAAATTGTAGTTCCTCTCATGTGTATAAAAGCAGGATAAATGTGTCAAAACAGTCTAACTGAACTTGAAAAATACTGGTTATGAACACTTGTTACTTACCATTGACTAGACTTTCTATACACCAAGAATACCAGCTGAAAATACAGGATTTATGTGTACATGTAGGTAATAATTCTGTAAAGATTTACCTGTATATAAGATACAAAATTAAAATGTCCACACCAGTAGGTAGAGCATCCCCTTGTGGCAGATAACCTCACTAACTCAAGACATATTCACGTTCAATGACTACATGTTCAAGTTTTATGTATGCTTGTTATATTAAATAATGTACCAAAAGAGCACTTCAATCAGAGCAATGTAAATGAACTTTAAGTCTTTCCAATTCACTCATTCATTAATTATATTCATTTGTATTGTTAAGCTCACAAATAAAATTTATGCTGTAATTACTTAATCTCCTGAGAAATAATTAACAAAAAACCTTAAAATGAAAAAAAGGTTTGATCTATTTAATACACATTAAGAAAAATTATGCAGTTTGATAAATAGAGAATATTACATAATAAAATCCATATCATATGTCACATCAGTGCGAGTGGCCCCATATCAGCCCAAGGGCCTTTGGCCCTCAGGGTGATATGGGGCCCAAGGGCTGATATATGTATGACATATGGTATGGATATTAGTATGTAGTATTTTTAAAATTTTAAATAATGTGAGTCTACCTAAGTCCTTTAAGAATATTTCGTGCCTTTTGACCTTTTTCTTTAAAATCTAATAGCTTCAATTTTTTGGTCCAAGTGAACAAATTTGAGAACAGTTATATAACATGTATATTTCAATAAAATAGAGTGAGTTAATTTTAAAAAGTTATTAAAAGGTTACTTCCGGTTTGATATAAAGATTTTTGCACACTGGTCTGATACAATATGGGTTTTTGGACTGGTCATCGATATTAGATGCAGTGACTTCATCTGTATTGCACAGTGCGATATTGGGGTATTTACTACTAAGTATATGATAATCCCAAGTACTAGGGTTCTCTTTCAATCTTGCCCACATACTAACACACCTACACACACATACACATATAATAATTAAAATATTACATTCACCACAATGTGATAATGGGGCTCATACTTGAAAAAAATAAGCTCATTCAGTCCTGTGTAAATGGCACATTGGGTATTCTGAATGAAAAGCTATCTGAAGTCAACAGATTCTTGCTTTTAACTGATATCAAGGAAAACTGGCAATGATAATGCATTTGAAACAGGGTAGAAGGGAGGGGCTGCATACCTTTTATGTGGTGTATACAGAAGATTGTAGACAGCTAATCCAATACATAGGGGTAACAAGGCATAGGACAAATACTTCATAGCCTGCAACATTTAAATTACCATGTGAAAAAAAATCATGCCAAATTCCTAACAACACTTGTCACATGCTGCAGCTTGTATATAAATAACATTATATGGTATAATGGAGAGAGGGAATTACTTGAGAATCAAACTCTTCTGTTTCTTTCTCTTTTTCTGAAGTTTGTCCAAACTGAAACAAAAAAATCTTTTTCATAATATTGGATGACAATGCTTAAACAACAAATATGCACTTTAAAATACTGCATACTTATTTTCTCTGCAATTTAATTCTACCTTTAAAAAGTAAAATATCAAATAGTTATGAAAAGTGGTATTAGGTTGTTATAACACTAAGAAACATTATTTCCATTATTTTTCATTTAATTGTCAGTGTTAATAAAAAAGTTTTTTCATACTTTAATAATGAAGAATTTTTTGTCCTTTAGTTGCATTAAAAGTATACTATTACCGTAAATTTTGGTTTCACTCCATCCCATGTAATAAACATCTTGTATGCTTTTTTCACTTTCCAAACCTTCAAAATGTATAACATGTTTAGAGTCAATACCAGGCAAAGCCAAACAGCAAAAATATTCAAAATTCCTTAAATCTATTATATATTTGTGATTACATGATTCTTTGAGTATACATTGTATATTAATTTTACAACTAAGGTTACATTTTCCCACTTTAATTTTAATAAAGTGTGTTAGGTTAAACTTGTTAAATCAAATCTGACTTGTTTGGTTTAGAACCTGCAGTCAGTAATTTAAATACATACATGTAACTTACCTCTATAAGGGCACCTATCCCTGCTGGTATTAGAACTAATAAACTTGTCTCCTGGTCCCAAAGATACAGGAAAACAATAATGGTGGATACACATCTCCACAGGACTGAAAATATAGGTCAAGGTCACAGGGTTAGCCAATCACCACAGGATATAATGTCACAGTCTACTACTACAACATTTACATGTACATGTATTTTAATGTTTAATATAAATGTGTTTTTAATCTGATTGATTTTTTATATACACTGTATGTATGGTCAGACTGACTGTTTATAATATTGCAATTTTAGGAATTAAGTTTGTTATCCAAAGCTTCAAAAAAAAAAAAAAAAAAAAAACCACCAGTCACCCATTAACGTAAAAAAAAAATAATTTTATGCAAAACACCACTATAATACTAGGAAAAATCATTAACACTGTAAAATACTGTTAGTTTTCTTTCAACAAACTGTTACATGTACTTTGATATTTGATTAAACTGAGAACAAAATTTATCTTTACATGTGTATCATTACTTATCTGATCTGTAATAATCATCAGACTGAATTCAGATTTTAAAAAACAGTCAATTAAACAGGTCTTTATTTATACCCCTGACTTTAAATTTCTTTGTTGTACTTTAAAACATTCAACATGACTGGAAAAGTACACTCACATGCAGTTGAATTTTGAAAGTATTTTTAAAAGTATTACTTTTCAGTCTACATGTCAATTCTAATTATCAATAGATATTGAAAGTTCCAGGTACTGATGCACTGTGATTATAAATATATATTTAATGATGAAGTATGGAGTTTTACCTGCTCTGGACGATAGACCAACCATATTCTTCCGGTTTTTCCAATAGCTGATGTCATTTTTGAATGCAAGGAAATCAAACAGCAGCTACCAAAACATAAAATTATAACATAATTATAATAAAAAGTCCAAACTTTATAATAATATCATTCAAACTATATACTTAGGATTACTTATTGACAAAAAACACAGAAAACCCAATAAAATGATGCAAATTGCTCCATTGTGCTTTGGTTGCATATGACTTATAAGTTCATGCATGTTTAGTGAACTATAAGGAATAACACTCTCTTTGGTTTATTGGCACAGAAACATGAAACTTACATGGAATGCAGCCACAGCAAATGTCAACATAAGGAAGTAAAAGTTTGTATCGGCAAATATTCCCTTCAGTTCATCCGTGTCCTTATCAGTAAAACCTACAATTGATATAAATTAATTTAAAAAAAAACAAAACAGAAAAGCTTTACAACGCCCAGCTGTCCACCATTACTTGGAGTCTACAGGGCACTCAGTGATGGGGGAACCAAAATATATTCATTGTATCCAATACAAAAAACATGTTATCTATGTGAGAGATTTTGTTAATTCATCATTCGGGTTAGATTAACCTATTCCATGAAGTAATCCACAACCTTTGATATGTCATGCTTAACTAAAGGAAAAATATTTAACTCTTTCTTTTATGGCTGTTACTTTACCTGTAATTTCATTCTCAACACCTGTGTTGGTGACAAAAATTAACAGATTTAATGAATATTCAACAGCTAGAAAATTCTAAGGATCTTATTGAGAGATGTATAGTTTGTACGAAGTGGACTAATCATTATAACAAAGCTAAGTGACAAATCTACTACATACCAAACTTGTGCAGGGTTTCAATGGAATGTAACATGTTGTTCCAGAAGCGGAGTTTCCCTACTGAGATAGGACTGTAGGTTATAGTTAAAGGCATCTCCTTACTGGTCTTATTGATTGGCTACAAATACCAAAATATAGAGCTGTTTACAATTCACAAGAAATACACATACCGGTACATTATTTTAAAAATAATATATCAACAAATCTTTGATTTTTTCTTGATGTTTATGCTATGTGATAAGTATCTTTGCAGAGGAAATTTCCATTGTTTACCAGCAGGTCTCTCACTCTGAAGCTCAGCTCATCTATAAATAGAACGGGCAGGTAGTCACCATCTGGGGAGGCCCTGAAAGGGAAAGTTAAACTGTTATACAAAAGTACCCCCCTTTTTAAAAAAAAAAAACAAAACAAAAAACCTTTGAATAAGGAAAAACAAGAATAAAGTTCAATCTTTTGTTTAAAATTTAACGAGGTTCGCTCCTGAGCTTTTGAGCAGATTTATATCTTAACCTATATTTCAAAAATTCTGCATAAAGTTTCAATTCTTACAATAATTTTGGATTCTACAATGCCAGTTAAACTATATTCAGTTAAAACTCCATGATTAGATTCCATACCAAAAGCATTAAGCGAGGAACTATATTTTATGGCGGAAGGTTTTTTAGAAGAAAATGATCATTTTTTCTCTCTCGAAGTATTTAAAGTATGTTAAGTTTGGATTCCTATTTTTACATGCAGTCTGCACACAGAGTTATTTTGTGCAGTGAACTGTTTTATTCTGGTCCTAAGTTATATATTAAATAAACTATCATGAATTCTATCATCATATTTGATAAATATAACGAATATACTGTAAAAATCAAGAAAAAAATATCCCTATTTTAAGCTTAAAATTAGCACTATTTTAGTAATATCTAAAAATTAACATCACAGACCCCCACTTTTTGTTTTCTTTTCTGAATATATAAGATACTTTTAACCATTCTTCTTAAATTCAGTAAAATGTCATTACTTTCAAATGATATTTTTGCTTGTTAAATTTTTAATGCCAGAAAAATGAATTTTTTTGAGTGCAAAAAGGTCAATAATTGAACATGCGGAGTAATTCGAAAAAAAATTTTTGTTGTCACAAATTTTAATGTGTCTATTCAAGATGAAATAAGACTGTGTTTGTTCCCATAATTTATTTGAATAAAAAATATTGGAGGAAAAACTTTAACAATTGATTTATGTGTAAGACGTATTTACAGTGCAAAAAGGTCAAACTGAATGCTCTGTAGCGCCAAAAGAAGCGCATTGACCCCCATTTTTTGTTTCGATTTTTAATTAAGCTATTTGTATAAATTCTAAAAATATACTTGATAAAAAATTCTCATTACTTTGGATGGCAGAATCCAACCTCCTTAAGCATTATATAAATTCTTTTATAGGGCAAAATGCATAGTATTTTACCAACAAACAGAGCAGATGTAAGAAAAGTAACTTTTCATGTGTACATGTACAATGTATCATAATGTTTCTTTTCCCATATTTTAATATACATCTAACATTTCTTATTCATTATTTTACAATTGAAAAATGTTCCTTTATTTATGTATCCCACTTATAGGTGGAAATATTCTATATATGCACTAGTATGAACACCAATGACTAAAAAATGCCAATTCATGCTTCACAAAAATAGAGAAAGCTAAGGAACTACTTTATAGTGTGCTCTTACTTGAAGTATCTATAGATATCTTGTGGTATAGCTGTTCTGTCTAGTGACAGGTGTTCATTCATTATATTTATAGTCACTTTTTGTCTCCAGTGGGAGAAGGGGATGCCAGGTTTGCTGCTCTCATTCTGGAAAAAAAAAGTAATTATCCAGATCTTAACTTCGATCAGCCTCAAGATAAAGCTTATTTTTCCTTACCATTTTCTTAAAAAGTTATTCATATATATTCTTGACATTCTGAAAAACCTTGTAGAAAGAAAAATTGAATGGAAAAAGTAACCTCCAAACTTTGTAGGTAGAGGTAATATTTGTAAGCTTGAGACAGAAGTGACAGACCTTCTGTGTGTCACCCATGAGACTGAATACTTCAGATTTAGGTAAGCTGTAGGTGGTGATGGGGGTATACTTGTGGACCGTATACTGACTGACAAATGGATCCTGACCAGGAGGCACCAAAAACACATGCACGTACATGGTACCATTGTTCCTGACCTTCAGTGGCAGAGTAACATTCACAGTGCTACAGAAAAAAAAAATATAAACCATACTTATATAAATCATCATCATGTTTAAAAGAAAAATTCAAGGAAAAAATCTAGATGAAAATGAAAATCAACCATTTTTTAAACCCTGTTTCATAGTATGAAACAGGGTTTAAAAAATGGTTGATTTTCATTTTCATCTAGATTTTTTCCTTGCATTTTTCTTTTAAACATGATGATGAATTCATACACTGTATGCTTAATCTATATAAATGCTTTACTGTAACAATTGTTTTATTTCTGTATATCATTGTAAGCCAGTCAAGTACTGCATCATATATTTATTAAAAGTAGATTAGCCATTACTTTTGCATACATGTACCTTTCTAAAACATCAGATACATCCAAGGAAGAATTTTTCCACACTAGCCTGAGGTCTTTTTCTTTAACATAAGAATACTTTGTTGATGTATACACAAGAATCTGGAAAACATACATTAAAGGTTTTCAGAAAGAAATAAATTTCCAACTACTTCATATTCCACACTTTGTTTTTTAATGTCTCATATGCAGGTAATTCAAATAAACTAACGACACATACTATATATACATACTGTTGCAAAATGACACTTTTATCTTCATATTGTTACACACTTTTTAGTGGCATAATATTGCTGTAATTAAGCAGTGAGGGCAACCAAGCGAAATATCAAAGAATTTCATGTTTTGTGTCTGGATACGTTTTTTTATCCATTTTTTTGGTGCATTTTCAATCCCCTCAACAAAGGCTTAGTGAAAGAAAAAAAAACATAATTTATCTGATAAAAATCAATAATTAAAATGCATAGAAGATCCAACTTATTCAATTTAGTTTGCATAAATTTCATGCACTTGGTCATGAATCAAATTAATACGCGGAGTCTGTTCATTTAAAAAATCTACACTAGAAAAAGGTATAAAACTATAAAGGTGTAAAACCAGAAGCAACAACCATGCATGATTGGTCAAGGTAATTAAAAGCTTAAATTGTCTTGGAAATAGATCTGCTTAAAAATTATCTGCATGATCGCTCATCCAGGAAATGTTTCTTAAGTGCAAAATCTTACAAGATGTGGCTTCTCGATATGCAAAAAGAAATTTTTTTCTAGCTATCCTTTAAAATGTAAGAGGACTTCTGATAAGAAGGCATAACAGATGGACAGACAGGGATAACAACTATATACAAATACATAATATTTCTCTATAAACTCCTTTAATAACCATGTGTGGCAGTCAGACGGGCTCGATCGCCAGTGGCCAGATAGCTCAGTTGGTAGATCACCTGACTGGAGATTCAGGGGGCCTGGGTTCAAATCCCAGTCTGGTCCATCACATTTGTTCCTCTCCTGTTACATATGTAATGCATGCTTATCTCCATATCTTACCTCTAGCTTAGGAGTTGGTTTTCGTGACAGGTAAGGGTAGATACATCTCCCTCCCATTTTACACTGTTCCGGGAAGAAGATTCCATAAATAACATACATGGAGTGTGCAATGTATGCAATAAATATTGCTGACAGTATTAATGTTAAAGATGGCTTCATCTTGCTTTAGTATGTCCTCTTCTCATAAGGCCAGGGACCTATCTGCTCAGGATAAAGCTGACAAAGCTATCTGTAAAGACATAACAAACAATTAATTAATCATAAACAATAAATGAAAAGTATAAATACTCAGAAATCAAACAGCATAGAGGAAGTGTATATGTCATGACAAGAATATATCATTATCTGATACAATATTTATAATCAATCACAATGTTGGCTGTTAATATGAAAAGAATGTTTTAATTAATTCACATCTTTACAAACCGCGTTTGCATCAACATCTTCAGTGATCTTTACATCTATGTCCCACGACATAGAGTCTTTTTTATTATGAAACAGATAACCCTGTAAGATAAATTATTTAATTGCAAGCATTATTTGTTAGTACAATAAATTCTACATCTTCATTGATAAGGGCTTATGTAGTACTAGGGCCTATCACCAATCACTCTGCGAACCTACTCCTTCCTCGTGGAAATTCGGGCCATCGTTGCGACACACGTTGGTCATTAAATTACCAACATATCACTGCTATGGATTCTTTCTGAGCTAGCTTCTTTTCATGTGTGATATATCAACATGTTTACTCATGGGGAATATAATTAAAACGAAAATAAGTAAACCCTCACTTACATCGCTGCAAGAAGATACGAAACTATGAGGTCCAAAATTATAATACTTACCAAATTGAAAACGATCGGATCCGGATAGATATATTTATCTCACAAAACTCGAATCATCATGCTGAACATTATTGTCTTGGGATAATGTATAGTATAAAATTACTTTATATTTGCTTTTAAATTTTATTTCCTTTTTTTTTTGGAATGGTGGGGTTGGGGTGGGGTGTAAAACCCGGTACATTTTCACAGTTCACATACGTTCTTTCAAGAAAGAGGGCGTACACGGCGAGTTCGATCTCCCGCTCTGAGACAATGTTTCTCAATTTTCAAAGTTCACGGAAAAGTATCATTTTTCTAAAATTATATTTTCAGTAACATGAGTAATGTCATCTTCAACACATTTAAATAATTTATTTTACTGAACGACTTATTGTTTTAAAAGCATATTTAGTGGAAAATGGGTTTATTAGAGTCATAAAAAAAAAGATTTTTGAATATGAATTAATGGGTCAAATTTCCATCATAGGCGTCGGAACCGGGCTTAACCCCCCCCCCTTTTTTGCAACGATAGACATAGGCATTGAAAATTGGGGCTTTTTTTTTTTGTTGGTTTAGCCCTCCCCCCCCACTTTCAATTTGCTTCCGACGCCTACATTGTATGTCCATTTTTCATTAACGTTTAAATGATGGAAAATAAAAGTAAAATCTATTTCATGTTTCAAAAAATGGAGTCTGAACCCATTCTATACTAAAAATCGAACTTTTCTGAATAAATGATATGCTTCAACAAACTCGGTTATTTAACTGTTGATAACAGTGGCGGAATCAGGGGGGGTTTGGGGGGGGGGTTCGGGAAAATAGTTGGAAGTTACAATGCAATTTTAAAAAAGCAAAAGATCTGCATTTTTCTTTAGAAAAGTCTCATTTTTCAAGTTAACATGGAAGTTAAAAATAATCCCCAAATATTTTTTTGTTCAATTTCTTGAAAATTTGGGTAAGTTGGTCTTGAAAAACATCTAGAAAAAAGTGGCCAAAACTAACTAATTCAATCTAAAATGCTGGAAAATGCACCATTTGGAGCCATTTTTAAAGAAAATTTCTCGGGGGAGGCCCCCTGAACCCCCCCACCTATGGGAGGGGGACACCCCCTCCCATGCCGCCTGAACAATATGTTCCCAAACTTCGCTTTGGGAACATAATTACTATCTATTTTGCTGCGTTTCTTTGTTAATTAATTCACTTTTCTCTATCAGTGCTAGTTCATGTTTGTGCTGTACCGTGCTTTATGAAGTCACACTGGTCAACACACGTCAAAGACATGTATAGACTTCGTAGCGTAGTGGTTAACACTCCCAGTCTTACGACTAACCGTGAGCTTTAGAGAGAGCTCGAATTACCTTCGAAGCTTTTTTTTTCTTTTCACACATATTAAAAACATAAGTGAAAAAAATAAATTACTTATCAATGATTTATTCAGAAAAATAAAGGAAGAAATATTGTAAAAGATGATATTGACAATACAATATTTGAAAAATATATTTTTTTCATGAACCTTTAGAATAGAGAAATTTCTTTTCTCAGTGCGGGGGATTGTCCTCACCTTGAACGCCTCCATTCTTGGTGAAAGTCGGTTAAAGCTCATGTTCATCTACTTGCCGACTATAAATAAAATTTACTTGACTTAATTGATTGGGTCCATGGCTATACCTTGGTTGGGGCCTAGGGGACAAAGCCCCCGGAAGCTCTAAGGTTTTAGGAGTTTAAAAGAACAGTTTTATGACAATTATTTTAGCTATACGTATAATTAATTCAATACTTAAGTTATCACAAAAAGTATGATTTATTAAATCTTAATTGTGTATATTTATTGTCATAAAAAGGGGGAGGGGGCTTCTCCCTTTAAATCCGCCAGTGGTAACAATGGTAAATTTGAGTTACGTAAAGGTTATACAGTCTAATATATGAGTTTTTAAATTATTTTCAGCTACATGCGATTTAACGTAGGTCGCGGGTTTGCTGACGTCGTTAAAACTGGGTACGCAATTTATATGATTTGGGCGACTTTCTTGTGCACAATTGATTATGACGTCACGATGAAAATGAAATCTGCGATGATTTTCGTTTTACTAAATTCTTCAGTATATCATTATTTAGCTATAACTTTTCTTGGAATTGGTAGTTTAGTGTTATATTATTTAAGCAACAACTTATCTCAAATAATGAAGGCTTTTTACGATTTGTATAGTCGATACAATACTTAGATAAAACTTTTGTTGGAATTGGTAATTTAGTGAAGAAGGTTTATTCGAATGATCGACATATTAAAAAAAGTTTAATTATTTGTTATCAATCGCATCTTCTCGGGCCTTTCCGGCAATCTTGGAAAAACAAGTGGTTGTTTTTCGGCTTGTCGGAAAGATCCGAGAAATTGAGTTTGATTTGTTTTCACTTGGTATCGCGAAACGATATGGACACAAGGTTCAACTGACCTTTTTTTCCTTTGATCGTATTTGAATTATCAGTTTGTTTTATTAAGAAAGAAGCCATTATCTAAAAAAAAAAAAAAAAATCACAAATACACCTGTTACATCAAAAGATTAAATTTTATTTTTAAACAGGTTATTTTTTAAAATATATAGATGTACTGCTAAGGTATGATGAAACATTAAGACAATTTTTTAGCGACACTGGCCTCCTGTTAGGGGACAACTATTTGAATCTGAGGGAGAGGTTGGTGGGGGGGGGGGGCAAATTTTACCGAGTCAGATTGTTTGTTTTCATGTCGGTGAAGGACAGATTATTTATTTCCAAAAAACAAGGACAGATTATTTATTTCTTCTTCACTGAAAAAAGTCTGTTAAGCAAAAAGAAAAAAAAGGAAAAGAAAAAGAAAAACAACAAAGTTGAAAACTCCCGGAGGGGGTGGGGTGGGGTGGGTCTAAAACTAGTCTTGGACAGATTATTTATTTTCTTGCCCAGTCGAGAACAGATTATTTATTTTCAACATTTTCGAGGACAGATTATTTATTTCCAAAATCTGTAAACCCCCCCCCCCCCGAAATGACCATCCCCTAAGCAACAGCTTGCAATGCTGTAACCTACAGATTTTATTCGCTACTTTGCTTTCCATGTCCAACAAGTAGAATTAATGTTCTTAAAAAAAACTGGCTGTTGATTATGTCAATAAAATTAATTTTTAAATCCTTGTCCCATTTACCCCACTGAAAATGTGGTATGTAAAAATAAATATTTTGTTTAAATATATACTGAAAATATATTGTATTTAGCCGGGACGATATTTGGCAGAAATTCGTAGATTTGAGCGCCTTGCTGAATGGTCAAAATAAAAACATTTTATATACTTGAATTACTTGAATTAAAGGATACCGTTTTCTGCCAGCACGCTTTAAAAGAAAAATACACAGCCAAATGTAAGGATACGTCTAATCAACGAAAAAAACAAAACAAACAGAAAACAACACATAAAGAAAGTAAATTGGAAGAAAGAAACTAAAGGATTGATTGTTGTTTTACGTCCCTTGCGAGAATTTTCACTAATATAAGACGTACAAAAACCCTAATCTGAAGAGAAACATGTCTAATAATCATTTCATTGATATAAAATTATTATGATACGATTCACGGGTCACTTGAAAGCAGACAGACGTGAATTTCTTTTTTATAAAAATTATTTTAGCGTATTTTTCTGCACCGAATACCGGATAGATATTCACGACGTCAAGCATGACGTCGCGATATTTTATGACGTCGTTCTTAAAAATGTTATATTTTGCGATATAAAAGCAATTATCCACATTTAAATTACGCGAAAACTAACCCGAAGACATATTAATTTTTTCACATTGATTTATTTCAAATCAATTCTTTGTTAAAATACCAAAGGGAAAACAATTTCGTCTGCACCATTTAAAAGTTATTGATATTTTTTTAAACAAAATCTTGCCTCAAAATGAGCCGAAAACGACATTTTTCTTATATAATTCAATAGAATAACGTCGAAAATGTAACGACAACAATGGCATGTTTGGGATTTAATTACACAAAAACGATGCAGACGAATTTTATAAAATTTTCAGAGAATATAAAACGAACGTAGAGGATTCATATAACTAATTTTCATGTTATGTTTTCGGACACTTTTAAATGGCCTGCAAACCCGCGACCTACGTTAATAACGACAAGTTAAATTAAGGCAGTTTTCTTACTCGATTATTATTTTCAGTCGTTTGCATATATCCGGTAAAAGGCCGACCCTCTCATATTTCACCGTATGCTTACAGTAAATCGCTTCCTTCTACCGCCGAGACAAGTATGCTTACAGTTAATCAGTATAAAACAGAAGTTTCCCCTTCTGAAACTCACACTTTTATCTTTGACTTTCTATGGTGCCCAATTCTCTGATTAGCTGTTTTCCTTCTTTCGTTCAAGTTTTTGATTTTGATTTTTGATTTAATATGGATCAATATATTAGTTCAGATTTCTGGATTTGCCATCTTTTGTTTGTTTGTTTTTTTTTAATACTGAAAAACTACCCATAGTTACTATATATGTTGATGTGAAGATGGTAAAATCAGAAATACAACTCACTGGAGTAATTTTAGTACTTTGATAATACTTTTCTGTCAAGTGAAAATGTATCACATAACTCAAGAATATAGCGAAGTGGAATTGTAGATCGCATTGAACAGTATATATACTGTGACTAGCTAGTTCAGGTAGCGGTTCAGTCTAACATATCATTGAACTAGTACACTTGTAGCAAGATATAGAAAAAACCATATGATTTTGATTTTTGAATAGCTCTTTCTGAAATTGCAGCCATGTTCAAATATTTTTTGTATTCATACAGACCCTCTAGCTAGATTATGTGGCTTTATAGAAAAACTTCAATATTTTGATATTTAAGAGATGAATTTAATTTTTGAGAATTCATGAGGACATGAACTACGACGCTTCACGCCTGCATATTTCATGAAGCGTGTTAGCGCTTCATGATAAATATCCAAGCGTGAAGGGTTGTAGTTCATGTACCTCATGAATTCTCAAAAATTAAATTCATATCGTATATTTAAATTTATTTTCTGATGACTTGCCACATATTTTTGTCATTTAACTATCATTTTTGAAAAAAAAAGTTTTCTTCTATTTTTTAACTTCAGTTACATCACAATGGAAACAGGCCCGTAGGAAGCAACTTCAGTTTGGGGTGGCACAGCTACATTTTCAGTTGAGGGGGCTCTATCAACTATCAAAAATTCCTCGACAAGCAAAAAAAAAAAAAAGGTCATCAGACGTTTTTTTTGAGGGGGCACAAGCAAATAACAGCTGTGTTTTCTATAGTAAACTATATATCGGCAAAATTATTGGGGGGGGGGGGGGCACGGCCCCCCGTGCCCCTCCGGTTCCTACGGCCATGTGGAAATATTCTTACTCACCCCATTGTAGTTCATGAGAACATGAACTTTTTATAATTTGCAAAGAATCTAATTAAGGAACAATATTTGGAAATGTAAATATAACAGTGTATAAGCAAACAAGATTTTATCAAAACTACAGTATATATTCCTAAAATATGAATATTTATTCATAGATAACATTCCTAGGCCCCATCATTTACAATTGTGTGTGTGAGAGAGAGAGAGAGAGAGAGCGAGAGAGAGCGAGCAATTAGCCTAAATACGTAACAATGATAATTGACTACCATATGACAGACATACTTGTGTATGAAGATTTGTCAAGTATGGATGCATTTACAAATACGGTATACGTATATATAAGCCAGTACTTAGTTAGCATCCCAGAGTGCCAATTATAAAGTTAAAGTTGATCTCTCTATTGCTGCCGCTAGTGTAAGAAGAGGTAGCTTCCTCCTTGGCGCTAAGACGGCGCACACAACTACGTGGGAATAATGTTCAAAATGAATTATTTATGTGTTATTGTTGTGATACTTGGATACAACGGTAAGTTTAAATTTAAAAAAATGATATTGAAATTAAAAAATATTTAAATATACAACTTATTATTAAACAAAATGCATTTAGAAAATCAGGTATCGCATGATTGTTGATGTAACTTAGGAAATAAATCGATTTGAAAAAGGGGAGGGGGGGGGGTCAAATTACAGGAAGTCAGATTTTATTTCGCTCTATGCTCAAAGCAGCTAGGGATTTATGCAGAATGTAAAGTTAGAGATTTTTCATTTATTGCAGTACGTTATTTGGTCACATCTTTGGAAATAAAAAATCTTGAAGTAACACATTACACATAATTCCAAAAGTTCTTTGCGTTTTTAACATAATTTAGATTTTTCTTTCCTCGCCATTCAGGTGTTCGTTCTGAGTGCCCACTTTCCTTTAGTTCACCTCCCAGTAGTGACAGTTGTTATTATTATGGATCCGCCACTAAGAGAACTTGGGAGGAGGCTCGCCAGCGATGCATTAGTATGGACGCAGATCTCCTCAAAATCAATGATGCTAAAGAACAGGTGAGAAAATCAAATGAATTAAAAAAAAATCTCTCAAAAATCCCACTCCAACAAGCAAAGAATAAGTCAAAGAGTGGGACAAGTTAGGGACAAGCAGAAGTTATTGTGAGTCGAATGAATTACTTACACTGACGTAATAATTGAGTTTTTGTCTACATCTTACGTCTGATTATCATAAAAATTAGACGTAGAATGAAAATATACTCTTGTCATTTGAAGGTCCATCCTCACAACGTCAGGCCTAGGGGTCACTATTGGACTCAGGACCCGTGACGTAGTAAATAATTGAGGATGATGTAGATATTTTATGATAACATTTCAGACAGTCATACTGGATATACTGAAGAAGAAGGATGCACAGCTCCCTGGTGTTCAGGAATGGTGGGTGGGAATGAAAAGAGAGAAAAACGACATCAATCAATGGACTTGGACCGACTCTTCATCAGCGAATCATTCCTACATGTAAGTTTTACCAGATTCCTCATAAGCGAATCACTCCCAAATGCAAGTTTTACCTGACCCTTCATCAGCGAATCACTCCTACAAGTACGTTCTACCAGACTACTTATCAGCGAATCACTCCCACATGTAAGTTTTAGCAGATTCCTCATAAGCGAATCACTCCCAAATGCAAGTTTTACCTGACCCTTCATCAGCGAATCACTCCTACAAGTACGTTCTACCAGACTTCTTATCAGCGAATCACTCCCACATGTAAGTTTTAGCAGATTCCTCATAAGCGAATCACTCCCAAATGCAAGTTTTACCTGACCCTTCATCAGCGAATCACTCCTACAAATACGTTCTACCAGACTTCTTATCAGCGAATCACTCCCACATGTAAGTTTTAGCAGACTCCTCATCGGCCAATCATTCCTACCACCGGTACATGTAAGTTCTACCAGACCCTTCATCAGCTAGTCATTCCTACATGTAAGTTCTACCAGACCCTTCATCAGCGTATCATTCCTACATGTAAGTTTTACCAGATTCCCCATCAGCAAATCATTTCCACATGCAAGATTTACCTGACCCTCCATCAGCGAATCACTCCTACATGTAAGTTTTACCAGATTCCTCATCAGCGAATCATTCCTATAAAAGATACCACAGATTCTGACACATCTGTTTCATATTTAGATATTTTACTAGAAAATGACGTTAATGGTAACCTAACAACTAAGCTTTATGATAAACGTGATGATTTCAACTTTTCAATCGTCAACTTCCCCTACTTATGTAGCAATATACCCTTTTCACCTGCATATGGGGTTTATGTCTCTCCGTTGATTCGATACACAAGAGCATGCTCTACGTATGAACAATTTCTAAAACGAGGCAAGCTATTGACAAACAAATTGACGAAACAAGGATTTCAACAGTCTCGTTTGAAGTCATCTCTTCGCAAGTTTTTCGGTCGATACAATGACCTTGTCAGCACATACAACCTGTGATTGAGTCAAATGCTGACAGACGTTTTTCATACTGATTGTTAGGCCATTATTATACACTGAACTGTCTACGGATTTTTCCGGTTTTTGTTTCCCGATCATGACAAGGAGCACACGGCGGGTGTGACCGGTCGGCAGGGGATGCTCACTCCTCCATGGTACCTGATCCCACCTCTGAATTTTGAGGTCTTTGTTTGCTCTGCTCCAAATTTGTATCGTTTTATTGGACTTTCGAGATTGAATACTGTTCATTATCTTCATATTTCCTACATGTAAGTTTTACCAGATTCCTCATCAGCGAATCACGTTTTAACAGACTCTTTAACAGCGAATCGTTCCCACAGGAAAGATTTACCAGACCCTTCATCAGCTATTCACTCCTACATGTAAGTATTGCCAGATTCCTCATCAGCGAATCACTCCTACATGTAAGTTTTACCAGACCCTTCACCAGCGAATCATTCCTACATGTAGGCCAATATGTAGATATGAAAGGTTTTAAATCATAATTTTATCCTCAGGTGTTCCAAGACCTAGAATCGAAGGGCTTGGTCTTTAATCCAAGCATGTTCTTTGAGGTAACATCAACTTCTTAGGCAATGATAATTAGTCATGCTGGTATGAAATCATTACTGTTTTTGAATGATGATTTCTTGGCATTTTAATTGTACATTTAGGGTGTTTAAATTAATTTTCAAAATTGTATGTACAATATATATATGTGCGTTTTAAATGTTACATATCACCAAAACATGCCATTTAAAAAATATTAGAGAAACATACTTAATTTGCTTTTCAATATGTAGGTCGTTCAATATTGACCTATAATCTATTCTGGTATTCTTTATGTAACATCCTTTGAATCAGCATTACTCTTAGTAATTGTAATTACTTGTTCTACAATTTCTATAAATTTTATGAAATCATTACGGATGCATTCTGTCATTGATGCTTTAGATATACCATGATACCTAGTACATTTCTGTCTATATAAGAGGAAGAGTTTGGGATGATGTTAACTCCTAAGCTTGCCAAAGTTATACATTAACTAAACGAAGCATGGTTACAAAATGCATCTTTAGAAATATCATCTTTGCAAATTTGGCCAGTGATGAAACTTTGAAATAGCCTCCTCTTAAACTTTAACTTAGTTATACCTTGACCCAGTTTGCTGTTTGCTGAACGTCCCTTCGAGAATTTAGCATTCATATTGAGACGCCACCAATTGCCGGTGGAGGCCTGCAAATTTGGACATGTACTCGATCTTTTTCGTGCCACCACCTCCTGCGACACGGGACCTTGGTTTATACGGTCTCATCCAAAGGACCGGTCTTCGCGTCACACAGGGATTCGAACCCGGGATCAACTACTTACTCCGCGGCTCTAAAGCAAACACTCTAACCACTTCGTCACGAGGGCGATCGTACCAGTTTGATAATAAATGGTATGATATAGAATATCCTGACCCAGTCTAAACATAGATGGCATGGAATATCTTGATCCAGTTTGATCATATTCCTACCGAATGTTTCGAACGTACACGGTCTAAAATGATATCACTAGAGAGTCAGAATAGGAACGTGCAAACAAAAGTGGCATTGCTGGTAGCTGCATCAAGTTAAGTCTTGTCAAACACACTGTAAATACTACACAGAATATTTAACTTCCTCTGCACAAACCCAGTACCTGTCAATATATGTTTTGCTGACTCTTAAGAAACAGTCGATTCATGTATAAGATATTCAATGAACAATTAACCCTAGCAAAACAGATAAACCGTTTTTTGAATGGACATGCAGGATAATTAAAATTAAGAAAAGAAAACCAATACATGTATATGGTCACCATAACTTTAGATATTTAAAGGACAGACTCTTTCGTGATAATACCGGTTACATTAGACACGGTTATAAAAACAGTATTTGTCAGTATTATTTCAGAATCTGTTCTATGTTATCTGTACAGTACTTAGTCTCAGTGATGGTTGAGATATTTGTTTCTTCACTCAGACGCTGGGGCATAGACGAACCAAACAATTACAACCAGAATGAACACTGCGGAGAGATTTGGGAAAGCACATTCAATGATAAAAACTGTGACAGCAAGTTAAACTTTGTCTGTGAGAGACCAAAAGGTATACTCTATAGCTAGTGTGTTTTGATATCTATTGTGAATTCACTGTTTTTCGTGGGGGATTAATTTTCGTTGTTTTCAAGGTATGAAGAGATCAACGAATTCATGTCCTCCACGAAATGTTAATTTTCATATTCACAACTACTACACAGTTCTTCATCCACGAAATCAAATCCCCACAAACCATATTTTTTCCTAAGCATGTCTTGATAATATTACTCTTAAAAAATCCCACATATATGAAAAGAAGATAAATCTGTAATGATATTAAACATTGAGATGAACATACAGTCCCTGAAACGTTCTACTTTCCCATTTTTCCGTTCGCTCACCGTTCGTTCAGCGTGCGTTCACCGTTCGTTCACCGTGCGTTCACCGTTCGCTCTCCGTTCACAGTTTTGCGTTCACCGTTCACCGTGCGCTCGCGTTCACCGTTCACAAAGCGTTCAGCGTTCGCTCTTCGTTCCGTTCACTTTGCGTTCACCTTGCGTTCAGCGTTCACCTATCGTTCAGTTTTCATTGCCATTCGGAACTCCCAAGTGAAAGGACTTATCTTTTTGTAGGTAAGGAGTTACAGATTTTTTAATTTAATAACTAACATATCGTGTTTGAAGAATCATTATTTCATGGGGGAAAATATCCAAGATATATATTTTTATTATTCTAACTTAGCTATTAGGTTATTTATTAAATTACTCTGGAAAATAAATTTGTTATAAGCACATTCTGTACCTATGTAGAACGATGCTGAAATATTAAATTTAACTAAGGGCAATTTTGTTGTTTTGTTAAAGACGACAAATCGTTAATGGAGATATAATTATCCAAGTCAAATAATTACGCAGCAAAATTACGAAAATATTTATTTCTAACGCGTTTTTTTTAATTCAGTTACTACAGAAAATTGATAGAACTAGTTCTGAGAGTTATACATAGTACTGCGGATATCCTGTTAATTTATTATCTTTGGAGCGAATTAAATTGAAAGTGTATTTAAAGGAAATATTTATTTAAAATGTAATGCACTACAGAATTTTCGCTACTATAATACATGTATGTAAAGTCTATAGTTATAGAGAAAAAAATTCTTTCTTCACCGTAACTTCATATGTTTGCCATTCGATATGATTAACCCCCCCCCCTTTTCCCCTAAATCGGTTACTTAGTCAGTACTGTATTTCCAGAAAATTTTAATTAACCTGTTAAAAAAAAGTTAAGGTCTTTTTTAGAACAAAAATTTCAGTCTCAAAACAAACATGCATCTAAAAAAGTCACAAAACAATAGTAGTTCACAATATACACGTGTCGGCGGTGGTATTTGAAATTGGCAGAGAGTATGTTTCAAATTCAAGTGTTAATGCCCAATATATTTTATTCATTTATTATTCAAATGTTGGTATCAAATCTAGAAATGATAAAAATAAATGTTATAACTTGTTGGAAATACTCGCACTTCGTCTTCGATGTGACGAAACTTTCACACCTGCACAGGGTCGAATGATTTTGATTGACAGGACAAGCACGTGGACTTCGTGTGAACTTGAAGCAGGAAAATAAAAACGAGTAATACTGTCAAACAGATGGATATGATTTGTTGATTTAAAAAAAAAAGTTACTTTCATTGTCTAATATATTTAGAAAAAAATTTCAGAGTTATTGTTTGATATAGGTACAAACATTTAGTGAAACCTGAAAGGAAAGGGGGGGCTAAAACGGAATCTCTCTCTCTCTCTCTCATTTGTCTGTTTAATAAAAATTATAACAGCATATTACTTAAATATCAAGTTCTGAAAATTGAATTTATAACAAATATAATGAATATGTATCTTTGTATTTTCTTGTCCGAGTTTAATCACGGCCATCTACAGATACATGTAGAAGTCTGCTCAATAAATCATCATGAAAAATAGAAATGACACATAATATATTATTGTATTAAAAATTTAAAATACGAGTGTATAAATGCAAAACGTCCACTGACCTTTGTAATTAATTTTTTTCATTACTTTACATGAAATCGCCTTGACACGGAGATATATGAATGGATGTTACAATCGCTTTAATTCATTCTATAAGTCAGAAGTTTTCTCTGATTTGTTATCAAATAAGAATAAACATTTTTATTTTCCAACTAAAAAAATATCTTTTATACTTCAGCGTTCGGCAACAATTGCAATGTTTTAATGCGTTAAAAATCGTATGATTAAAAACTAAATGTGCACGAATCGTCTTTCTGAGGACAATTTTGGAGAATTTATTTTATTTACTTATTTATTCATTCATTTATTGGTTTACTTATTTATTTATTTATTATTTTTTTTTTTGGCACCTGACATTATAATACAATAAAATAGTCAATGCAAGGAAAAGATCAGAGGCATTCCGAATATATCGTTCATCTTGCGTTCACCGTTCGTTCACCGTTCACTTTGCGTTCGCGTTTGCGCTCCGTTCGCGTTCTGCGTTCGCTCACCGTTCACACATCGTTCACCAAGTTGCGTTCAGCGTTCACACATCGTTCACTCACCGTTCGCTCTGCGTTCGTTCAGCGTTCGTTCAGCGTTCGCTCACCGTTCAAGTGGGAAAGTAGAACGTTTCAGGGACTGTAGCATACCGGTATTTGAAAAAAAAGCAAACTTTTCAACCAATAATGAAGAGAAATGAAATGTTGAATTGCAACAGTCAAAAATTGCTTAATGTTTCACTGATTATACAGAGCGGATTTCCTAATTATTATGGCAATATGCGTTTGTCATATAGTTTGAAAGACATGTTGGGAATGTTCACTAGCGAATGTTTAAAATATAAGAAACATGTTTCCTTTTAAGAAATCACAAAATCTTCCTCATCATGTAATATATGATTATATTTCAGACCAACCCGTGCGATGTTCTGTAGAAGATGGATACAGCTACCATAACAAGAAATGCTATAAGTTTTACAACAATCAACTTAAGAGAAGCGAGGCATTGTAAGTTGATAGTTTTACAGGTAACTCCACTTGACGTTTTATCAATTATCATTCATACATTGATTTGATATATCCCATTGAACTCAAGATGAAAGACACCACAGAGTCTGACACATTTGCTTTACGTTTAGATATCGACACTGATGGCAACCTATGGAAAAAGTGAATTCGACTTTTCTATCGTCATCTTTATTTATATAGCAAAATATCATCACCGGCATACTAGTATGTCTCCCAGTTGAAACGATAAGAAAGAGCATGTTCTATGTACGAACAATTTTTAAAAGATTCTACTGAAAAATAAGTTAATGATGAAAGGATATCATCAATCTCGCTGATTGTCAATATTTCGCTAATTCTATGGTCGATATAATGACCTTGTTTGCAAGTACAATCTGTCCTTAGATCGAATATTGACTGACGTTTTTTATACAAATTATTAGGCCATTATTTTCACATCAAATTCGACTACAGATTTCTTCATACACCTGATCATGAAGGAGCTACGGCGGGTGTGACCGATCGATAGGGATGCTGACCCCACCTCTGATGTTTTCAGAGGCCTGTGTTTGCACTGCTTAAAATTTTTATTCTCAAGTAGGACTTTTGAGCATGAATACCGTTCTTTTTTAACTTTTACTTTTCACTGACACTAGTACATGGATGGCTGACTGCCAATCCTTATCCCAGTGGTACTAAAGTCACGTGTGAATAAACCTCAGATGTTGAACACATAGCAAAATTTAATATCGAGAAATATAATTAATTATGGTATTTTATTTCTAATTGTCATGTGTTATGTCGCATGAATTATAAATACACTTGATTATTATATTTTATCTCTGGGTGTAACTTTAGACTTTGCCAAGCGTACTTTACAGTATTACTCAATTTGTATCATAGGCCACTTAAATTTGAATTAAAACCCATTGAAGAGAAGGACAAAATCTAAGTCCAATTAATCTAAAATAATAACTTTTAAATCCTAGTGAATGTGGTTACATAAAACTAATTTCAGATCAACCATTATACGACTTGCATACTTTCCCTTTTTAGAAAAAGAAGAGTTACATTGATTTAGAATTTGGTGTTTTACTTTCTTTATGCAATGCATAGAACATAAGCTAATAAAATTATGAATGAAATGAAATATATGGAGATAACGAACAAGATTCAAACTCGAAAGTCCATTCAAACAATAAAATCAGGAGCAGAGCAAACACGGACCTCTAAAACATCAGAGGTGGGATCAGGTGCCATGGAGGAGTAAGCATCCCCTGCCGACCGGTCTTTGTCATGATCGGGAAATAACAGAAAAATCCGTAGACAATTCAATGTGTAAATGATGGTCTAACAATTAGTATGATTGATTGATTGATTGTATATTGTTTTACGTCCCATTCGAGAATTTTTCACTCATATAGAGACGTCACCATATACCGGTGACGGGCTTCAAATTTTGACCTTTTCTCGGCACTTAGGGCCATTGAGCAGTGTGGGATCTTTGTCGTGCCCACGCCTGCCGTGGCACAGGGCCTCGGTTTTTAAGGTCTCATCCAAAGGACCCGTAACTTTCACTTCAAAGTGCCGAGCGCATGGCGAAGGAACAGTTGCTACCCATTTTTTATCGACTTAGGTCAGTCGCGGCCGAGATTCGAACTCACGACCTCCCGATCACGAAGCGAGCGCTCTACCGACTGAACTACCGTGAACGGTAACAATTAGTATGAAAAACGTCAGTCAGCATGGTTAGGAGAAGGGTTAATGATAGATTGTATTTGCTGACAAGGTCATTGTATCGACCATGGAACTTACGAAATGATAACTTCAAACGAGACTGTTGATATCCTTGTTTCATCGACTTGTTAATAAATTACCTCGTTTTGGAAATTGTTAATACGTAGAGCATGCTCTTGTGTATTGAATCAATTGAGAGATATAAACCCCATATGCAGGTGATAAGGGTATATTGTTGCATAAGTAAGAGAAGTTGACAATTGAAAAGTTAAAGTCATCACGTTCATCATTAAGCTTTGTTGTTAGGTTACCATTAACGTCTTTTTCTAGTAAAATATCCAAGTATGAAACAGGTGTGCCGGACTCTGTGGTATGTTTAATTTCAAGCTCACTGGGATATATCGTACCAACATATGAATGGAAATAACTATTGTTAATTGATAATACATGGTCGATATATCTAAATGTCGAGTTGAACGCAACAAGTGTTTTCTTCTTCTCATGTATAAGATTTTGAACAAGTTCTGCATCATATGAATACAAAAAAGGTCTACTAACAGCGGGGCGCAATTGGTACCCATGGGAATTCCAACAGATTGTTTGAAGACCTGGTCTCCAAAAACCACCTAGACACAAATGATACGTAAATCAAAGTTTCTTTTGTAATTAAAATATACAATATACTCTCTGACTTTGTCACCATTGCAGGTCAGCATGTGCCGGTGAGTTTGCACAGCTGGTAACCATAGAAACAGAAGAAGACCAACATGCTGTGACTGAGCTAGCTTATAGTTACCAGTCCAATGTCTGGCTTGGCATCAAGTTTATGAATGTAAGAACTAATAATTAAGTAGAACTGTAAACATTTCTACACTGGCAATTATGATCAATTGCTTTGTTTGGAATTAAAATTACCTTTATTATAAAACAATCTAAATTTTTTGTTGAAACTAATCTCCCGTTTCCATTGGTTCTTGCCATACATTACTAGTATGTCATTCCATTAATAATCATCGACGATATCTATGATGTCTGTGAAGACTAGGTCCCGAGATAACAGACTTAAAACAAAAATTCAAAATTTCAATCATCTATAAAATATTTGATTACTTGTCAACTGAAATTCTTAATTTGCATACGACAGCATGGAGTTTATTGATGCAAAACTTAATAGCATTTTTATTTTGGACTGCCTGATTTCGAAATGATATCAATGCAATATACTTTTTTTGACTGAAGCTTAAACACCCAATCTTATGTTAACGCCCCCAAAATCTACCTAATTCAAGATCAATAGTATACCGCCTGTCAATCATTAAAAAACAATAGCTTCTGATTTGATTGACGGGCAAGCTACTTGGGCTACCTGATAATCTGAATTTGCATGTTTTGAAAACAATTACCTGGTCACGCGTCAAACTCTTTCATGTACCGCGTGAATGGTCGCTTTGTATACACTCTGGTTAAAAAAAATCATGTCGCTGTTATATTGGTTGATAATTTTATTTTTAAAAAATAATTGAGAGTAGATAATTAAACAGTGACTTCGTGATTTTATTTTTCAATCTCCACTGCTGTTTATACTTGTTAGCGATATGACGTCCAAGATAACTGTAGAACTCTTCGAAGAAAAATTACCGGATATTCAAACCTTCTCTTCCTTCAATAACTGAGATCCGGAGAGAGGAGAAGTTTCTGCAGCAGCACAGACCGAAAATTCTTCCGAGCTCCTTATTCAACCTGTGCCTTGATTTTAAGAATGTCCCTTGTCGGCCTTGCACTTGGGTACACAGAAAGTCAATTCGTCATAATTGGAAACAATCGACCCCCTCCCCCACCATTTGAAAATCATAATAAAAAATGCAATGGGTTAAATAAGAAAAGATATTTATACTAATATAAATAAAGTATCTTGTATCTAACGCCATGAAGTACGAAAGATTCTTTTGATATCCAAATCTGTAAACAGGGCATAAGAACAAGGACCCTCGGAAATAGCGAATACTTGGACTCCATTGTTCACCTTTTTCTTTTCTTTTCTTTTTTTTTTTTTTTAATTTTACGATTTTTAAAAAAGAGATGTCTTTTTTAAAAAATTTTTTTTTTCTTCAAAAGATATCGACGAAAACGCTAAGTCTACGAATTTTATATTTCAGTACATAATTTATTTTAAATATTTTCACTCAAAATTATGCACAAAACGCGTAATGTTGACCTTGATTACCAAAAGCCAGACATCCTGTGTAATGCACCGTGTATAGGGATTTTTGACATCTTGAGTATTGGGGGTCTCCAGGTAAATAACACCAGTACTACCAAGACCACTACCCCTCCTCAGGTAACCGTACGGTAAAAAAAATGGGTCTCATGATCCTGAGACCATGGCCAAGACCATATCCTGAGAACAGACTTACATCAAAAGTTTTATTTTTAAAATCTTGAGTGTCATTTTCAAAATTATTTTAATAGTTATACCAATTTAAAATTTTGACTGAAGTCTTTTCTCAGTCTATGGTCGTTTGGCCGTGACTGTTTGAATATACAAGGGCTCTAATTGTGCTCATTTATTAGCTTACACTTTATTTTATTCTTATGAAACAAAATTTATTAAAAATCTTCTACATGAGAAGCTGAAATATAATTCGATATGCCGATAATGTTTTATCAATAAAAAATATTTCGTTTTAGTGATATTTTTGACACGATATAGGCCCAGTGAACTCGAAATAAAATATGTCACAGAATCTATCACATCTGTTTTATATATATATATATATATATATATATATATATATATATATATATATATATATATATATATATATATATATATATATATATATGTTTTATTGAATAAAGACGTTAATGGCAAACTGACAACTAAAGTATTTGATAAACAGGAATTCGACTTTTCCTAATTTTCAATGGTCAACTTCCCATATTAACGTAGCAATATTCTTTTTTTTTCACCTGCATATGATTTCTATGTCTTCCACCTGACTCGTTACGAAAGAGCATGTTCAGCGTGTGATTAGTTTTTTTTAAATAGAGGCATGCTACTGACCATTAAGTAGATGTTATATGGGCTTCAGTTGTCTCGTTTTAAAGTCAGCGTTTTACAAATTCTATGGTCATTATACTGACAATCAATGTTTGCAAATGCAGGCTATCGTTGGGTCGAATGTTAACTAACATAATAAATAACAGTTGTTTGGCCCTACATTTCATACTAATTTTGACTATAGTTTACTTCGTTTACTTGATCAGTACAGAGGTGATCGTGTGAAAGGGAATGCTTGCATTTCGTTTGCACCAGTTCCTACCTCTGGTGTTTTCAGGGGGTTTTGTATTGCCCTGTTCTTTATTCTTAATATTTGAAGGGTTTAACAAGATTGACAACTATTTTTAATCTTCAATTTTTCTTTATGGAATTCACATTCTAAAAGAATGAAGCGGAAAATATAATCATAAATGGAACAAATTTGAAAGTTTCTAACTGGGACTGATTCCTTTTATAGTACCCAGAAGTTGAGAATATCAATCACTGCTGCACTAGTTTCTATGTGCGTTTAGTGGTCATGATCATTTATATACATTAGTGTACGTTTGTGTATTAGAAAGGGAAATATATAAGAAGTAATATCTAAACATTATACATGTAGGATATAGCATATACTGTAGGAATAAATGAAAGAAGAACTATATTTGAACTCTATAGAGACATAAACTTTGAATTATCAATCACAATAAAAGCTTTGAGCTATGCATTCAGTATTTTTAGATACTCTTTATTTCAGAAAGTCTCTCAATGGCTGGTAATTAATAGTCCTAACTGGGAACAGCCAGCTAATATGTTTTTTTGGCAGACCGATGATAATTTTAACAAGTATGTGAAAAAATTGAAAAATGATTCTTCTTAGTATATGACAATGCTTGTTGTCTTGTAAAAAATCAATTTAATTATAACAGCTTGTTATTATGTGTAATACATAAATTCTGTTGCATGATTTTAAACCGATACATGCCATCAAAGTGCATTAAAAATGTTTCTTGTTTATTTAAGAAATCTACAACATAGAAATGAAAACTTACCAATTTATTTTTTTCTAGTTCTATTGAAAACTGCGCTGCACTTAATGTATCTGCTAAAGACAACGTGAATAATTGGTACATTGAAAACTGCACCTTAACAAATGCCTTTATTTGTCAAAAGCCAGCAGGTACTAAGCAAAATAATATCACTTACTGTACATTACATATATACTTCAGATATATTGTAGATGTGTGTTCATATTATACCTTGGCCTTATAATAAAATTTATATATCTTCTAGGTGTGTGTTCAAGAGGTTTTGAACAATACGAGGAGAAATGCTTCCTTTTCAAAGAGAACATGAAGCAGTCGTGGAACCAGGCTAAGCACTATTGTGAGGGGTTTGAGAGCAATTTGTTGGAGATTGAATCGTAAGGATTTTACAAGACACTCTTACAAATAATACTCTGCTATTACATGAAATAATTCTTTAAAAACAAAAGATGTTCCTTTAAGGAGAACATATGGAATCACGCTGAGCATGTTTTACGTATGAACAATTTCTAAATCGAGGCAAGCTATTGACAAATAAGTTGATGATTCAAGGATATCAACATGCTTGTTTAAGGCAAAATTTCGCAAATTCTTTGGTCAGTAAAATGAAATTGTAAGCAAATACAATCTAAGTCAAGTGTTGACTGACGTTTTCCATACAAATTGTCTATTTTCGTACTGAATTGTCTACGAATTTTTCCGTTTGCCCGATCATGACAGGAGCACATGGCACATGTGACCGGTCCACAGGGGATGTTTACTCCTCCACTGCACCTGATCACACCCCTGGTGTTTTTTAGAGGTCCGTGTTTGCTCTGTTCCCAATTCGTATTGTTCCAATGGACTTTTGAGCTTGAATGCTGTTCGTTATCAACATATTTCTCTGCATGCTTTTCAGATTATGAAGTTGAAATTTTTTATTATTTTGCAGTGACGGAGAACAAAATTATATAAGTACAAAGTTACAAAAGAGAAGAGTTATTCCCCGGCTTTGGATTGGAATCAAGAGCAAACATACTGGAATGACAAGTAAGAACATCATTTCTGAAGCTACTGTAATGTAAGACAAGAATAAAATTACTTAGATTAGATTGTAAAATTTAGATGGCAGTTTAAGCATGGATAAGGCCAACTATTACTGGGAAATGTCCAAAGGAACAAGGACTCCGGCCTACCTTAATGTCAGGGCTACTGGTACTGCCAGCGCTTGTGGATATATTGATCCAGGTTTGTCACATTTCATATCATTTTCTTTTCTGATAAAATTATATATTTCTCAGTATATGCTAACGTTTCATTAAGAATTGTTATGTTTTTGATAATCTCCCTAGATTTGTTTTATTTACAAATTTTTTTTTATACTACTAATATTTTAGTCAATTTTCATTCCATTTTAAAGTTTTAACCACAGTTATCAGCTGGGGTAATTTAATAATTTAGGCAGGTCAGGTGGATGGTACTTTGACTTGCCGTGCAACACGCCCCTACCCTTTATATGTTACAGTGATGTGATGAACGGGAATGTCCAACCGCGCCAATTTACAAGTAAGATATTCTAAAGCTATGTAAAATTGGAAAACCTGTATAAGCCATCATTGTTTTTCAATAGCCAAAGTTTATTATCATATGCTAATTGAAATTAGACATTTTAATTTGGAAAATTTAGTAGAAGACACCAAAGGTGGTAAACACAACCAAACAAATAATCAAAACAAAACAAGAGCATAGTATATTTACCAGTGGTTAAAGCAAATAACTATTTATGTCTGAACCTATGTTTCAAATTTGTTAGCCTTCACAACACCTACGACAACAACAACTATTCAGACAACACACAGAGCATTAATTCCCGTCATACCTGTAACAAAGAAGACAAGTGTTATAGTCCAGCCTACCTCAACAGTGACCAAGCAGATTGTCACCACAACAGGTAAGTTAAAAATAATCTGCAGATTAACTTTTATTCATTTAAACTAGTAGATATTTCAAGGCTAAGGAGCTACTGACTTTAATATATACCTTATAGAGTCCCTAATTTTGTATCTTTTCATTAGTCTGGGCAGTTTCAAAATTAAACTTACTTTCAAAAGTGATTCAGTATTAAAAACAATTTTACAGTATTAAAACAACTCTACTAAAGAAATTTCAATTTCCCCACTTTAACTCAAAAAAGATAAATGAATGAATTATAGAATGATGACAAATTAAAAAAAAATAAAATCTGTGAAAATTTCTTTATTTTAAATACATGTACTAGTAATTATTAATATCAAGATAAAAGTTGGGAGCAAAATATTTGATTCTGTGTACATAGGATTGGCACCATTTAATGTGTAAATGCGATAATTATTACACTGCATTATTTCTTATTTTGATACGAAATTGGCATCATAAGTTTAGATAAAAAGCAGACAAACCAATTATCCTCTAGTTGATGAGGTATAAATATATCTTTCCGTGTTTTTTTTTATAGATAAGTTAGATTATTGCCATTGAAGGGCACATAATTATTATTAATACCCACAACTCTCTTTTAATTGGCTGTAAATTATATATTGAAATTATGTTGAAGCCCCCTTGGTTGAAAAATTGTACAAATCTTGTTAACAATGTAGTTCCCATTTTATACTGATATTGTTCATATAATGTTTTCCTTTGTTATAACTTCTTCTGACAGACAACGAGCGACCTAATCCTACCTCTGGTGTGTTTTTTTTAACGCGTGCACGCTTTGTATTGATCACAAAATTTACGATACTAGTCACTGTTTCTTATCTTAACCTTTTCAACAAGTAATTTTTAGATATGAAATACACTTTTTTGTAAGGTTACAATGCACAACCTGTATATGTGCTAAGTTCACATAACGTGCAAAAAGTCAGAGATATGTTGAATATAATCATCTTTCAAATTATAACACGTGAACACAACAATAAAAATACAACTATTCATCAAGAACATTACCAAGATGAACGTGTCTTTGAATCTTTTTTAAGACATTACATAATACTTGGTTTTAGAAATTGAAAAAAATACTTTATAAGAAAGCAATGGTCAGTGCAGTTCTCACACATTTTATCTCTGTAAATTACATCTTTTAGCCATATTTGATCCAATGTTACTACATAGTTACTGTAAATTTGGCCGGTTGTGTTGCGTGACCATAGCTAATTATTTATAGTTTGTTGATTAACCCATTGTGTTGGCTATATAGTTTTTGAAAATCTTTGACGCACTGAGTAGCCTGCATGTTGTCGTTAAATATTGTTGTAAGGCAAGAACTGTTCTGTATAAATGTGTTCTGTGATTAAAGTAATTTTTTAAACAGTGTTGTGTTTTTATTAAAGTACTGTACTATTTGAAAAGTGTCTTGAAGTAATAGATGTGCTTTGTCTAAAGTTAATTTCATCTGCAGTTAGTATAAATCAGTGTTTGCCTAAAAAATATGTGCTTAAATATAATGATGTTTGATCCAGTCTATTGCTACAACATTTTACTTTGATTGTACTCGTGTGATTGAGATAATACGATAATAATAAATAATCGTATCTTTGTTTATGGCTTTGTTGCTGTGTTTGACACTTGTATGTACATGTATCTTACTGCTAATGTCACTTATACAGGCGTTTATTCCATATGTCCCTCTGTACGTAGAATATATATTTTTTGACAAATCATGCTTTTCCTCAAAATGGACGAAATGTATCCATCTCATATACGAGATTCCTATTCATTTTAATTGTAGCGGTGTATGATCCTGTATGTGGCTCTAACTGGGAGCTAGAACAGAGATCTCAAGTGTGTTACATGTTTTACCTTCACCCATCCACCTGGTCATCTGCGAGAAGTTTCTGCCGGTCACTTGGAGGAGAATTACTCAGTATAAACAACTTGAAGGAATATTACTATATATTAGGTAGATATTGATACATATAGTTTGTAGTACTGCTGTATTGACAATATTCGGGAAACTTTCTTTTTTCACTATTAAGCAGAGCTTATGATTAATGGCACTTTCTCATTCTTCAGTAAAGTAAGTTCATAGGGAAATTGGAAATCTTATGCATGAAAAATTATTTATAGAGTTTTTTAAATGACCATGCTAAATTGGGTAAAATGTGTAAAAGAACGAACCAAAACTTACTATCTTATTTAACTATTTAAATAATATTATTATTGGGAAAATATATTTGAGTTTCATTCATTAAGTAAACAATGCACCCGTTGTGTGAATATTAAATAGGAGGAAAAGTAAGTTTGACACTATTTTGCCCCATGTGTGTGCTCTGTATACCATCTATTATGTAAACAGGTAGACTGTCGGGAATGAAGAATTCTGGGAGCTTTTGGATTGGAGGATATGATGAGAGTGACGAGGGAGGATGGGCGTGGTCAGATGACTCTCCGTTTAGTTTCTTCAACTTTAAACGAGGTGTGTTCAGTGTTTGTTTTTTTTATTTTCAGAAAAATGCAGGTTTAGAATAGTTTAAGAAGTACTTTATTCACGATATACATAGAAGTATATGCAAAGAATATGGATTGAACAGCAAGCAACAGTGGCCTATATTAGTTTTCTCCATTAGAGATCAAGGTATACAAATCATGAAATGTTACAATGGTATATATCTCAAATTTTAAAAAACATGTATTTTAAACTAATTTTTAAGAAGGATACAGAGTACAAAATTGAAAAAAGGGGGAAATGAACAATAAAATGGAAAAATGAAATCCCTGGCGGAGGGAAAGGGGAAAAAGGCTCAGAACCATATCTGTATATGTACTTTCAGTGTACATGCTGCGCATTAATACTTATTACATTTTCATATTCTAAAATCTTTTTGTGTTTTTTTTTAGATAGACAATTATAACCAGATAATACAATATTGACATCTCTTGGTATGTCATGGTGAATCATATATGTAATCGAAAAGTTCCTTGCAAGATCATGACATGGGCATTGAAAGAAAAAAATGTACAGAATCTTCAAAGAAAAAAAAAATAACCACATATTAAGCATTTAGGTGAACCAACTAAAAAAGGTTTAGAATTCAAGAATCCTGAAAAAAAAAGTTGATATTGAATTACTTACATGTATATAATTCTATACAAGAAATATATTTCTTTCAAAGAAGAGAAACAATTTTTTTATAGTAAACTTTATCGCATTGACATTTTAGTATTATGCGATATCAGTATCTATAATAAATATATTAAAATAATTAAAAATAGTTATTTTCATTCATATTTCGAATCCATATATCAGTGAACTTGATATAAAAGACACCACATTGCATGACTATTTCATATTTGGATGTTTTACTGACTATTGACATTAATTGTCAACTATCAACTAAACTCACCTTTCTCATCGCCAGCTTTCACCTATTTATGTAGTTATGTTCCACTATCACCTGTATGTGATGTTTATATTCCCAACTGATTCGGTATTCAAAAGCATTTAAAAAACCAGGCAAGGTATACTGAGAAGTTGATGATACAGGGCTTTCAATTTCGTTAGACGTAAGCATTTTGCAAATTTAATGGTCGTAATATTAACTTTGTTAACTTTGCAAACACAACTTATCTTAAATACAATGTGCATATTTTCTATGAAAAAAAGTGCCAGGATTTTTGTTAATTTATATCCAATTTGCCAAAGATTGTTTTAATTATTTGGAGATGCATTTGCTATGGCCACTTTAAAAACACAGGAAAGTACGTCCTCTGGAGTTACAAATGTTTATCTTTGAAAAGAAAAGTGATACGATTTCTGCTATTTGTTATTCTAAGTTCCATGACATTGCACAAAAACAATGATCCAGAATTCTCTGACATATAAATCTAAGATGTAAGCATAGTCTAAGATTCATAATTGTAAATCAACTTCCTGTTATCAATTATTTAATCTTTGAATTGTTATTTTTGAGACAATGGTAAGATTCCAGTAATTTTCAGAAAATCTCAGTGGATGATTTAAGATGTGAATGTTAAGCGACTTTAAATAGGAACATTGCTCTTTGCAAATTAACAAACCATTGAAGAATTATTATATACTGTGGAAGATAATAAATCGCCTTGAAATTTTGAACAAATAAATCTCATACAAAATTTATCATTCAAGGAGAACCAAATGGAAAAAGTGGTGGTCAGGAGAACTGCATCGCCATGTTTTCTCCAGGAGCCAAGTGGTTTGATGATTTATGTTCCAATACACGCAGTTCTATATGCAAGAAAAGAGGTAAAACTTTTCCATATTACTTTTTTTTTCACTTTCATGCATAAAAAGCGGATTCGATTTCTTTTTTTGCACTCTTTAGTCATATGGTATTATTTTTCCTCATGTATTACATTCTTTTTTAAATTTTTAAAGCAAGTTCTTTACAAAGCAGAGTGAAGTAAAATATATATTTGTTGTAAAAAAAAATATATTTCCTTGTTCTTTTACAGTCAGAAATGACACAAGTAACCTTCCGCCGACATCTCCTCCATTTCCTTCTGGTAGGAAAACCTAACATGAAAATACACTCTCCACCTTTATATTGGCAATTAAATCATTATAAAATATAAATAAGACTGTCTTACCCAAATTATTAATTGTTTAGTTGGATTTAAGTATTTTGTTGATAGATTACAGTGAAAAAGGGCAAAGATTAAATTATATTATGATGTAAACTTAAAGTGAAGACAGTAACTAGTTAGTGATGAAAATTAATAAGTAGTATTTGAATATTTTGATCTACAGAAACTCAACTGAAAATAAAAACATTTTTAAGTGAATTTGAAATAGCTTTCACATGATTTAAATTTCACAGACAACTTTCAAGGCAACTACTTCATTTTATTGTTGTTAGGCAATAAAGTGTATGGCTGTCCTGGAGAAGAATGGTCCGACTATCGATTATCATGCTATTTTGTTGCAAGGAACAAAACGTCTTGGACAGAGGCTCAGACCTATTGTAGGTCTGCAGGGGGAGAATTGGCGTCCATTCATGATGAGGGGGAGCAGGCTTTTGTGTACAGCCTATTGCCAAAGTGTAAGATTACTGAAACTTTTAGTATGCATAGTAGGTGACCAAACAATCGCCAGCGTCTTGTTTGGATGGTCTGTGATATTTTTGGCATCCCAGTTCTATACAGCAGTTCATTGTTATACCGGGTAGATGGTGTTAGGCCATCAGAACTGAAGAATGTGGCCATGGGATTTGGTTTAGAAGGCTTCGAGTTTTGTTTCAATTGCACAAAAGGTCTTCCAGTATTCTAATCCATACGGGAGGACATTGCTATTGAAGATCCTGACCTTTGTGTGGATGTAAAATCCTGTATGTGGGTTTCAATATTGCAAAATCTTGGTTTGTCTCTTGGTGTTGATCACTCTGTACATTATCGCTGTCGCTCGTTATGGTGACTTTACATCCCAGGGACGTCAACTCCTCAACGTCCTACAGGGCTTAATATTGATCATTACTGTGTTGCTGTTTTTATTGGTACTCGTAAGACTGTGCCTTTTTCAGGTTGACATTCAATACGAGTGTGCTATGGCACTGAGATGCCCCCTGTCTTTTGCTCTTTCCTGGATATTTAAGTATCAGTAAGATAGAAGGCCAAGGTCATCAGTATCATCCAGTTCTTCTAGGATTGAGGCCAGTATCCACTCAAATCCCTGTCTTTTGCCTTGTGTGACGTTCCTCATGACCTAGTCGATTGCGTGGGAGAAGACTCGGGCGAAAGGATAATCCCTTGCTTCACTCCGGTTTTCACTTCAAGGGCTCAGTGAGCTTGTTGTTATGAATCATTCGTCCTTCAAAGTTCTCATAGAGGGACTGGATGATACGAACCCAGTTTTGGGGGATTCTTTGGTAACAAGATCCTTCAGAGAGACTCTGAGAGTCAAAGATCTTCTCAAAATCAAGAAATACAGCAAGTGTGCTTTTCCACTCGCATAACTACTCCATGATCTGCCTTAGTACAAATATGTGGTCGAGACAGAATACGCGAGAAAAAAAATGAATTATTTGCACTTAAATTGTGAAACAATACATGAAACAATTTAAAATCCTTTACAAAAATTAGCATACATAGCAATAATTATATTTATTATTGGAATACATTCCCAAAGGGGAAGTGTTGAAAATACATAGAAATTATATACATGCATGTTCCGGTATTCCATCTATAAGAGAATTACGAAGTCATTTCCTTTTACAGCTCACTGCTACAATCTTCACAGCTCTGAAAACAACTGTGACTTCTGGGCCAAAAATGGCGAGTGTGACAAGAATCCATTGTGGATGGCCAACAACTGCCAGCGTTCCTGTCAGCGATGTATGGCGGATTGCCGGGATACTTATGGAACAACAGAGTGTCAGCATTGGGCAAAGTCCGGGGAATGTATCAAAAACTACAAATGGATGCTCCAGAACTGTGCTCTCTCATGTGGCATCTGCGATTCAGGTACGTTTTCTACTTACTATTATATGTAAATGGATGAAGGGTATTTCTACCAAATAACAAATAACAAATAACTATACGTTAATTAAGTTGTCCCTGGTCTTGATCTGGGCACTGATTGATCATAAACGTACATGTAAAATAAAAAAAAATATATTCTGCTTATACATGTTCATTTAGTTTATTTGCTCTACTAATTATTCAAGTTCAAACGTTTCCCATGGGCTATTTATGAATTAAACTGTTACATATTGTATATGCTCAATATTTTAAAGGTACTCATTCAAAATACGCTTTTTGTTTTGTTAGATGATTTCCATTATCATATTGCTATTGTTAGGCAACCTTTCAAAAAATGTGATTTGTTAATGCAGACAGTCAGTAAAAATAGTACATTTTTATGATTGTTCCCTCTTTATTAAACTCAATTGATTTTTGTGACCACTTGTTACTTTTCCCCTTTTTTAAATGAAATGCATATTATTACAAGATGTATAAATCATATTTTTTTTATGTAATCCCGTTATATGATTATTTTTCACATCTATGATTCAACAGTAGAAATACTAGTATTTCACCGTGCGTCTTAACTATCGAAATTATTCAGATAATGATACATGATAACAGGGCTTTTCTCGTCAAAAGATGATTCCCCCCCCAAAAAAAAACCGTTTTGCCATTCACATCATGGTACAAATTAGTAGATTTAAATGAAAAAAAAATCTTTAGGTGTATTTCATCACATACTCATGTACAAGTATTTCATCAATATACAGTACTTTCAAAATAAAAACCGTACGTTTTACATTCATATCATGCTACCATTTAGTAAATTAAAATGAAAAAAAATCTTTAGGTGTATTTCATCACATACTCATGTACAAATATTTCATCAATATACAGTACTTTCAAAAGAAAAATCGTACGTTTTACATTCATATCATGCTACCATTTAGTAAATTAAAATGAAAAAAATCTTCAGCATTTTCAGGTGTATTTCATCATTAAGTGTTAGTTCGGAAATCAACGTAACTATTACAGAAATATATTGATACAGCTTTGATACACAATTTCAGCGATATATGGTGGTTTTTGGATTGGATTTCATGACAAAAAGGAAGAGATGTCGTTTGAGTGGTCTGATAGAATGAAAGTGACTTATACAACATGGGCTGACAAAGAACCAAACAACATGGGGCGGAGTGGTCAGGACTGTGTCATGATGAAGCTAGTGGTAAGGTATACCTTCATCATACTACGGATCTCACACTAATGTTTGATGCTAGTATTAAAATCTACCGGAATATTAAATTTTCACCATAGGATGGTAGATGGGTTGATTTTGATTGCAATGAAAAGATGCCTGGCTTTGTGTGTAAGACTGCCAAGAAGTTGGTTCCTAAAGCAACTGTGTCACCGCTTTCCATTGGTTGTTCAAATGTAAGATTTTTACGTTGTAGATGTAGTATACATTTATTTGAATATTTTTATGAACGTTGACTAAGTTCCAACTACATGCTATTACACACAATATGTAAAGTTCTTCAGTTCTGATTATTCGAACCATATTTTAAAGTAAATTAAATGTACATTTGGGTTACTGTATCTCATTTTATCAAAGTGATCGTGTAGGTTATTCACGCAACCTACTTCAATTCTTAGGGAAGTGTTGGGTACAACGCATTTTGCTATGGATTTTATGAAACTAACATGACGTGGAATGAGGCAGAACTATTTTGTGGGAATAGGAGTGGACACTTGGCAACTGTAAACGACAGGTACCCTATAAAAATGATGTAGCACCCATAGTCTTTAAAGACTTACCTTAACTACTTGCATCTCTATTTAACAGCATTCTCAGTCTAAAGACCTGCAGAATTTATTTAGATTTATAAAACATCATTGCATGTGGCTTTTATCAAAATATATTCTTATGAAGCATAATTTATTCAAAAAACCTTCTACATGAGAAGAAGAAATCACTTTATGTGGCTTTTATTGCGAAATTTTGATATATAGAAGACGTATTATCAATTAATAATAGTTATTTGCATTCACAATGCCAGTGAACTAGAAATAAAACACACCGTCTGTTTTGCTGTTGGATATTTTACTGACTTTAGACGTTAATAGCCACTTTACAACTAAACAATATGACAAATGGGATGACTTCAACTTTTTAAATTGTCTTCTTTATGCAGTTATTTTCCACAACCACCTTTATGTATGATGTTTATATCTCCTAACTTATTCGATACTCAAGAGCATGTTCCGAGTACGATCAATTTTTAGGTTGCTCAAAAATAATGTTACAGGGTTTCAACTATCTCCTTAAAAAAAGTTGAAAAAGCAGCATTTCACAAATTCTATGGTCGTTTAAATGACCTACTTTGCAAATAAAAACCTATCGTTCGGTCATATTTTGTTTGACATGTTCTCACAAATTGTTAGGTCATTTTTTTTAAATACCAATTTGACTACGGGTTATTTTGTTTACATGATCACTACAGAGGGCTCAGGGCGGGTGTGGACTGGTCAAAAGGGGGTGTTTGCTCCTCCTCCTAGGCACCTGATCCCACCTCTGGAGTTTCCAGAGATCCGCGTTTTTTCCGTTCACAATTGAAATTATTTACTGGATTTGTGAGTTTGATTGCAGTTATTTTTATCCTTTCCATTCTAAATATACCCCTTTTTTGTTTTAGATACATTCAATCCTTTGTTGCCAGTCATATAGTAGGAAGAAAAGGAAATTTTTGGGTTGGACTTACACAGAGTTACGACACTGGCATAGTTGAGTCCTGGACAAGTGGTCAGAGTGTCGGATTTACATACTGGGCAAACCAACACACAGGTTAGTAATACATGGTTTCCATACTGGGCAAAGCAACACACAAGTTACTCATACAGGGTTTACATACTGAGCAAACTAACACATAGGTAAGTAATACAGGATTTGCATACTGGGCAGACAAGCACACAGGTTAATGATGTAGAGTTTACCAGCATAAGAGTTAGAAATACAAGGTTTTCATTCTGGGCAAACCAGCAAATATATAAGCAATACAGGGTTTACATACCGGATAAACCAGCAAACGGGTTAGTAATACAACATACTCCATACAGTGTCACTTTCCCTGTGCATTTTATATGGAGTTGTAGCGTAACGTAATACTGAGCTGTCTGGAGCTTGGTAATACAAGGTATACATTCTGAGCAAACCTGAAAACAGGTTAGCAATACAGAGCTTACATACTGGACATATGGCATTTTGAGAACAAAACAAACGTAATATTTGAAAAGATAAAAGAAGAAAGTGTCATGGATCACAAACGTTTGTTTTATTGAACTTTGTGCTTATGTAAATATGAAGATAACGAACAGTTATCAAGCTCAAAAGTCCATTGGAACAATAGAAATTTGGAGCAGTACAAATATAGGCCTCCAAAACATCAGCGGTGGTATTAGGTGGCATGGAGGAGTAAGCATCCCATGTCCACTCGCCACACCCGCCGTGTGCTACTTGTTATGATCGGGCAAACGGAAAAATCTGTAGAAAATTCAGTGTGGAAATACGGCCTACCAGTTTGTATGTCCGTCAGTAAACGTTCGACTTGACGATAGATTGTATTTGCTAATAAAGTCTTTGTATCGACCAAAGAATTTTCGAAATGTCTTTAAACAAGAATGTTGATATCCTTATATCAACGATTTATTCGTCAATAATTTTAAAAATTGTTCGTATTTTGAGCATGTTCTTGCTTATCGAATCATCAGGGATCGAGACATGAACTCCTCATGCAAATGATAATGGTATAAAGCTACAATAATAAAGAAAGTTGAAGTCATCACGTTTATTATGAATTTTTATTGATAGTTTACAATTCTTTCTCTTGTACATGTAACATATCCAAGTATAAAACAGATATGTAAGACTCTGTTTCTGATTTGAACTTGTTGATCCTGTTAAAAAAAATGTATTTCAGCTGAATCGAAATGTCCCAAAATAAAGGATAAAAAAAGGAGATCTGTAGGAAAGAGACTTACCTCTTATGTTAATAGAAACGTAAATTTCAAGCACAATCTTTATACAGAAATTTCATCTTCTCTAAAATCTTTACTTTAATATTTTTTGAAAGTGTATATTGTCTAAACGTTTGGAGAATTGTTTGATAAAAGGATATTGTTATATTACATGCAATGTAAGTGATAAGAACCACAACTATAAATGACATTATTTTAAGGTAAAATAGAGGAAGATGGGTTCTGTGTTTCTATGTCGGCTGAGCATCCTGTTGGCTTATGGTATACTTTTAATTGTTCTAACCGTAATCCGTTTATTTGCGAATTCCCAAGAGAGGGTTTCACAACCCCTACTACATCCCAACCTACCACCACCATGACCAAACCTTGTGAAACGGGATGGAGTGAATATGAGGGAAACTGCTACAAGGTATTTAAGTTACTGATTGCAACATGCCATCTGAAACAAATATTATACTCTAGTGACAGACATTTTTTTCATATATTTTTTCCTAGTGTATATTTATTGCCCCGAAAAGGGTTCCAAAAAATGTCATTTCTGTTATCGATCGTTGTTGATTATACATACATATACAGAATTTCCCAAAAGAGAACTGGATGAATGCCAGAGACTCCTGTAGAAGGATGGGGGCTGAATTGACAAGCATTCATTCCTATGAAGAGAACCAGTTTCTTTTTTACAAATTTATTGAGTAAGTCATTAGAGAAATATTTAAATTGCAGTAGGTACTGACAATGATAAGTAAATAACCTTTTTAATGATACTTGTATAAAGATTGTGTTAGTTGTGCATATATATATAGTTTATTTGTTCGATTTTTAAGGTATATCGATCCCAGCTGGATAGGGTTAAATGACAGGGACTCGGAGAGAGGTATACGTTTCTTTAGAGTAACTGATTCAGGTGTTTCAACTTAAGATTTGTGTGTAAAAACAATTCTTTTTTTCTTGTTAATTTAGAAATATTTACTTAAATATTTTTTAGCTTGTGAGGGGTTTAACTTATTTTAACAAAGTAAAATTTTCCATAGATACATACAAACTTTTAAAAATTCAAGCCTGCTTATACAGATATCTGTGTCTTTAAAACGCATTTTTCATAAATTCAGAACATTTTGAAGTTGTCAGTAGTATATCCAAAAATTTGTCTAATTAACAGTTCACCCTTCCTTTCTATATGCAATGAACATGCTATATCACTTAAATCAAATTTGTTATAGGTTTTTCATGGGTAGATGGGAGTCCTGTAGATTTTACCAGCTGGGGAGATTCTGAGCCTAATGACTTCTATAACAACGAAGATTGTGTAGCTTTTTATAACACGTGGACAGCAGATTGGAATGATTGGAACTGCCAAACCATGTACAACTACATCTGTAAAATTCCAAAAGGTGCATGTATAACTACATCTGAAAATTCCAAATGTAGAACTACATTTGTAAAATCCTAAAAGGTGCATGTACAACTACATCTGTAAAATCCCAAAAGATGCATGCATAACTACACCTGAAAATTCCAAATGTATAACTACATTTGTAAATCCCAAAGAGGTGCAACTACATCCATAAAATTTCAAAAGGTACTTGTATAACTCCATCAGTAAAATCCCAAAAGGTGCATGCATAAAATCTATAAAATTCAAAAGGTTCTTGAATAACTACATCTGTAAAATCTTAAAAGGTGACTATATAACGACATCTGTAAAATCCCAAAAGGTGTCATTTAGTTTGTTACAATTAATTGTATATTATGTATTATAATGATAACGAACATTGATCAATGTCATAAATCCAGATAAGAGCACGATTGTGCTACCAGAGGTGGGATCGGGTGCATAGGAGGAGCAAGAATCCCCTGTTGACCGATCACATCCATTATGAGCCCTATCTATTGATCATTTGGAGTAATCCGTAGTGAAATTTAGTATCAAAAATAACCTGACAACTGGTATGAAATGTGTCAGACAAAATACTATCCAATAATAAGTCGTATTTGCAAACAATTAAGCCATTATATCGACTTTATAATTTGCGAAATGTGACTTTAAAAGAGGTTAAAATCACTGTTACTTCATCTTATTTCTCAGTAGGCTGCCTAGTTTAAAACTACATCTCTGTTATACTGTTGGAATTATACTAGCAGTGATCCTAGAAAATATTGCGAAATGTTTGTATTAAATGTCTCTAAAATATTGCATTAATGAAATAGAACGTAGTTTATTGTTACCCTCTATCTATTGACAGTATCCCTGCAGTTTTGATGGATACTCTTCCTTTTATTCTCTATGCTTCCTGTTGTTCGCTGTTGTTCAAAATAAGTGCTTTTGAGAACAGAAAGCACATGCGTTAATTATCAAGGTATTGTAAAACCTGGTGAAATTTTTTTAACACTGAGTATTTAAATATCTATTGTGTGAAACAAATATTAAAGATTCAAATAAGAATTCAGCTTAGAACGAGTTTGTAGGCCAGGGAAACTAATATTTACTGATCGAAGAAGGCTTAGATAGCTGCTCACCACCGAGTGTAGAAAAATGGGGTTAGTTTTCTAACTCTGCCAGCTCTATCCTTCTGCTGAATTCCTCTCCTTATTTCAGTATTTTGTCCCACGTGAAACAAAAATAGAAAGTAGAATGCTTAGTGTTTCAGACATGTCAAAAGTTTAAGAATCCTTTAACAATCTTTTGAAAATACACATTTATGATAAGCTTTCTGTTTTCAAAAGCACTCATTAGGTCACCTAAGTTTACTCAGGTGACCTATTGCTATCCGTTTTCGTCCGTTGGCGTGCGTCGTGCATTAAAATTTGAACATTTTCAGCTTCTTCTCTGAAACCGCTCAACCATTTCGACCAATTTTGGCATATAGCGTCTATGGGTGAAGGGGGACAAAATTTTTGAATTTCATGGTCCCTGTCCCCCCCCCCCCCCCCTACGGGACCTGAGGGTTTGGGCCAAAACCACTACAATTAATGCAATCTTTACAAATCTTCTTCTTAACTCCTTGACATCAAGCAGTCAAACTGTTGGCATGATTGTAATAAGCATTTAGCCCTCTACCAAAATTGTGAAATTCATGACCCCAGGGTCAGTGGTTCTGGCGCTAGGGCGGGGCTCTAATGATTATATAGTGAAAGTGCATTATTTCTTTAAAAATCTTCTTCTCTGCTCCTAGGTATTTAGGAGATAAACCAAGTATATAGTTATGATGAGCAAGGACAACTCTTTCAAAATTATGATATCGTGGTCCCTGGGTCAGCGGTTCTGGTGTTAGGGCGGGGCTCTATTGAATATATAGTGAAATGGCATTAATTCTTTGAAAACCTTCATTGCTCCTGGGTATATAGCAGATAAACTAGGTGCATGATATGGTGATTAAGGATGCCTCTACCAAAATTGTGAAATTTGTGTCCCCAGGGGTTCATGTTGGGGAGGGGATCTATTAAATGTATAGTGTAATGCATTTTTTTGTTGAAAATTTTCTCTGCCCCGGGATATTTAACAGAAAGAACTAATTGCATGGTTATGACGAGCAAGGAAATCCTTTCAAAAAAGTTAAAATTCATAACCCAGAGGTCAGGGATTTTGGTGTTAGGGTGAGGCTCTTTTGAATATATAGTAGAAATGCATTATTTCTTTGAAAATCTTCGTCTTTGCCCATTGTTATTACTAAGAACGTGGTTATGATGAGCAAGAGTGCCTCTTGCAAAATTGTGAATATCTTGGCTCCTGGGTCAGGGGCATTGGTATTAGGGTGGGGCTATATTAAATCTATACTGAAAATCTATTATTTCCTTGAAAATCTTCTCTGCTCCTGGGCATGTAGGAGGCAAATAGAGTAACTGAGTATAAAAAGTTGTAATAAGCAGGGAAGTTTTTATCAAATTTTGAAATTCTGTATCCTTTGGTCAATTTATTTATTTCTACCGAAAGAAGTTATTCCCCTTTGCTATTCACCTATAATACTTAATCACTGTAAAAAACGTAACTTAAAAGGTCAATTGAATAACAGAATTATGCAAAAATTTTTATAATATTTAATACAAAAGTACTTTCATAGTTTTTAATGGTCAGATAAACTTTTAAATAATAGATAAACGAAAATGGGACAAAATTACCATATCTTTGTACAATAAATAAATTCTTTAAAGATCAAGAGAGGCCAATGTGAGAGGGGGTGAATTGTGTTAACTAATAGTGCTCTAGAACTATTGCTTTGTTTAGTCCGCATGAGGATAGTGACAAATGGGGAAGTACAGGCAAATAAATAGATCTTCTTTAAGATTTGTTATTGAGTACTACATGAAATATATGGAGATAACGAACAGTATTCAAGCTCAAAAGTCCATTAATCAATACAAAATAGGAGCAGAGCAAACACGGACCTCCAAACATCAGAGGTGGGATCAGGTGCCATGGAGGAGTGAGCATCCCCTGCTGACCGGTCACACCCGCCGTGTGCTCCTTGTCATGATCGGGAAATAACGGAAAAATCCGTCGACAATTCAGTGTGTAAATAATGGCCTAACAATTAGTATGAAAAACGTCAGTCAGCATTTGACTCAATGATAAATTGTATTTGCTGACAAGGTCATTGTATCGACCATAGAACTTACGAAATCATGACTTTAAACGAGACAGCTGATATTCTTGTTTCATCAACTTATTTGTCAATAATTTACCTCGTTTTAGAAATTGTACATACGTAGAGCATGCTCTTGCGTATCGAATCAACTGAGAGATATATACCCCGTATGCAGGTGATGAAGGTATATTGCTGCATAAGTAAGGGAAGTTGACGATTGAAAAGTTAAAGTCATCACGTTTATCATAAAGCTTGGTTGTTAGATTACCATTAACGTCTTTTTCAAGTAAAATATCCAAATATGAAACAGATGCGTCAGACTCTGTGGTATCTTTTATCTCAAGTTCACAAGGATATATCGTATCGACATAAGAATGGAAATAGCCATTGTTAATTGACAATACGTCATCGATATATCTAAATGTCGAGTTGAAGGCCACAGCAAGTGTTTTCTTCTTTTCACATACAAGATTTTGGACAAATTCTGCTTCATATGAATACAAAAAAAAGGTCTGCTGATAACGGGGCGCAATTGGTACCCATGGGAATTCCAATAGATTGTTGGAAGACCTGGTCCCCAAAAACCACATAGATATTGTCAATCAGAAACTCAAGCATCTTTTTAATGTCAACTTCAGAGTACTTGTGTGAACAATCAGAATGTTTTTTTTACATGTAAATTAATAATTTGCTGATCCCCGATCATCCTATACTTCTTGCATTTGGGCAACAATTAAAGCTTTATTTATCAGCTTATTTTGTTTTAATCTCTGGATCATTACATTATATTCAGGTGACCGTTAAAGCCCTTGGGCCTCTTGTTTTAGTAGTTGTAATTGAAGGAATTATGCAAAGTAAAAGGTAAGTAATTCATGAAAACTGCAAATAAAAAAAGGAAGCAGAAAGTATTGTCCTTTGATAAAAATTTTACATCAAACTAAGAATATTTTATTTTTACAATATTTAAAAAATTAGCAAAAGGCTCAATGATGTCTTTCAAAAGCTGTTGTAGTTTTTCTTTTCAAAAAACAAAACAAAATAAAAGACCAAATGGATATTTATGATCAAAATTTTTCTCATGTGCACAGAAGGGTTTATATACGTAATGTATAATCTAACCTATAAAACGAACGCTAATTTTGACTTTTTGTTACGATAATGTGGCGTGAAAAATGTTGCAGTATTATAAGAACAGGAAATCGTGTGTTATATTTGATAAAACTTGTGATTTTTATTCAAAATCTTCTTATTCATATTCGTAAACTTGTGATTCAAATTCTAAAATCTTGTGATTTATATAAGTAAATTGTTTTTTTCATATTCTTAAACTTGTGATTACTTAAGACGTACTTTTTTCTGCGCGGGATAATTAACGCTATGTACACTATCACTTATTTTCCGCGGAATTTTTTCTTAATTTTTTCTTAAGTAAAGCGCATTACAAAGAAATACAATGACAGTCAAGAAATCCGCTTGATTTTCTACTTGCGGATTGAACAGAAATTGTGATTCCGCGGAATTATAACGTACATTTACAGTATACTGGTATGCAATATAAATCACAAGATCAAAATCAAATATAGATAAAAATTTCTGAGTATAAATAAGTTTTCGAATATGAATATCAACTTTTCTCATATAAATCACAAGATTATCAAGTATGAAACCTAAGTTTCTGTATATAAATAATAAGTTTTCGAATATGAACATCAGCTTTTCGAATATAAATCTAAAGATTTCGCTTATAAATCAGAAGATGGTTTTTATAAATCATAAAAATTATCAAAAATAAATTACAATATTCAGAATATGAATCACAAGATTATGAATATTTATAAATATTTACTTGGAAGAACTGAATCTGACATGAATACGCAAAACTTTTCCAGATGATTCGAAACTTGTTTTAAAATCAATTGATAACCAAACTCTTTCTGTGAGGAGTGTTTTAGGAAGTATATCACCTAGTGTAGAGACACAATCCTTTGCATTGTGTATATAGATATTTTTATAAATTCTTTTGTTGCTATTCATTTGCATTTATGTAAAGGTTTCTCTATACACTCTCAGATTTCTATGTAAATAGTATAAGCTATATTTATGTTTAATAGTTTATGTTTTTCATAGCGTTATTCGAAAAGGTACATCAAATACATGTACCTTTTATTTTTTTTTCAAATACATAACATTATGATGTTTCATGTTGAAGTTATTTCCCTATTTGTATGAATTTTATTAATTTGTTTTATATATATATATTTTAATTAAATTAAATTAAATGATGTTGTTTTTTTTTAGGCATGCCTGTTTTAAATGTAGACAATTATACTATACCAGAGCCAGGTAAGATATCTAGAAAATTTGATTATTCAGCTGATCAAACAATGTTAAAATTTCACAAATGATAAATAGTGGATAAATGTTATTCTATTCACAGAAACAGTAATTATAGATATTGACATTAAATCGTCTCTGTTTTAAATATAATCAGTTAACATTATATATCATTCGACATTACTATTGCGTATAATGATAAAGAGCCTTGTGTTGGCAGTGCATTCGATGTTGGTGGTATATGATGCATCTATTGTAATGTATTCCTCATTACAGCCTTGTGTTGACAGTAGATTTGTGTATATCGATTTTGTTGGTCTATGATGTTTCTTTCGAAATATATTTTGTAATATGTTTCTCATTACAGAGCCTTGCGTTGACAGTAGATTTGTGTATATCGACGGATTATGTTACTTCTTTGATACTTCAAAAATGTAAGTTGATATATGATTTTAGCCGGAGAAAGCGTTGTTGGAAATGAGAACAACTTATGTTGCAACGCGAAATGAAATAACAACGCAAAATGTAATAAGCCAGGATTATTTCATTTTGCGTTATATTACATTTTGCGTCGAAATCAACGAAATAATGCAAGTTCCATTTCAAGGGGTCAAATATAATGTGACGATTTCCTGGCTTTCAGACATGGCAATTTTTATTTAAAATTTTTATTTTTATTTTTTTTGAAATGCAGAAGGACATGCCCATATTTTGTGTTTATGTATATTTGAGTAACTAGTATTTGATTCGTCAATTACATCATTGATTAAATTCCACCGATTTTAAATCTTTGTATTCAGTGGATATACAATTTTTATAATAGGAACGTATAATGCAAAAATTTACTAGGAAACAAAAACTCAAAATTTTATAAGACAGCTTTATTTATGCATAAACAAAGGAAAATTATATAGAAGACCTTAACAACATTTCATTCTCTTAATCGACTCATCCACTTTGGCACAATACCTAATATCGTTTTTGTATTGTGTTCAACATCATGAAACTGATTTAAACATAGCTTTAATATTACAAAATGTGAACAGGTTCCGTGTCGTTATATTTTTATTTTATTACATTTTGTGTTGCCCTCAACGTAAAAATTAAATAACGCAAAATGTAATAATAAAAAACGTACATCATTGTATTCTGCCTTAATATCGACGCAAAATGTAATTACGCAAAATGTTATAATCCTAAAAAGTCTGTAATTACATTTTTCGTTGATTTCGACGCAAAATGTAATAACGAAAAATGTAATAATCCATGTTTATTACATTTTATGTTGTTATTACATTTTGCTTTGTTACAAACCTATTTATGGTTTTGCTTTTCTTACAGTAAGAGGACGTGGTACGAATCCGAGGAAGTTTGTAACAATATGAACGCCAGTTTGGCCACAATCACCTCTGAATATCAACATGATGTACTCTTTTATTATGTGAGAATTTATTGATTTAACACCTTTAAGATTCTTTTGTATTGGTTATGGTTTTCCTTACTGTATTTTCTTCCTTCTGTATTTTCTTTTTCAAACTTTTTCCATGTGGTGTGAATTCTCAAGAATACTAATTGCGCCCCGTTATTAGCAGACCTATTTCTGTATTCACATGAAGCAGAATTTATGCAAAAGTTTTACCTTAAATGTCAGCAAATATAATCTGTCATTAAATCGAATGCTGACTGACGTTTTTCAGACAAATTGTCCGGCCATTATTTTTACACTGAATTGTCTACGGATTTCTCCGTATGCCTAATCATAAGAAGGAGCACACGTCGAGTGTGACCCATTGACAGGGGATGCTTACTCCTCCATGGCACACGATACCATCTCTGATATTTTTAGAGGTCCATGTGTGCTCTTCTCCAAATAAGTATTGTTTCTTTGGAGTTTTGAGCTTGATTACTGCTCGTTATTTATATATATTTCATTCATGAATTACATGTGTATATTCACTACTAATATTAATGTTCCAACGTTCTTAAATACATTTTAAAAAATTATTATTAATTTTCAAAGTGAAATATTGCTTTACTGCTCAGCTAAAGAATGGTTTCAATTTTCTATATGCCGTTTAAACAGTCTTATATATATAATAGCTACAGAAAAAGGAGCAAGATGACTCTTTTTGGATAGGATTAAACAATATTGATCATGAGGGGTGGAGGTAAGAAAATGTACTTGTATTTGACTCCTTAGAGTGTGCTATTTTGAGCCCTGTAAATGAATAAAAATAAGGCTTTGTCGGTATCGTTCTTTTCGTTATGTCAGAGGTGGAAGCTTTTGTTGTTAAATTTTCCATAAAGTTGTCTTTTTAAAAATTTTTTAAGTAAAAATATTAAATTTTAGTTATATTTGATTTCTTTTTTCTTGTATCCCGATTTTCATGGGTAATTTTTATTCAATTAACAGACAACCTTGCTCTTTTAATTTATAAACAGATTAATTTTTGTACCATGTGGAAAAACAAAATATTTATTCAAAATATATTCTCCCTCTCTCTCTCTCTAGATGGTCTGATGGTACAAAAGTAATCAGCTTTGTTGGTTGGGCTACAAGTGAACCAGTCGAAATCCCTACTAAGCGATGTGTCTATGAATGGCCAGATTCAAGTAGGTCAAAGTATAAATAAATGCTAAATGTCACAACTCCAGCAATGTTAGGCTTATTTATGAACTACATAAATATTTAGGTCCTTCTGTAAACAAGTTTTGTGTTAAGTAGAAGAAGGACCTTGAACTAAACCCCCCCCCCCCCAACTTTTCTTTCATTTTTAAAAAATACTTTGTATATTATTTAGTCCCAAAAATCTTCAAGCGGTTCTTTCATCAGGTTTCTTACCTCATTTTAAAGACAAATACGTGTACATGTATTACAGTGTCTATATGGAGTTCTGATTTTTCATGTTTACGGACTCATTTTTTTCTGTTCATAATGGGAATTTTTACTCACAGATTAAAATATATGTGGACAAGTATCTTTCATATCTTTCAGAGTATGAATAGATTTTAAATTAAATGCATTGTTTTCAGGATAACTTTAACAACAAAAACAAGAACAACAAATACATGCTTGCAAAAATTCTATCACTCATTATTTAAAAATTTACATTGAAACTTGAATCCTTCTTTTATTGATTAATTGTAAAATGTCGAAAGGTGAAGCTTACCTCAGTAGTACACAGGACAACGTTTTTGAACAAGCATGATAAAAACGCTTCATGTTAACATTTCTCAAACTATGACGTCACACGTAAGCTAAGTAACCGAAATAAGAAATAACCGCACAGAATTTCGGCTACCAACCACGCAAAAATAATTTTTTAACAAAATACCTCACCATGTGCTGATTATGACCTGTTTTTACAAATTCTTACAAAGTGTTACAAATTTACACAAGTACTTATGATTGAAATAATGTTTGCTTCTACATTATCAGAGAAAATTGAGTCATGTGACTATATGTACTTCTAATATATAATGAACATCAGATTTATTTCATGAGACAAATTTTGTTGTAGGTCGCTGGTATACAAGTAATTGCAATGTGAAATTGAGTGGTTTAGTTTGTATGAAGAAGAATGCCTCCTACGAGGTTGTCACCACACCAACCACACCCATGCAACCCTGGGGTTGTCCATCAGGCTTTATAGAATCTCAGATAAGTAAGTAGATACGAAATTTCCTTTACATGGTCATTGATATGTTTTCACACAGACACACACAAATGTATATATGTTTATTACAGATAACAAATGTTACAAAATAGTTCAGTACTCAACATTAAGCTTTAATGAAGCGAAGCAGGCGTGTAGCAAACTAGGAAAGGACTTTTTCCTTGTTTCAATTCATTCAGCGATTGAAAATGGTAAGTCGAAATTTCAACTAAATCTTGAATACATTTTGAAGAGAATAATTTGACCCGTTAAGATTAATATCATTGTAATACTGTTGTCATATTAGTATGACTTTAAGAATATCACTTTATTTATTCTTTTAACATATTTGCATAAATTTATAGATAGGTTCAGTTTGTGTATTTTAGATTTTGTAATTCCTATGTAAAGGTCCTAAAACAGATATTGTTCTTTTTAAGGAGGCTGGGGGGTCAACAAATTAACCACAAATTAACCACCAGATTTAACTTAATTTTTTAGATATGATATTTTAAGCTGTCAACTATCATTTGGCAAAGAAAAATTTCAAAAATTTTAGTTTTAAAATTTGATCATTTTCTATATCTTCATATGAAACTCTTCTTCTAAAGGAGATCAATATAGTCTAAAAATGGCCACAACCCCCCAGCCTCTTTAATATTATTTTGTAGCACTAAATTTATTAAAAGTATGATGACTTATAGAATCAACTATCATTCGTATATTTTGTTTATCACTCTGAAGGAAATTCAATTTGATAAATTTTGTAGCTGACATATTAGCAAGTCATGTACAAGAAAAATAAGCTTTGATAATTTTTGACAGCTTTCATAGCGCTTCAGCTCGATACCACGAAATCAACAAATCTGTGGATTGGTCTTAGCGATGAAACCTTTGAATCCCAGTTTATTTGGCTGGACAATTCTCGGGTAGACTTCACCAACTGGGATGAAGGGGAACCAAACTCATATACTGTAAGATTTACCCTCTTTGAATCTCAGATATGTTTTTCCTCACAATAAAAGGAATTTAGCCAATAAATATACGCCTACATATAAAGAAGATTGTGCATAGCACTAACGTCGATTTCCATGATTTCAAATGCGCTTCTTTTCAATATTTATTGCTTACAGGAATTAAATGATTTTAATTTTTTATTAACTTCCGATTTTAATTTGATATTTTAGAATTTCTGTTTCATTTAATAATAGACAATAATAGACAAAAAACGTGCAACTGGATCAGGCAAAATTTATGTTTCTATACACATAAATGTGTTTCTAATGAAAATTTTGACATTCTCTGATCACATTTTTTTTGTCTGAACAATTACGGCAGTTTAACAAAAATAGATACACATGGAATTTCTTAGTACCTCATTCTTACGAGCTTAGATATGAAGCTTCCTCTCAGGTTCCTATTCAGCACTTAAATTATTAATAGCATATTTCCAGTAACTCAAAGAAAAGTGTAGGTACAGAAGTATGAAATAAGAATATAACAAACTCTAATCAAGCTGAAAAGTCCATTGAGACAAGAAAAATTTGGAGCACAGCAAATACGGACCTCTAAAAACATCAGGGGTGGGATCAGATGCCATGGAGGAGTATAGACGTTTTATTTTTTAGGAAAACTGTGCGGAGATGATTGCTTACGGTGACGGTGTTGGGAGGTGGAACGATGTGCCCTGTTCTGTAAGAAGGAGCTACATCTGTCAGACAAACAAAGGTACATCTCTTAAGAAAATGATCATTACAGGAGCACTTCTATCAGTCGTTTATATCTAGATAGGTTGTATCATGGTGGGGGAATGGAATTGCACATAAAATGATGTCAGAACAAATTTCTAAAGGTCAGATGACACATTCCTCAATAGTATATAACTTTTCCCAAGAATTTGTCATTGAAGTACTGCTACTTTTACAAGTTCCTTACAACAAATTGAGGTACCTTACCAGGCATTTGTGCAAGATATAAGAGAATGCTATTTACTATATAGTCCTATTGGAAATCACTAGCATTGCAAATATTACAAGTTTTTGGTGCTTTTTTCTACTTAGACATTTTGAAAACAGTTTAAAAATCACAAGACAATGATAATTCTGATTAATTTGTTGTATATTACGAAGATATAAAAAAGAGATATTCAAGCAACGTGTCGTCAGACCTTAAAATATAAACATAGTTTTCGGTATTTCAACAAAACCTAACATAAACCAGCATATATATGACAACATAACAAATTCATAAAAAGATCTCCCCGACCCTATAAAGATGCAGAATTTGAGTATTGTCTTCTCTTTTTCTTTATCTTTAGCTTTGAGATATCCAACTCAAGCTACACTAGTGTCAGGGTGTCCAAGTGATTACACCAGCAGTGCTGGCAGCTGTTTCCGCGTGATTGAATCTGCCATGGACTTTGATGCGGCTCAGGCTACCTGCCAGGTAGATGGTGCAAACCTGGCTTCTATAAACTCTGCATATGAACAAATGTCAATTGAAATAATTAGCAAAAATATTGCTGGAGCCTTATGGATTGGATTGAGGCATCGGGTAAGTAAAGTATTGAACTGAAAAGTTACTATAATAAATATCTGTACTTAAACTAGAATTGCTTTGACGCACGCTTTACTGCGTCATGGATATATGAACCAATTAATTATAAGCAATCGAATCCTTATATTTATTTATAATATGCGACTTAATCTCGAACAGTGATATACTGTGTATCTAACATATGTAATGAATAGTTAAAGAATAAATTTCATTCTATTTAATGACACACGATAACGGAATCAAGCTTCTTGTGCCAATAGAACAAGGTAATCTTAATCATTTTGTATTCCAATATCACAGAAGGGCATCATTTTATTTTTGTAAACGTTTGGATTACATGTAATCAGCATACAATGCAGATTATAAAAAATCCTAAATCATTAACAATTTTCAGGATAATCCTAAATCTTTAATAATTTTCAGGACGATGTACATTTTTGGTTAGATGGCTGGCCATACACTTACTCCAAATGGGCAGCTAATGAACCAAGTTTAAAACCAGGCGAGAATTGTACCGTGTTACTAAATACGGAGTGGAAGGACACACAGTGTGATCTTAAGTATCCTGCCATCTGCAAATACACATCAGGTACCCGTATACATTCTTATGATTGCAGTCACAGTAAACAAACTGAATAAAGTATTTATATCTGTGATCCTCTAAGCAGCACATTGTTATTAAATACAGCATAGAGTTTCTCTAACTTACTCTAACTTAGTTAAAACTATAAGATAAACAAAACAATATCATTTCTACAAAATAGGTTGAAAAGGGGGTTTTCTTTTTAACACTACACACAAAAGCATTCTAAATCTGGTATTCAATGCAGTGAGATTTATCTGCCCAAAGATTTGAAATAAAATCAATTGAAATTATCAAAGGATATATATTTTATTTAATTGTAATCAATTTAAGAATTCTCGAAAGCCAGAATGCATTAAGTGAACACTTTATAAGCAGATATTCCCCCTATTTAAGTAAGGAAGTAAGGAGCATTGGTTTCTGTTCATGGATATCTTAATGTCTTTTAATTTTTTTTTTCCTACGGGTAAATGGCTGGTACCAATATATATATATATATATATATATATATATATATATATATATATATATATATATATATATAGTCTCACTTTGTATTCATATTCAGCATTAGTAGGTAACATTTGTTTTCTACAGAGAAGCCCCCTACCACCCCTCTTCCGGGTAAATGTCCCATCGACAGCTCCAAATTTCAGAGAAACTGTTACTTTGTGGAACCTAAGGGAAGAAAAACACGACCCGAAGCCAAAGCCTCATGTATTGCTCGAAACATGACTCTAGTGACATTTAGAAACATACAGGAGGTGGAACATGTTCGCCAGCTTTCCAATTCTAAAGGAGGCAACAGCAAGACCCGCTTGTGGATAGGCTTATCCAGGAGCAGTTCAAGTGGGGGAGAGGATGAGGATTATTATTATGATTTCTCATATGGACGAGGTTCGGATGCAGGTGGGCCATATTTAGAATATCCCTATAATGTTGCTTAACTGTTTCCGATAAATAGAAAGATAAATTCAAATACTATTAGTTTAAGGTCAGAGTTTGCTTTGGTTTATTCCTCACAATGACAAATGTAATATACTATGAATATTTATAGCTCACCACGTACTGTCAAATCAAGTATTGCACTCTGGCTTCAAAATAAGATTTGGTATAGTCCTCAGAAAGATACGAGAAAGTCTAACCATACAAAATAAATTTATTTCACTTGTGAACCCAGAGAAGGATAATAGTATGGGGTTAAAATGTACACAACATGTGTGTGAATATACATTTAAAATCTCCCAAAGAGAAAAAAAAAAAGAATTTTGATAAATAGATATGCAAATATTTCAATCTAATAGAGATTGGAGTTTGGTCAAATCAATGTCAATATTAATATTTTAGATAATATATTGAGAGGAACTTATTTATAACCATTTCCATTCATTGTTCCTCCCTTATTTTTCTCTCTTTTGTGGAGTGTGTGCAAGAAGATGACCTTATTTCTATCTTTGACAGAGTTTTTGTAAAAAGATGCTCTTCTTTCATATATCAATCTTTTATGGAGTTTTTGTGGGAAGATGACCTTATCTCTATCTTTTATAAAGTTTGTGTAAGAAAATGACCCTATTTCCTATTTTATTTTATAGAGTTTGTGTGGGACCTTATTTCTATTTGCAAGAAGATAACTTATATTTCCTTTTTTTATTTTATGGAGTTTTTGTGGGAAGATGACCTTATTTCTTTCTTTGTCCCTTCTTTTATATAGTTTGTGTATAATGATGACCTTATTTCCTTCTTTTATAGAGTTTGTATGTAATGATGACCTTATTTCCTTCTTTCATAGAGTTTTTATAAGAAGATGACCTCATTTCTTACTTTTATAGAGTTTGTGTTGGATGACTTTTGTAGAGTTTGTGTGTAATGACGACCTTTTTTTCCTTCTTTTATAGAGTTTGTGTGGGATGATGACTTTATTTTCTTCTTTTATAGAGTTTGTGTGGGATGATGACCTTTTTTCCTTCTTTTATAGAGTTTGTGTGTGAAGATGACCTTTTATCCTTCTTTTATAGAGTTTGTGTGTGAAGATGACCTTATTTCCTTCTTTTATAGAGTTTGTGTGGGATGATGACCCTTCAAATACATTTGAGAACTGGAACAGAGATGAACCGTCTGGGTCCTGGGGACATGAATCCGAAACATGCGTAGAAATGTTAGATACAGGAAAGTTCAACGATATCAATTGTGATAATTATTACAAGGGATATGCCTGTTATGGTCCTGAACGTAAGTATTAGCTGATATACGAAATGTGTTTTACATTATATGCGACTAAGTCATCGTCATTTTGAAGTTTCAAGTGATTTTGAAAAGATTATACAACATTATACAAACCGTTTGAAAGATTGTCATATTTTTATTTAAATACACGAGTCTATAAAAAAAATAAGACAAACTTTTAGATTCCAGAAATATTGTCTAGAGTTCAATCCTTTCTTTAAGTAAGCGGTATGCCGTAGTATATTGTAATTATGTTGGAATAAGCTAATTATCTAAGTAACTTTTTCAATGATAATCCATATATACTGAGAAAAAAACTGAATAAATTTCAGTCAAAATGTAGAAGAAAGGCCTGAATAAGTTGTATGTTGATGATGTCATAAGCAAAGGGAAAAGGACTCCCCTTGTATTTTCTACAATATGTATGAGTAAGTGTTAAATTTTCAGAGTTTGGAACAACTTTACCCATGACAAAGTCTTCTACTCTCTCTTCTTCTCCACTATATACAACTCAATCTCAGCACAGTTCGGCAGGTAAATCATCTTATGATGTCAAAAAGTTGTCACCACAGCCATCAGTATCAACTTCCGCTGTGTCAGATAACACAATCAGCACTAGTACAGATCAGCCAGTGAAATCACCTAGTAAAACAGGCAAATTACCAAGTAGAAAGATAAAATTAGGTAAGTAAGTCTATCTATTATACGCAAGAATTAAGATCAAGAAAATACCATCCTAATTGATAAGAATAATAATATGGTAGGGAATCATTCCGTATTTTTTAATATATAGCCAAAAACTTATGATTCATCACATTTATTAGAACTTTAATTTTTTGAAAGCTTTGCATTCACTGATACCGAGAGAGTGATGAAATCCTTACATCTTAATGTATTTATTTACTAAAAAAGATATGATTAGAGATGTCTCACTCCAGAGTGTACCTGTCCTATGATTAATATCGATGCATAAAGTAACTTTCATTTCAAATTTGACACTTTTAATTTACTCAACAGCTAATTAAAAAAATCAAATAAAAGAAGACCATCTAGGTTTTATTATTAGCTCACCTGAGCTGAAAGCTCAAGTGAGCTTTTCTGATCACCCGTTGTCCGTCGTCCGTCCGTCTGTCCGTCTGTCCGTCCGTCCGTCCGTCTGTAAACTTTTCACATTTTCAACTTCCTCTCAAGAACCACTGGGCCAATTTTAACCAAACTTGGTACAAAGTATCCTTGGGTGAAGGGGAGTGTAAATTGTTAAAATAAAGGGCCAAGTCCCTTTACAAGGGGAGATAATCAAGAAAAGACAAAAATAGGGTGGGTTCATTAAAAAATCTTCTTCTCAAGAACCACTGGGCCAGAAAAGCTGAAACTTATGTGGAAGCATCCTGGGATAGTGTAGATTCTAAATTGTTAAAATCATGACCCCCGGGGGTAGGGCGGGGCCACAATAGGGAATCCAAGTTTTACATTGAAATACATAAGAAAAATCTTTAAAAATCTTCTTCTCAAGAACCACAGGGGCAGAAAAGCTTAAACTTATATGGAAGCATCCTGGGGTAGTGTAGAATCTAAATTGTTCAAATCATGACCCCCGGGGGTAGGGCGGGGCCACAATAGGGAATCCAAGTTTTACATTGAAATATATAGGAAAAATCTTAAAAAATCTTCTTCTCAAGAACCACTGGGCCAGAAATACTGAAACTTATATGGAAGCATGCTGGGGTAGTGTAGAATCTAAATTGTTCAAATCATGACCCCCGGGGGTAGGGCGGGGCCACAATAGGAAATCCAAGTTTTACATTGAAATATATAGGAAAAATCTTTAAAAATCTTCTTTTCAAGAACCACTGGGCCAGAAAAGCTGAAACTTATGTGGAAGCATCCTGGGGTAGTGTAGATTATAAACTATTCAAATCATGACCCCTGGGGGTAGGGCGGGGCCACAATAGGGAATCCAAGTTTTACATTGAAATATATAGGAAAAATCTTAAAAAATCTTCTTCTCAAGAACCACTGGACCAGAAAAGCTGAAACTTATTTGGAAGCATCCTGGGGTAGTGTAGATTGTTAACTATTCAAATCATGACCCCCTGGGGTAGGGCAGGGCCACAGTAGGGAATCCAAGTTTTACATTGAAATACATAAGAAAAATCTTTACAAATCTCTTTCTCAAGAACCACTGGGCCAGAAAAGCTGAAACTTATGTGGAAGCATCCTGGGGTAGTGTAGATTCTATATTGTTTAAATCATGACCCCCGGGGGTAGGGCGGGGCCACAATAGGGAATCCAAGTTTTACATTGAAATACATAAGAAAAATCTTAAAAAATCTTCTTCTCAAGAACCACTGGGCCAGAAAAGCTGAAACTTATATTGAAGCATCCTGTAGATTATAAATTGTTCAAATCTTGACCCCTGGGGGTAGGGCGGGACACAATAGGGAATCCAAGTTTTACATTGAAATATATAAGAAAAATATTTAAAAATCTTCTTTTCAAGAACCACTCGACCAATAAAGCTGAGACATATTTAGAAGCATCCTGAGGTAGTGTAGATTCTAAATTGTTCAAATTTTGACCCCCGGGGGTTGGGCGGGGCCACAATAGGTATATTAAAAGGGGGGAAATCTGGTAAAGAACAGCATGGCCAAAGTTACTCAGGTGAGCGATGTGGCCCATGGGCCTCTTGTATATATTTATTTTATTATTATTATTATATTTTTGCCAATTTATATAATTATATACCCCCAAGAAGGTAAATACTAGATACAAATGTTCTTGTTTTTATCTTGAGGCACAGTAATACATTTGGGGACATCGGAAATAACGGCTAACGTGTAATGAAGCATGGAGAACCTGCCATGTTAAACAATCAATAAAGGGTATAATTCTTAGATTGTAGCTACGGTCGGTGACACGATCGGAAAATGTAATGTGTAATATAAATCACTTATCATGTTAAGCAAAAGGTTTAAGGTATATTATTGTATTTGAGTGTGAAAAGACTTCACCAAGGCTGGGACAAAAGTGTGAGGAAAGGGAGAGCTCTGTTGTACGAGTTTTCTCTCGTCGAACATGTGTTAATGGTGTGTTGCGATTTTTTCCCATTACATGAATTACCTAAGATTATTCGCTGTCAAATGCTAGATCATATGCGCTTAAATTCATGGCATGTAGCATTCAGACGTTGTATGAGCTAGGGAGTGTTGCTCTTGACTATAAATATTTTTCAACCAATTAATTATTTTTCATGCAATTAAATAACATGTACATTGAAAGTTAAATAAATATTTATCAAAACTTACATGTAAGGTAAAGATCTCTAAGAAAAGTTCAACTAAGGACATTTTGCTAATGTGCTCATTTGTGTTGATTTTTGTTTCCAGAACGCAGTGCCTCTGATGGACTGACAGCGGGACAAATTATAGGCATATTGATTGGAACGGTTACATTACTGATCATTATTATTGTGATATTATTGGTTAGCAGACATTATCTGCGGACAGGAAAATATGGTGCCAGTGATGATCATGGATTTACTAACGCCATGTATCTAAAGACTGTGGAATCGGTCTCTGTATCAGGTGAAGGGGCTCTGAAGAATAATTCTTAACTCCATAAAAGGAACAATGGCTCTTGTCGTCAATCATTTACATCTAATCATGTGGATGTATTAGTCTTAGTGAAAATTGATGAACATTTGTACGAAAATCAATAATGTTATTTACTTTTTCACTTGCCTAAATCATTTTGTAAAGAAAGGTTTCCTTTCCATCAACATCGTCAAAGGAAGCTCCGCTAACACAAATTTCTGACATATCTGTACATACTAGTATTTTATTCTGAACACAAATTTCTGATTTATCTGTACATAAGTAATAGTATTGTATTCTGGTCATATTTGCGAGTTATAATTAAAAATAGAAATTAATGTGTGAAAAGAGGATTCTTATATATATTTTCTGTTTTCTTAATATGTCATTTTAAACACTTATCTAATAATTTCATAATCCTCATTTTTATCGTTTTTTTTTTAAATCTTTGAGTTCCTTAATAAATGTTTATTTTTACAATTGAATTGTTTTTCATCACCCGAGTGTAAAAAAGACTTTAAAATGTAAAAAAAAAAAATCCTTTTCATTAAATTACAACTCGCACTAACGCAAATTAATTATATATCTGTACATGTATTGTATTCTGAACATGCTTGCGAATCATAATTAAAATGAATATTATTGTGTGAAAATCAGCATTCGTATTTAGTTTTCCATTTTCTTAACGTTATTTAAATCAATTATTTCCAATCCACATTTTATATCGTTTTTAGCCCATCTAAGCCGAAGACTCAAGTGAGCTGTTCTGTCTGTCGTTGTCGGCGTCGTTGTCGTTAACTTTTCACAATTTCATCTTCTTCTCCAGAACTTATTGGCCAATTTCAACCAAACTTGGCACATAGTATTCTTGGGTAAAGAAGACAATTTTTTTTAAATTAAGGGCCACGCCTTCTTCCAAGGGGAGATAATAAATTAACGGCATCTTTTTAAAAAATTCTTCTCAGGAACCACTTGGTTAGCAAAATATGAAACTTATATGGAATCATCCACAGAAAGTGTAAGTTCAAGTTTGTTTAAATCATGACCCCGTAGATAGAGTGGGGCCACAATAGGTGTTCAAGGTTTTACATAGGAATACATAGAAAAAATCTTTAAAAATCTTCTTCTCAAGAACAGCTAAGCCATGATTGATCATATTGATATGGAAGCATCCTAAGGTAGTGTAGAATCAAGTCTGTTCAAATCATGACCCCTCAGGAGTTAAGAGGGTCCCCAACAGGGATTATAGTTATAAAAAGGAATATAATGGATAAATTAATAAAAAAAATCTTCTCAATAATAGCAAGGCCATGATTAGTCATATTAATTCAAAAGCATCTTTAGTTAGTGTAGATTCAAGTGTGTTCAAATTTTATCCCCGGGTTAAGTGCAAGGCCACAATAGAAGAAAAATACTTGAAAAATCTACTTAAGCCATGATAAGTCAAAGAAATATGAAAGTTTCCTCAGGTAGTGTAGATTCAAGTTTGTTCAAATGTTCCCCCGACCACTTTAATATTTAAACTTTTCAATACTGAACTGATTTCCTAGCGAAAGCGTTCAGGTGAGCGATGTTGCCCATGGGCCTCTTGTTTGTCTTTGAATTCCTGATTTAATGTAAATCTTTATTATTATTATTATTATTTTTTTTTACAAATGAATTATATGTATCTCTTGTATGTAAGAAAAAGATAAAAATTAAGAAGAATATTGAAAGATATTATAATCTGTAATTTGTATATTAAGAGAAAAAAGAATATTCAAATATTAACTGATGGTAACTTTAATTGACTTCTATCCATAAAAGCGAAATTCAATGACCTAACCGAATTGAATTGCCGTTACCCATACTGTAATTTAATGATTTTTTATTAAAAAATTAAAATAAGAATACGACTATGTAGTCATGTTTTTATTTTTATTTTCAAATAAAACGTAAACGGTGAAGATAACGAACAGTGATAGATCTCATAAATCCAGTAAAATAAAACGAATCGTGAACAGGACGAAAATACAGGGCCCCTGGAAACACCAGAGGTGGGATCAGATACCCAAGAGGAATAAACATCCCTACTCGACCCCCCCCCCCCCCCCCTTAAGCAATATGCACTGAAAACGTAGAGGGAGTACTCCGTAGTCAAATTTAGTATAAAAGCAATGACCTATGTTGGTATGAAACATGTTAGACAAAATATGATATATGCGATAGATTGTATTTAAAACAAGGTCATTTAACTACCGTAGACTTTGCAAAAAGCTGACTTTCAACGGGTTGTTGAAGTCCTTGTTACAACAACTTATTGCCAGTGGCTTGCCTCGGTTAAAATTAATGGTATTCAGAGTATGCTTTTACGTATCAAATCAATTGAGAGACATAGAAACCGTATGCAAGTGATGTTTTAATATTGTTACATGAATAAAGGAAGTTGATGAAGTCATTCCACTTGTCATAGAATTTAGTTATTAGTTGGCCATTATTTGCTATAGTTAGTAAAACATCCAAGTATGAAACAGATGTGGTAGACTGTGCATAAATGAGTCAAACACGATACTAAGATTGCAAGAAAATTCAAATAAAATGCAAGTAAAAAGGAGCGAAAAAACAAGAAGCTCTAGAGTATCAAATGATATGAAGAGAAGTGATGACGAACTACATGAGGTTTTGTCTCTTTTCTAAATCCTCTACGTTGTGTAAGATACATATTTTGGCCATCAATTTTAGTGCACAAGGACTAAAATGCTCCTTTGACCGTTTTCCATGAAGAGAAACAGCACATATAATGTTCTTCATTTCCCTTCAGTTAACATGCATTATATTCTGTTTTGTGTTTGTATTTACCATGATTTTTTTTTACAATTAAAACATAGCTGTGATCTCATTCCTTTGTTCTTGCTGTCTAAAGATTTACTTTTAGCAATCCGATATTAGTGAGCATTCTGATATTAATCGTAATATCAGACTTTCTCAGTACTGATATCCTTCAAAATTGGACTGTTAATGAACAAAAGAAATATGTGCGATTACTTAGCAAAATAGTTAAAATTTTTATAAACAATGATGATTTTGAAACAGAATATTGATCATACAGAATTGGAATATATATATAAAAAAAACTTCCAATTAAATCAAATATACTGTAACAGAAAAGAAGAACATGATACGGACCAGATCATGCAAAAAATGGGTCCATAAATTTGTAATAAACATTCAATTTTTAAGAAATGTTTCAACCCCTTGGCACGCAAAAGATCGTTTCTCTGGTTTTCCAAAAAGAGTAGGCTAGCTGGGGGTCGCCAGGGAAACCCAAAAACTTTCAAAACCCCATCATAAGTCATCAAAAAGTCATCATTTCGTAAGTTCTTTGGTCAATACAATGACCTTGTCATCAAATACAATCTTTCTATAAATCAAATGCTGACTGACTTTTTCCAGACAGATTGTTCGGCCATTATTTACACACTGAATTGTCGACGGAGTTTTACGTTATTTCCCGATCATGACTAGGAGCACACAGCGGGTGTAACCGGTCAGCAGGGGCTGCTCACTCCTCCATGGCACCTGATCCCACCTCTGATGTCTTAGAGGTCCGTGTTTGCTCTGCTCCTATTTGAAATGTTTAATGGACTTTTGTGCTCGTTTTCTCCATATATTTCAAGAAATAATCTTTACCGCCAAAATATGGCTGAAGTCCTGCAGATTCGGCGTTAAGCATTATACATTTACAATCAATCAATTATATAGTGCCGACCACAGGTTCACATATTCATTTTTCTGGGTTGAATAATTATGATCGGAAGTACTTAACCACTATAAGCAGAGCCGGCTGTAAATCTCTCATTTTAACCATAGAAGAGTTTTACTGCTGGTTACATTACAAAATTATTCATTACGCAAACAATCTTCTTAAAATTTATTTTCGGTGCCTGTACTTGAAAATAGGACCACTCCATTTTTTTTACTCAATTTAGCGATAACCTTAACCTATCATTCAAAACCCTATCTACCTATTTAAAAAAAGAACAACAACAAGAACACACAAGCCGAAAAATAAAAACACAAACTTTAGTGACTATTAAGAACAACATTCAAACAATTTGATTTCATTACTTCATTTTTCTCGTAGAAAGATAAATGCCTTTACAAAAAGAAGGGAGTATTTGATAATTAAATTCTTGATAATTAAAAATGTGTGTTTGACCGATATTCTACAAATTTTGAAAGAAATTGACGGAATTCCAACTTTTCCATCAAAATAATCAAATCTTGGATTGCTGATTATGTTCGTTTTTTTCCTCTGGGATATCAAAAACCAAGGCACGCTGAGCATAGAAAAAGAAAATTGGAATCGCCTAATATACCTTCAGCAGCTGCTTTATTTTCTGTGGTTGTTCAGTTCAAATCAAAGTTACATCTGCATTTTCCTTTCTATTCCAAAAAAAAAAAAAACCCATTCACTATATCAAAATCCTGTGCATTGCTTTAAGCTCCGTGTATGTTTTAAGGAAGAAAACTTTTTTCCCCCTTCTCTGTATCAAATTCATCAAATTACTTCAAAAACCTTCAACAGTATAGCCGACTGTCTAAATACTGAGTTCTTTTCATTTAAGCCTGCATTCTTGAAAGAATTGCTTCAGTGGTCATTAACACTTTTGTCTTTTGTTATAATGTTGGACTGTCTCAGGTAAATCAAAAAGCAATGTTTTAATTAAGTACGATATATGCCTTATACCATTCTGTATGAAAAAATGTCAGTTTTCGGCCCTAACTAGCCTCAAACTGATATTTTTTTTTATACAATACTGTATTCGGTATATATCTAATACATAAATCTTATTCTAGTCACGAATTATTTTCATAAATGAACTTGATACCAAAACAATTTAATTTAGGTACACATTATTTTTGGGGATATTTATCCTTATTTTGTGCAATAACGTTTCAAAATTGAAACTGGGGAAAATAGTGCACCTAATTTTTCTGGCTTCTTTGGTACTTTTCAGAGAAATCACTCGAAAGGTGACAAGTCAAATTGACATACTTTTGAGAATTGAATGGGAATTCGTTAATATTTAGTAACCCTTTATTCTTGTGATGTTTGGCTGTTTAACCTGTTAATCCTTTAAAGAACAATATTTTAAAAAAAAATAACAACTATCAACAATATAATGGTCTGGGTGTATATGTGATAATGTAACAAATGCATAATATAGATATTGTACAAACACAGCTGATCTTAATATCGTTAAAAAAGTATGACCTGTTTATCTATGGATTGATTTGGAATGTTCAAAATATTTTTGACCAAAAAGCCTAATTTTCATATACCGAGTCCACAAAACATATAATACCTGTATGAGCCAAGAAACAATAGGGCGTTAAGTGTTTTAATATCATAATAAGTACGTCAAAGCATGTGAATGTGAACTACAACTACACCGTAAGTTACTTTTTGATAAGAAAAATTAGGGTACAGTTTCAATACAAATCTAGCCCTGTATTTTTCTAAAATATGAAAGTGATTAAAGAAATGAAAATCCATGCTTTCTGAATTGTTGAAACTCCATGCACTAAGATCAAACAATTCGTTCTTCTCATATGACTTTCTAAATGCTAACTGTAAGTCATAAACTTTTCCCAGTATTTTCTTAAAAAGTTGTCAAATTAAGTCATCATGTTTTAGTGAAATTTTCTTACAAATAATAAAGACCACATGCATCGCCCACAAAGATTTTGAGAAGTGTAACTTTTCAAAGAATTTTACACAACATATCCAAATACTGACGTGGGCGACAGCTGAGGACACTATTTTCTCTCAAGGAAAATGCTCCCGAAATGAGTCATTTTGTGGCTTTTTTCTGCTTAAAACTTAGAAATATAATGAATTAATGATGTCAAATTTTCAGAATGGTCCACTTCATGCCATATTCTTTTATAAATTATCACACTAACATTTAAGACAACTTCAAAATTTTTTGAAAAAAAAATTTAGGGCACAATAAAGCCAAAACCATACCCATTTCTTTATATTTATTGATATCTGAAGTGAAACATTTTACAAAACCCCAAAGGCAGCTCAATGTATTTAAAGAATGAGACGAATTTATTAATGTAAACAATCTTCTCCATTGAGAACCTCCGTAGTCACGTACAAAAGAATGACATAATATGACAAAACATACATGCTTTCAATATTCATCCTCGCAAGCCAGGGGTCCTGAGTCAACACGTTGACTCAGGACCCCTGGCTTGCGAGGATGTCAATATTATACATTTGTAAATACAAACAATAACGGATAAACTGCTTACTGTATAAATTTTAGGACACTTCTATGTTTGAAGCGTGGGAAGCAATCTTATATTTAGATGCATACAATGTGAAATACTGAATGCAATTTAAAAAAAAATGTATATCCAAAGAGAACCATAGGCTCATATACAAACCATATTACAACTGTTCATAAAAAGTAAACTAGTGAATAAGATATACCAATTACAACTGTTCAAAAACATTAAACCAGCTAAATTCTTTATGTGCGAATATTTTGGATCAATGTTCATATGAAACAAATTATCAAGGATAGTGATGTACATGTTGAATTTATGAAATCAAATATGGTCTAGCAAATATAGTTTAATTTAACATATAAACATACGTGCATTCTGAGACAATGTATCTGCTTCTGGTATATCTGCAAGCGTTGAGAGAATTCCATCGGTTCACGGATGTATTTGTGTCAAAATGTATTTATATAGACAAACACAATTCAACACCAGATGCTGTCATCACGTATATAATTAATATATGTTCAAACGATGAACAGTAGGCCATTTATCAAACAATGGTATTGTTATATTTATCTCCTTATTATCTTGGCTTTATCACGTTCACATATGTATGTAAATAAATTTTATGAGCATGTTTATTATTATAAAATGATTTATAAAGAGGACAGTTTGTGTAATGTACACAATTAGACCATTCGCATTATCCATAGAGATCGAGGCACGGCTACACACATCAGTGATTTTAACTGCGTTTGTGATTGAAAGTGCACAGGGTAAACACATAATTCTCGAATGTCGCATTATGAGCAGATGAACGCACAAGTTTAAATTGCTGGTAAGAGAACGGAAATGTAACACAGCAGCATATTTGATAAACTAAATACTGGGTGATTACTAGATGTCATGATACATCGTCGATTTAGATGCAGGATGAAAACACAAAATTCGAACTTGAAACTTTACAGAGAGTCCTGTTTCCCTGTTCCTCGTTTCTTACAAGAAGACTTTATTGGATTACCTTTAAAATCAAAGTAAAAAAAAATCTACATGTCATTTAAAATAACAATTCGTAGGAGGCGTCTTCTCATGTCTGCTTTTACCGGAAACCCTCGCTCCTTATTTTCATCCTGCTAAATTTGTTGACATGAAGAAGAAAAAAGAAATCATTCTTAAGCCAAGCGCAATGTTTATCAGTTGGATTTAAAGGATTGGAGAGACACTTAAATAATAAATCTTCGTGTCACAGGAACATGGAGCAAGGAGACTTTCAATGTGAACACATGCATTCAGTGAACGAGTCCAGCGAATCAGTGGTTTTGGACGAGTGCAATGCCTTCTTCAGGCAAAGCTATCTCCCAAATACTATAATCAACGCTTTATTCCTGTTCCTTGGAATTATAGGAAATACTCTAGTCATCTATGTGTACAGAAGAAAAGTACGAAAGAGGCGTGAAGACCATGACTTTATTGTTGTTCTGGCGATAATTGACCTAATTCACAGTATTTTTTCATCCAATTTAGTGTTCATGAAAAATTCAAACCCACTGAAATACTCGGATGACGTTAGTTGTAAGATTTTACTTTATGGCACAAACGTATTTTTCATATTATCGTTGCTAGTACTCGTTGTAATTTGCGTTCATAGGTACCGAAAGATATGTCATCCACTAAGAACACAAATGGACAAGAAGAAGAAAGAATGGGCTATGGCTGGCGTTACTTTTGGTTCCATTGTTCTGGCTTTGCCAAAAGTGATATATTTCAAAGTACGCAGAATAGAAGTTGAAGACAATTTATATGCATATGTGTGCGGTCCGGATATGACTATGTTTGGTGCCAAGGAATTAATAAAAGGCTCAACAATATTTTTAATCATTATGTCCTTAATATTAATATTGGTCATGGGGATTCTGTACGGCTGTGTGGGACATGTAATCTACAAGCAAACCAAGCATTTTAAAGAAATGAGGGATCAGAGTGCAAGAATTAAGCTACTCTTTAGTAATTTAGCAGAAAATGGAAGTACAAACCTAGAAATATTTGATGCAAATGTGGATGATATCAGTGCTCGGAAAAACCAACCAATTCACCCTCCTCTGACAGAAATGATTTCTGGGAATGTTTCAAGCGCCATGAGCAGTGCGTCCTCTGTGGAGGGTGGTAAATCTTCCACTATTAAGTCTAACAAATCCACAAAGACAGACACAAGCACATTGTCGCACCGGAAACGCTCACTCGCTCATTCTCTCAGCACCGGTGCTAAGGCGCACAAATCCAGCATAATGTTCATTGCAATTACAATCATAACAATTTTATCCTTTATTCCGACATGGATTTTTGTCCTCTTTGATTCCAGTGATCCCGGTAGATGGTTTCGAGTTTCAAACACGGAACTTCAGCTGTTTCTGTTCATGAGATGTTTGCATGCTATTGGATATACTGCTAATCCGGTGATATATGCTTATTATGACAGATCGTTTAGAAAGGAAATAAAAGCAATGTTTTGTAAACAGGAACCTCTAAGGAGAGGAATGTCAAGTTCCTCGTAGAATTGAAAATATTCGAAACCAAGAAGAGGTCAAATACCCCAAAGTCTTCAAATCAAAGAATGGAAGGTCAGAAAAAATCCTTCTTTTTAATTTTTCCATCACTTACCTCATTTTTCTTTTTTGGGTTCTGTTTTATATCATTTTGACAGTTTTTGTGTTTTCTGACATATTTTATGCTATGTTTTGTTAACATGAAGCAGCGTTTCTTTTTTTTTAAACAAACTCGAGAAAGGATGAATTAAGAAGAATTTAGGCTCGTTGAGTCATACTCTGGAGAATGTATGTCAAACAGAATTACTTACTGTTTTTTGACAAAAACAGCACTACAAAATTAACAAGAAATAAAGCATCAAATAACCTTTTCGAAAGAAATGATCAATGTTTGCTAATATTTGTGAATGTAAAATTGCTCTTTAAATATATCTTTGTTTGAATGTTACTAAGAATTTTGTCTTCATAGAACAAAGTTAAAATCAAGCACTGGTTAATGTTCTAATATTTTTACTACAGTTGACAATTTCTAAGAACTTACCTGGAAGAGAAATTTAAATACGTATTTATATATTCTTGCTTTAAAAAATCATTAATCTACATATTTTTTATATTCTAGTCCTGTTTTTTCGTAGCGGCCATGAAAATATTTCATCCTAAATGATGTTATGCTTAACATGGAATTATACGACAAATGTTATAAAAATATCTTCACGTAAAAATAAATGTCATATAATCTTTAAATGTTTGACAATTAGGTCATTTCACATTTTGTTTCTTTGTTACTTGTAGTATCATTGATCGATTTTAATTCCTCAAAGTCAAGTAAATTTATTGACATTTACAAGAATTACAGAGTAACGTGAAAGGTTTGATAATTCGTTATCTTTAGCTTTCCGAGTTTTATTGCGAGATGTTTTATGGGGGATTTATTTGTTATCAATGTGATTTATTTTCATATTTGTACATCACTATTTTTATCATAATAAGATTACTCAATTTATGTTCTCAATTTCCTTTTTGCAAGGATTTAATGTAACAAAGTCAATCCAAATGTAATTAATTCAATACATACAGACTATGATTAGTGCCATTTAACTTGTAGAAATGCTAAAATGTACCAAAGAATTGCTTAGCATTTAGCTTTTCCAGATAAGATATCTTGGCATTTATGTTTACCTGTGTGTATCCTTAAAGAAGAGATATGATTTTTGTCCTAGTAAAACTCTGATTTTATCTAATATTTTCCCTTAATTAATTAATATATTGATATACATATTAATATGAATGGCTTTTTGCACCGTCAATATGATGTACGGCAGTACTATTTTATTTTTGTTAAGGAAAATGCGCAGGTGGTACACTTGACATCAATATAAGAAACACTTAAATCAAGAAACATAGATGTTTTACAGAGAAGTTAAAACCACAGCCATGCACTATTTAATGTATTATATACTAGTATACAAATGCACTTGAACTAAGCATTATAGACTTGCTCGTCTCTATGTTTATTTGTTTTCAATTGTGTTCAGTCTCATACATATATTAATGCTAAATGTGTTTATTAAAGAGTGAAAGAGAACTTAGCTCTTTTGACTTAATTAAGTTGAATATATATTTTTTGAAATACCCTAGATAAGTTTGGAAAAAAAAAAAAATAAAAACTCGATATATCCCAATGAACTTGAAATAAATGACACCACAAAGTCTGTCACCTCTGTGTCATATGTGGATGTTTTACTGTTTCATATTTGAATGTTTTACTGACAACGGATGATAAGGGCCAACTAACAACTAAATTGTATGACAAACGAGATGACTTCAATTTTTCCATCGTCAACTTTCCTTATTTCCTTTCCTTATTTACACTGAATTGTCGACGGAGTTTTCCATTATTTCCCGATCATGACAAGGAGCACACGACGGGTGTGACCGGTCGACAGGGGATGCTCACTCCTCCACGGCACCTGATCCCACCTCTGATGTCTAAGAGGTCCGTGTTTGCTCTGCTCCTATTTTGTAATGTTTAATGGACTTTTGAGCTCGAATACTGTTCGTTATCTCAACATATTTTATTTATGTAGTAATAATCCGCTAACACCTGAATATGGTTTTAGATTGTTCGATGTCTTCACTTTTTTCATTGTCACTGATGATTATTAATTAATGTATTTTTCCTTACGTGGATTAATTTTCTTTAAATTCAAAACTTAAACAAGTGATTCGCATTCCTTAATCTTTTTGAACACATAACTGGCTAATCCATGATATTTAAATATCTCTTTATACGGGTAAAATTAGCTTGTCTTTTTTATTATTGCTGTTTTACCATTTTTGACAGTGCGATGTGAAATGTTTGCTTTATAAAAAAAGACAATCGATTTTTTTATGTGTTCACAGAATTTTTTCTCTACATTAACCTGTGTTCATATTAGGGAATAGATTGTTCTATTAAAAATGCAATAAAAGATTTTTTGTTTCTTTTTTAATTTTCCTTTTGTTGTTTTATGCACAACAATGTTGGAAAATAAAGTTTACGTTTACCAATCAGAATATAAATTTGACTGTCACACCTAATAAATCTTTTTGCTAATCTGTAAACTATTCATTTTGTATCTTGTGAGTCATATTGTTATAAATAAATATTGATTACAATTAACATGTGAATAAATGTTATTGTCCCAGACAGAGTCAGATTGTTGAACTATACTTGGTTTTCATATAAAAATTAAAATATATTCTGATTAAAATGGAGAGTGAAGAAAGAAAGTTAACGAAACAAAATTTTGCAATAATTTAGGACACTCTACTGGGTAATGTACTGGTGAAGTAAATATACATGAAAAACAATACTTAGCAAATTTTATTTTGGGTGGTATAATGGTGCTTATATTGCTAAGCGGTTGATTAGAAGAGGAATTAAAAAAAGTAGCAATGTGATGAAAAAAACAAACATGTTCCATGTTCTGTGAAAAGAATTGATTATGATTAAAAGCCCCCTTATATATATATATATATATATATATATATATATATATATATATATATATATATATATATATATATATGTATATATATATATATATATTTATATATATATATATATATATATATATAAGGAATGTTTTAAGTATTGTGTTATTCTTGTGCAAATCACACAGACTGGTCACATCTTTCGTGATTTATCGCTTCATAAAAAAAATATGCCTACGTGCAAGTCTGTTTGATTTACACACCAATAATTCACACTAAACTTAAAAACATTTCTAATATTTAAATTTTACATGTTTAAGAGCACCAAAAATATACTCAAGGCTTGAATTTCTCGCTGCTCTATATCGTTATATTTTTATCAAGGAATTTTGTGAATATACACGCAAATACGAGGGGTTATCAAAAAGTTCGTGGACTGATGCGATAAAATTAATATTATGTTGTTGATTACAAAATATGTAGGGAACATAAAAAAACAAAAGTTTAAGAAGTGTTGAAAATTTCAGCTTGATCTGTTGATAATTTGCCAAATTTTCATTAAATAAAAAGGGCATTATATGATTACCCGGCGCTGTCGCCGTTTAGTTTCATGACGCCCGACAACATCATTGTTTCTCAATGTATGCTCCCTCTGCCTCAATACACTTATCTTGATGAGATTCTCTGGAGTAAAGTAAAGACCTAAACCCGTCTTGTTTATGACTTTACAATATCATGAACACCTGATTTCAATGCATTAATTTTGTAAATATTAAGTCTATACATAGGAAAAAAAATCCTCGCTTGATTTTGCCAGCATAATTTTCTTGCCGCAGTTTAATGTCAACCAATGATCAACGTCACTTTTCGACGTGTCTGACTTTGGACACCCTGACTACAAATCGACATTAACCGTGTGTCTCTTTTCTTGCTAAATTTGTTTTTGTATTTAAAAAGAAGTACTCTGGATATATTTTATTTCTCTGTAGTCTGTTTAAACATTTTCAAGGTCTATGTCAGGTTTTCCAGGGGCTGAAACTTTATAGAATGTTGTAACATGACACCCTACCCCTTTCGACGTCATTTTTAACCCCTTTATTGTTTGGACATTCCCTATAAAATTTACGATAAAATTTCATAGAATACACAGAATGAGGTAAAAATTGCAACTTTTACGGAAAAATTGTGTCATATCACATGAGTGAATTAATGGGATTTTTGGATGACAAATGCTCATATTAGAAGAGTTTTTCTCAGTTACACTCAAGTAGAAAATACATCATGTTCGAGGTTGCGCCGCCTTGACATACCATTGCTTACGAAATCATTTACTATTCACTTAAAAATAAAACTTATGATTTATAGTTTATTTTACAGATAGAAAAGAAGATGCTTATTTAATGTTTAAAAATTCATTGATGTACCTTAAGCGGTTTTAATTTTAGGACGCTAGTCCACGACCTTTTTGATAACCCCTCGTATATGCACATAGGCTTATGTATCTTGCTATTTAGATTCATAAATACATGTAGAAAAAATGTACAAAGGTATGAATGAAAGGAATCAATTTATGATTCGGGTTCATGCAGAAATTGTGCATGGGGCGAAGAGAGGGATTGCCTTATCTGGCATTTTTTCACGCAGCCCATGTTGTGTATAAAAGTTAATCTCTTTTAAATTGAGACCGGTCTTAAAACAGTCAATTACCTGAAAAAATCAAGTTTTCTCTAAAAATTAAAGGTAAAGTGCAAGTAAAAGTTTAACTCAAAACACTAATAAATGAATCAACTTTTCTGTAACGGAATCGAACTCTTAGCGCACATAGAGAAAACGTTACTAAGCTTATCTACCATGTAATTGTATAATTGCTCACTTCTCAAAGTAAATGCATTAAATAGAAGCTCCTTAGTACATAATATTTTATGAGAAATTTACATGAAGCTGACAGTGCATAGCAAACAAAGTAGTTCGTCGCGTCGTGTGCGCGCTTATTCATGGAATCAACTCTGATTGGGCGAAGCCGAAACTTACCT